CATGACCTAATGTGAAAAGAAACAATGTCTAATACCACACCACCATTCAAGTACTATTATCACTCTGAGACCACAATACCAAGGGACATTTCATTCATACTTGTCATTACAATAAACTCAATACTCATAGCATTAAAAATAGTTGTAGCTGCTAGTATTCATATTAGAAAGAACATTCAGTCTCAAATGATGTGGGACAGACAAATCAAAGTACATAAGTGTATCAAAGGGTCAACATCCATTCACAAAGCTGATGCCATTATCCGTGAAACACAATATTTCACAATGGCCATCAGGTGAAAACTATGGCTATTTCTCACCCATAATGCCATTGCTGGGATCTACCTTAGAGGGTGCCAAGTGAAAAAATGATGAGTTTTGTTCTACCCTTTACAAATCCAGCATCCCTATATACTAAGCATGTCAAGGGACAAAACTTGAAACTTCAGAACTAATGATTTATATTTCAAAGTTTAAGTCTTCTCTTTTATCATATACATGTAATTTACAATATATGCCTTTGTGTTGTCCAAAGTTAATTAGAAGATCAAAATAAGACACAATGATCCCGTTACACTGGTACTGCTCTCTTCAAACTGGCTAGGATAATTCTTTTTCCTTATTTCATGACTTGTAGGCAGAAGTCCCACAATATTTTTGGTAATAGTTCAGCTTACCCTAGATCATAACATCTTACTACAAAAATTGGATTTTTATGGTATTCGTGGTATTTCTGCACAATGGTTTAAAAGTTACTTGTCCGACCGTAAACAATATGTGACATATAGCAATACTAATTCACTTAACAAACAAACAATATCATGTGGCGTTCCTCAAGGCTCAATTTTAGGACCATTGCTTTTTATAATCTACATGAATGATATACATCTTTGTTCTGAAAAACTTGACATAATTCTGTATGCAGATGACACAAATATTTTAGTTGGTCATCAAAATCTAAACACGCTATGTAAAATCTTGAACAATGAACTCATACATGTAAATCAGTGGTTCAAAGCCAACAAATTATCACTTAATATCTCAAAAACTAAATTTATACACTTTAAAACCCAAAACAATAGACATAACTATAACATCTCAAATAAAATCATCATGGATAATAATATTGTTGAGCAAACTGAAAAAATCAATTTCCTTGGTGCAACTATTGATGACAGACTGAATTGAAAACATCATATTCATATGCTTGAAAATAAATTATCAAAAACTATTGGAACATTACATAAAGTCAAACATCTACTGGATATTGCAAGTCTTAAAACGCTCTATTACTCCCTTATTTACTCCAATTTTAATTCTGACATAATAATGTGGGGATGTGTGCCTGAAACTCTATTAATATAAGCTTCATTCAATTCAAAAACAGTTTATACGTATGCTCGATAAATCTCATCACTATAGAGATCCAACTAAACCACTCTTTATTGAACATAAATTGCTAAATATTCATCAAATTATTAAGTTGAGAATTGCTTTATTTGTTTTCAAATGTGTAAAGGGCAATAATGACTTGATGGATGATCTTTATTCTTCTTACTTCACAACCAATTATAGCATCCATGACCGCGACACAAGAAACAAATTTGACCTGAGAGGCCCCAAGTTTAACACAAACATAGGCAAATTCTCAATCAGCCTTTAAGGCAAAACCATCTGGAATTCAATCCCAGAGAATATAAGATCACTGAACTCAGAAAAATTATTCAAATCAAAATATTTTCATCATCTATTAACTCAGCCACAACCAAGACTTTGAGGTGCTCACATGTTGTTTGATTACAATAAAATTCCCAACGCACCATTCCATTGGGCATTTTCTGGCACTTTTGATCTCAAGAATTCTTATCTTTGTTTTTCATCTTTAGCATGAACACCAACTATATCAGGAAACGGGGACATTGGGAGGAGGCCAAAACAGCTTTGTATCATAGCTGAAATTGCAGGAACAAAACCTTTTTTTACTTAATATAATAGTTCCAAGGACTTTTTCCATTCATATACCTATTTGTCATCTTCAATTGCTAACTCATATGAATTTTTATTGTTACAGGGGGCACCATACACCTTCCAGTGGTGTCTCGCTCCCTTCATCAATTTTGTATTGTTGTATGCATATATATTTAATAAATTGAAATTGAAATACCAGTTTGTTAGACTCATTTGTCTTTTTCAGCTCTAACCCGGCAGGGTATATCTAACTCACAAAACTACATTGTAAAAAAAGTTGTGTACAAGCAGCCAGGGTTGACTATTGAACTTTTCATTTTTAGCACAGTTCACGTCCATTTCAATATTATGCTTTCGTTTTCAAAATTTTATTATACAATTATGTTACATGCAAATACTGCAATTTTACCTAACATGGGAAGTAAGATGCCCCTTCCATCTAATACAATCTATCAACAAACATACATATATATCCAATATTACTCAATTCGTCCCAATGGCAATTAAATTAACACACAATATGTGCATCCTCATCTTACTTATATATAGGTCATATATAGCAATATATGTTTTTCAATTAACAAATCATATCCATCTAAAGCATTAAATCTAAAAAGTTCACTTTAGTATTTTATTTGATTTTTAGTTTCTCCTTAACTATACTTTGGCCAACACATTTATTTGCTTTACAAAATATTTTTTGATAATAAACTCATCTATAAACTAGTATGTAAATGTATGTCGAACAAATGCAAGTATACAGGCCTAATTAAATAAAAATCATGCAACCAAAATTCACACGAGGTTCATTAACATTATTGCATATTAATTAAGACCCTAATCCTGGGGCATTGCTTGGACTCCATCCTTTGTTTGGTGATTGCTATATAAGCCAGATGAGGAAGAGGGAAGACATCACTTGATCAAACATCACAATGTTGTCTGCTGCAATCTTTCTAGCTGGTCTTGCCTGCGTCTTCGCTGAGGGATATGGATGTAAGTATTGTGTATCATACACTTAGATTATGCATTAGATATACCACTTAAAGAACTTAATTCTTTTTTGTTTTCAAATAGTTAGTTGAATCAAAGAAAGTTTAAATTGAACTAAGATATTTGATTGGTATTAAAATTTCAAAGTCAATATCAAATTTAAGAGTTTTTGTTTGCAAAGTCAAGTTGTATGCATCCATTTGGGAGCTTCCAAATTGATATGAGTAAAGTTGTGGAAACATTGGAAATGTTGGGATGTTTTGAAAATCTTTCTCTATTCAATTATACATATGACTATAACATTCCTGATTAATGTAGTTGTACTTATTAGGAATTTCTATTCATACATATTAAGAGTGATTAAACAGAGTATAATATTAACATTTCATTTTAATCATTCAGCCCGATGCTACGACTGCAACTATGCCCCATCTGGTTACACCAAGCAGGTAAACTACTGGACCAGAGTATCTTCCAATGCAGGATACGCTGGATGTGCCCTCGCCAAATATGGAGATGCTGAGACCCTCGACAAATGGAGCTGCTCCTCCGGAGAGTGCTTCATCCGTAAAGACCCCAATGGTCTCGTGTACCGTGGCTGTGCCAACAAGGAGAACCTTCCCCTTGGAGTATCTACCTACAAACAGTGCGCCAACCAGGCTGGTTCTCTCTGGTATTTCTGCAAAGGAGATCTCTGCAACAGCAAGCAACTTGGAGACTATGGAGTCTGTGGATACAAACCTGCCTATTACAATACTTACAAGAGTAAGTTATTCACACACATTACTGAAAATATGTTTATTTCACCCACATGTTTACTATAGTATTTACTGATTGTACAATTTGTGAATTTTAGATGGGGCAAATTAATAAAACTTTTACACTGATTAAATATGTTTTATAGTATTTTATACACTGGTAGAAATAATTTTGATACAGCTGCTATTATTTTGTCACAAAAAAGCAATACAACAAGAAATATTGTAACATTGTTGGTCTTAATAATTACAAAGAATATTTCAAACAATACATTCTTACAGTGTATTCCTGACTAATTTCAGGCCCCTGCGATGGCAAATGCTACAACAACCCAAGTGGTCTTTTCGCTGACAAATACAACAAGAATGGTTTCATCCAGTGTGGATGTGACTATAAATATGGCAAAGCCTGTATCTGCTGCAAGCCTTTCTTCATGAAATGCCCATATGGTAAGCTTGTATTTTAAGTTTCTGTTCATTTACAATAGTTTTAGAAAGTAAAGGACTTATGAAATTGAGAAGCTGCTTCATCATCTTGTTCTTTTCTTGAACAACATGTAGAAATACTGAGAAAAATAATTAGTGTATCTATAAAACTGGCATGAACCTTTTCATGGTGCTGATAAAGGTTGTTTTGCTGATAAACTAGAACTTTCAACGTTTATTTTGTATTGTTTACAGGAACTGCCTTCGATGACTACACCAAGGTATGCAGCAAGGATGCCTACAACCCAGACTACGTCCCTACCCCATACAAAGCTGAGCCCGTCTACCATGCCCCATCCTATGGATACCAAGCTCCCAGCTACGGATATGGATACCAAGCCCCGGCATATGGATACAACAACCACTATTAAACATTAACGTTTAATTACAATTGATTGTGTAAAAATATGTTGATGATAATAAAGACTTAATTTACCGAAATCTTGCATCGATTTTGTTTTTCCATATTGTACCAAAAACTCCTTACATCTAAACCTTCTCTGGTTCATTTGTTTGTTCATTTGTTTATACAAACATTCATTCATTGATGCGTACATCATCACATGTTAAAACTCTCAATTTCAGTGTAATGGCAATAAGAAAACAATTGCTGTCTCCAACCTCCAGATTTTTAAGTAAACCAAACAGATATGATACACATTTTCCAGGTTTATCATAAATGTGGGGTAAATTCACATTTTTTAATTTTTGAAATTTACCACACATTTCATACCATGTTGTGATAAAATAAAACGTGAATCTACCCCAGATTCATGGCTGTAAATCATCATTTCATCATCCTAGATCGTATACACTTACTTTCTCTATAAACTCAGGCTCATCAGTGACATTCTTGATTGCATCTTCAAGCAATTCCTTCAGCTCTTCCACAACATCTTCACAATGCATAAGAACCTAAAAGGAAAAATACAGATGTCTTCAAATTCACACAGCTTGGCATGCATAATCGCCCTCTGACCATTGAAAAGCTATCCATTATTCAAATCTGTCAATTTACAACACCAAATCAGTCAATTGCGATAATGATAATTGAATAACCAAATGTGGTAATCCAAAGCGACAAAAAGGACTACAGATAAGTTGAGAGCTTTCAAAGAATTATCGCTATTTTAGAAATATCATACAGCGTTTCAGATTTCAAAATCAAGGGGGGGGGGGAGGTTCCAGAGGTTCGATGTTCAGGACCAGCAAACCAAGGTTGTAAACCATTTTTTCATACTTACATGCATATACATTTTGTAAAACTGTGCCTCATCTTGATGCTGTTGTTTCTTTACAGTGTTTAGGTGTTGGCTTATCTCTGTGTATTGTGCTGTTGAAAGGTCTCCCTGTTGTAGCATGGTTCGTGCCAACGTCATGCGGTAATTCTAAAACGAAAGTGAATATTCAATTTTGTGCTGGAATAAATAATATTAGAAATTAGACAAGGCACATGATAAATTGTCACCACCTAGTTGCTCACAATATTATTAGTTCAATCTTATGTCAGATTTGAATTCCTGAGAACTTGTAGTTGTAGATGATTTTGAAAAAATTGGTCAATTTGAAGCAGTTGAAAAGAGACCTTTTTTACCCTGAGGTCATTGAAAGTGAAATCTGAAATCTAAAGTCCGATCTGAACTTTTGAGAACTTTTAGATGATTTTGAAAAAAATTGGTCAATTTGAAGAAAGCTGAAAAAAGACCTTTTTGACCTATTTTACCTTATTTGACCTTGAAACGGTCACTGAAGGTCAAATCTTAAATATAAAGTCAGATTTGAACTTCTAAACACTTTTTGGTGGTGACATAATAAGACTGAATGCTCAATAATATGAAAATATAGGTCAAAGTTGAATTGTATACTGTGTGTAGCATTTGGTTGAGAGCATAAGAGGTGATGGTCTCAGTTATTTGTATGTGAAAACATATACATTAATATTTTGTGTGTGTATAAAACGAGCAAGGATGTACAGGCCTGTGCCCAGAAGATGATATCTCCCATTTTAAGAACAATTGCAGAAATTATTTCTGCACCTCCATGAGAGAAATCTAAATCCACGTCATATTAAAAAGGTTATTTACCATCATCGTTGGCTGTCTTTCGATCCCTTTCTTCCAGATATCCACACAATATTCTTTGAATTTTCCTTCAAATAGACCATTACATAGATCACAAATGTAGCTGAGAACCTGAAAAGTAGAACAAAAAAAGTTATGGTCGGCTGCGCCCATTTCATTTGTTCCACCCTGTGCATGGAAATGACAGAAAGATGAGAGGATAAATATCAGATATATGTAAACTTTTATCAACATTTTTAATTTCAGAAAATTTTTCCAAAGTATTATCATGATACTATTTATGAAAACAATTAAAAGTAGATATTTTTTATATTTACCCAGTAACATAACGTTTATACTGATATTCAATTAGGTCAATAGTCATAAAATACTTCATAAAGATGTATACATAATCAGAAGAATAAATGAAGACCACAGTTATAATGGCATCAGGTAATCTTCACCCATACAAAATATGATTTAGAGGCAGGCCCGTAGCCAGGATTTGCCAAGGGGGGGGGGGGGGGTTCAGTTTTCAAAAAATTCCAGGGGGGTTCACATTTGACAATTTTGGCCCAAATATGGCTAAAATCACTTGAGATGTACTCAAAATGGTGAGAAACTGCATGATTTTGAAAGAATTTTTGGTTCGAACTCCCCCTGGCTACTGGCCTGAGAGGGAAGGATGAAAAGCCCAACATACATCCTCAGCTGAAGTGATATCAGCAGTTGTTAGCTCTGCAGGATCCATTGTGTCCAGTGCATCAAGAGCTTTAGTAGCAATGTCTAGCACACCATCAAGTCTGTCCTGATTGTTGGGTCTTTTGAGTAAATCAAACTCCACCTTCATACATATCAGTCTTCTGTTCAGTGGCCAACTGGAAAAGTGAATGTTCATAAGCTAGTTCAGGTATGTTACATTTGTACAACATAATAAAATGCTTATCTGATTCAACACACATTATGCGCAAAGGACTCCAAATGATTCTAGTCTTGTATTATTCTCTGAACCCCCATTTATTCACGTTTAGTGGAGATTCGGTATGTAGAATGGTACGCATGGGCCTGAAGCAAGACTAAAATAGACTATAACAAGACATTAAAATGCAAATGTCACCACTTGCCATTTGTTACAGACACTGACCACCAACTGCCGAACACCATCCACAAAAAAGCTGGAGACTATAACAATATGTAATCTCTTTTGGTGGTGACATAATGATTTAGAATTGCAATTCTGCATGTAGATGCTTACACTCCAAGGTTGTAGTCTACTGTGTATTCTACTGCACGTTGTGGCTTGCCTTCATCTACTAGGAACTCATCACATAAGGCCAACAGAGCTACTATATCTCCTGACTTTGTATCTTCACGCTGGACCAAGTTCTCTAGGACCTACATTAAGAAGCATGTACAGATATAGCTTGCTTCATTCATATTATGTATCAGTTTGAATATTATTTTTGCAAGAATTTTGAGAATTGCTTGTTTAAATATTGTTTGAATTTGTGATATCATTTTATTACTTGCTTCATAAAGTTATTAATATCATCTTTTAATTCATGTGCTAGCCATTGGTTTCAATATATAAGCACTAGTGCCAAAGGGAAAGGACCAAAAGTTGTAATGGAGCTTAGCAAGAAAAAGCAAACGCTAAGCGCATACCAGTCAAGAAAAACAAACCCCATACAGCCCAACACCATGATCTAACGTGAAAAGAAACAATGTCTAATACCCCCTTTCCCCCCACCATTCAAGAATCAATATCACAATCCAAGACCAGAAGACCAAGGGACATTTCATTCATACTGAAGTCATTACAATACATGTTGAAGAAAAAATTAGAAATTGATAGCCAATTGATAGCCAATACTCATAACCTCAAAAATTGTTGTAGATACAAGTACTCATACAAGATAGAGCATTCAGTCTCAAATGATGTGGGATAGATAAAATCCAGTCTCCAAGTCCATAGGCGTTTCAAAGGGTCAACATCCATTCACAAAAGCCGTCGCCATAATCCATAAAACACAATAATTCACAATGGTCATCAGGAGAAAACTATGGCTGGTTTCGATCCCTATTTCTCAACCATTAATGCCATAGCTGGGATCCACCTCAAAAGGTGCCAAGTGAAAATATTGTGAGTTCATTGCCAATGTCTTAAACAATTCCCACATCCTTCAGCATCTCAAGTGGTAAAACTTGAAACTTCGAAATTAATGATTTGTATTTTTCAGCAAAGCCCAGAAAGAATTTCTTAAGCTTTATAGAATTATAACCTTGACCTAACAGTTTGACCTAAGCTGTTACTTACTTGTTTGGCCTTGTGCCAACTGCTTTCTCTGACATATTTCATCAACATGATGGAGTGCATATAAGGTATAGACTTATTCCATCGTGCTTTATCACTCCCCAGCTGTAACACTAAAACACACGTTGAGTCTGATTACTCCTGTATGCATTTCCCTGTCCTGACTGTCATAAAGGGAATGGGGAATGAAGGGAATTTTCATTTATTGAGGCAAATAGTATACAGTACTGAAGAAGGTTTCCTAATTCCAACATCATATGTTTCAATATTGAATAAACCATTATTAAGGAAATATCTCTGTTCATCATTTACATTTTATTTCACCATGATAGCTAAATGGCTCATAAAGGAAGTAAGTCAAGGCATTAACATGCAAAATGTCCGACCTGCCATTTGTTACAGATACCAGTCAGAATGCGCCAGCCCCCTTGCGGTGGTGACATAAAAATGTAAAGAGATAATATCATTTTTATTTTTTTGACATTGATAAAGTTATGGCAGTGAACGTAGACACAAGAGTCAATAAAAGAATATAGTACTATGTGTCAATGGATCAAACCAATCGAAGGCCTTTCTCAATACACTAATTGACTAAACATATTGATTGGTTATACTCGGTAATGTAAGGCATTTCCATTGAAGTCTATCAGAAACCCTGAATGAATGTCTTCATGGGGTTGAAATATGTTTTTACCTGCATCCCAATAAATGGGTTCAGCCTCATCTGCCCTATTTGCATTTATAAAGGCACAAACAAGGTTCTCTCTCGCCAGTAGAGCACCATGGAGATCTATCTTCAACATCTGAAATAATACATATGGCTCCATCAAGGTGACACCTTCAATCGACAATCATTTCTTGAGAATATATATAATATTAGAATGAACGTTCATCCATCTGAAATGGTCATATTGAAGTATTACAGGCAGTTCATCTAACACGGACATATTTGAAAAACTTATGTAAAATATTTTGTCCTCCAACCATAGGACTTCTTCAGTTATTGTTGAGTGCAAAATATTTTACGAAAGTTTTTCAACATGTACGTGTAAGATGAACCTGTAAAACCTCAATCAGAGACATATTAAAAATGTTTTATATGTCTTTGCCTCAATATTTAATATCTATACTGAATAAACAGAAAACTTCCAAAAATTCTTAATAAGATGTAAACTTTATCTGGCACATAAAGGTAAAGTACGCCCCCCCCCCCCTAGTATTGGCCCAGAAAAACATTTTGGGCATACTAATTTTAGGGCAAATTATCAAGAAAATAGGACGTACATTTTCAATTTTTTCCCTGAATTGCAATGTCCCTCCTCCCCTTGTTAGATCTCAGATCTACCACTGATACTAACCTCATAAATCTTCACAGCTTCTGTCAATTTGATAATTGCCTGTTCAAAGTCCTTCTTGTATATATAGAGGGAGCCGAGGTTTGATAATGCAATGCCTACATCATGATGGACTCGGCCATAAGCTTTCTCTGCTATCTCAATTGCTCTAAGAAAAGTTCAAGTTTTTTTCTCATTCTTAATGATTTTCAGTGTACACCAAATTATTCATATGACTCCGTGATCTCCCCAGCATTAAAGCAAGTGGGCGCAGCACCCATCTGAGATTTCATTTGCACCCACTTGAAAATGAGAAAAAACATGTAAAATTGGCATATTTTGACCAATTTTGGACTGAATTGTGAAAATGAGAATTTTTCACCCACTTGAGCAAAAATCCTGGGGAGAACACTGTGACTGTATCAAAAACTGTTGAAAACTTGTTGAAACTATCAAATAAAATAAATGGTGATAAAAGATGAAAAAAATAATCTCTTAATTTCAGACCATACATGTTTAAAATATCAATTTTCATGAGATAATTTAGTGATTGCAAAACTCATTAACAAAAGGTCACATGACTGCGTAGAAATTCAATTACTGGTTATACAGATCCACAGCTTGGTCAAAGTTGCCCAGTCTACGGTGGCATATTGCGATATTACACATGGCCTGGCCTAAGCTTGGTGGTAGCTGCCCATAGTATACCTCTTCAAATAACTAAAATAAAGATATGCGTTTGGTGAGATTTTTTCATTTCTACTCATACGGTATATTATATGGGAATCCAATTTATTTTGAAATATTATAGCATTTTCATAGGTTTCCTGATTGCACCTACATATTCTGTTTTGCTTTGACTACTATACATGCAGTGACACATTTTTGACATATTTCAACCTTCACACCCTCTGTTTGGACTAAGGAAATACACATTTCAACCTTCACATCCTCTATTTAGACTACAGAAATACACATCTCAACCATCACACCTTCTGTTTTGTTATGTATAAACTATGAGTACTGGGTCTGAGGAGGAATAATAACTGAAGGCATTGGCCCAAGGCTTTTAGAAGTTTTAGTTCTCCTGAGACTCTGTACAGATGGTTTATGAAACTTAAACCCCACGTTGACTCTAAGGGTAAATGGCTGATGATCCAATTTTAGAAAATTTCTTTTGTATTGACGATGCATATTCTTTAAAATAAACTACAGTTCATTCAATTGTGTTGCTACCTAAGTGGAGTTTACGACTACAAAAATACACAAATCAACAATCCCATACTTTGTTTGGACTACAGAAATACAGATTTCAACAACACACCCTGCGTCTTGACTATGGAAATACACTATTTTGACCATCAAAACTTCTGTTTTGACTTTAGAAATACACATTTCAAATGGCTCACCTTCATGCTTTGCTGACCATAATCGACTGCTTTCACATTGTCTCCCATACGCATACTCGACACACCCAGACACTGGATAGTCTTGGCCTTCTCTACCCGCATGTCATTTTCACTGGTCTCAGCCAACTCCAGAGATTTATTGAAGAATTCAAAAGCCTAGGAGAGAACAAAACAGTATCTAAACTTAGAATTCAGACATCAGCAGCAATCTGAGAGAGGGTGGGTCAATTCAGGGTCTACTTTTAATAAGCCGGCAATTGTCAAGGCAGGGGGGGGGGTGCGATTTTGCTAATCTGAAACCAAAGTTTTTTCATAATTCATTTTATTTCAGCATTCGGACCAACTGATTATCTACAGTATATGTGCGATGTGTAAGGTACCTGGGCATGTTTATCAGGGTCCTCTTGCTGCATTAGTAACACACCAACACCATGGTAGCTCTTGGATAGACTCTGGATCAGCCTTTCACTCTTGTCAATAGCTCTACAATATTGGTGAATTAAAGTGAATAGAAACAACAAACTGGGAGGAGGGGGGGGTGGGCAAAAGTAGGGCACATGGAGAGAGGAGAAAAATAGCAACAAAAATCCATGTAAATATTTATGCCACAAGTTGTAAATGAAAAATACATCTACATTTTATCTGATCAACTGATTAAGCCAGAGTTGAAGTGAAGGTAAAATCTTACAGTTTCTTCTCCCTGTGCCTAAGGACCTCCATATGCAGAGGTTCTGCCTCTTGTATTCTGTAGAGGTCCACCAGAACACATGCCTTCTTGTACATACAATCCATCTTGAGATTCTCATAGCTTTCCTTATTCCACAGGCCTCTACCATTCTCCTAAGATATATATATATAGCAATATATATTGGAGCATTCAAATCATAATTAGGCACATGTACTTGAATTAAGTTTGACTGAGTGGAATGAGTGATTGGCAACCACTAAATACCAACCACCAAAAGTTTATAGACTATAAAAATATGTCACCAGTTCTGGTGGTGACTTTAAAATGAGCTTGGATTTCTACTAAAATCGGCCCATTTTTTACATGACCCAAATTTTCCATTCCTTGTGAATTCAAGATCCACATCTGGTATATGTTGAACAAGTTATCAGAGGAAATAATGAGAATACAATACATATTGAGAATATAATGAGAATATACATATATTTATCAAATTGAGAAAAACTCACAATTATTTCCTCTTGTTTTTCCACCAAGGCCAGGGCTGCATTGTGAAAGTTTCCCATCTCAAGAAAGTTGATTATTTGAACACATGCATCTGCAGCCTACAAATATGCATCAATGAATTCTATATATTACTATAATATTAGCGGTATTTGTTAATATAACTTTGATCCCTTTTACCCCAAACAAAAAATAAATCAAGATCATAATTGATCCGTATATTTTATTTTAATTCAGTTAACCAATTGCATTTTGAAATGTCTGTACCTGAATTTCGAATGTCTCTCTAAAGTGTACCCTGCGGGCAGAGCCTCGTTATAAACTACCCTTTGCTTAGTATAGACTATATTACAGTTTAGCAACCCCGCCCCCACGACCGATGCCCATGACATCTTTGGTCATAAATCATTTCACACCTACCGCGCTGTACTATTGTCAACAAATTAGCGACACTTGTTAAATGCGTGCACATTGTTTATGAGATTACGTCATAGAAAATGACCGTATATAGAAAGTTGTCCGTATTTGGACGACAAACTCTGATTAGCTTGGTGAGTTCAGAGATTCATTGAAAACTGAAAGAGTGAAGATGAAGCTCTCTTTTGAGATGCGAAGTCGAACGAATAAAAAGGGTATCTTAAGTGCGATTGTTGCTAACCATCAATAATCAAATTTCATACATGAACTTCGATTTATATTTAAATGTCATTGTTAAGCAGACACAAGGACATGACAAAAAGAACATACCTTTGATGGTATATGAAATTCTGGTTCAGCGTCAATATTTCCACTCTTGATACAATTATCCTGCATGAAGTTAAACATCTCCACCAAAAGTGTATCAACACCCTTTTTAAACAGGTCTGCCATGATTTTCTCTGAGACATCTACAGTTTTGATGTATTCCAGTAAATCATAAAGAGAATGGTGCCTAGAATGTAAACATTTATTTGGAATAAAGGGGAAGCAAAGAATACAGACGAGGCATTAACATGCTAAACGTCACCACCTGCCATTTGTTACAAATACCATGATTTGTTACAGACACTATATGTTACAGATGCAGACTGCCTAACACCAACCGCCATCAACAAGAAATTTGGAGACATTAACAATATGTCACAACTTCTGACACCATACATTGACTCAAAAATCATACTCAGTCCATGAAAAAAATACAACTCCACTAACAAATATATGAAAATATTTTGAGAAAATATATATACAGTACTTGTACATGTAGTGGAAACATATATATTCAAATGAAAGAATAATAGGCACATGTATTTGTACAAATATAATCCTCCTTTTGTTTAACATCTTCTAGATGACTGTTATTTTTCTTAAACTATTGATATGTCCTTGTAGGTCAACATTGAAGCTCTTTAATAAAAGTCCTATGTGCTCGTGACACACAATGACTTTTTCGTGATGACACCAATGTTTTGTCCGAATTCCATGAATAAATGTCAGAAACTGTTATTCATCAGCCTTTAATTTGCTGTATTACATACAGGGTGATCCAGAAGTAACGTCAAAGATGTTGTAATTTCAAAAGTATTCATCAGATCTTCATGAAATTTGGTATACATGTACCCACAACATTTCTGAGTTACCATCTCAAAGATTGGAATTCAATCATTTCATTGGTTGAAATTATGGTTGCTATAGTAACCCGATATCGCGTAACCCGGGGCAAATTACTTAACGTGTAATGCGTAATCTCAAAATATCAACAAGATCTGAAATTGTTATATCCTCAACATTTTATTTCACAACAATATAAATCATACTATTGCACAGTTACTAATAATAGTTCATTCTACATAATTGCCACCATTTGCAACACATTTCTCATGTCTGGATACCCATTCCTTGAACACAGAATTAAATCCATTAGAACTCATTCCTTGTAGGGCTAGTACTACGGCATTTTTCAATTCCTCACAGGATTGAAAATTATTTCCACTAAGGTTTCTTTTTAGTTCCCCATACAAATAAAAGTCACTGGGGGCAAGATCAGGTGAATAAGGGGCATGTTCAAGTTGTTGAAATCCAAGTGTTTGGACTGTGTTGCTGGTCAGGATTGCAGTGTGCGTAGGGGCATTGTCCCAATGCAAGATAAACTGCTGCAGATGTCCGGGACGCTTTTTCCTCAGGGAACGTTGAAGATCACGCTTCAGAACCTGAAAAACAAATGGTTAATGGTTGTTAAACCAGTTGTTTCATTGATTGGATTTGGATTTGAATCATGGCCATGGAGTTATAATTATATTGACAGTGAACAACATTTAAATACTTTAATTTAAAAATAAAATTCACAGTATGATGTATTATTAGAACAAATGATATCTTACCTTTGCAATGTAAACAGCATTAATTCTCTGGCCAATGGGAACAAAATGGGTTAACACCATTCCTCTAATGTCAAAGAATGTCACAACCATTTGTTTCTTTTGTGGAATTCCTGGTACTATTTTAGGCTTGGTTGGTGTTGGGGAGTTGTCATGTTTCCACGATGAACTTTGTTGCGTGGTCTCTGGGATGTAGAATGATAGCAATGATTCGTCACTCGTAATGATCTTGTTAAGAAAGTCATCTCCATCTCTCCGATATTTTGCAAGAAAGTCCCTTGAAGCCTTAACACGCCGGTCTTTCTGCTCCTGTGTCAAGTCATGCGGCACCCATTTAGCAGACACCTTCTTTAACAGACAGTTCTTTGTCAGTATCCGTTGCACAGTCCCATAGCTCAGATCGTGTTTTTCAGCCAATTCTCTGATAGAAATTTGCCTATTGTCCATAACATCAGCTTCAATTGCTTTGATGGTTTGATCATCGAATGACGACACTGGCCTGCCTCCTCGCTGCTTGTCTACCACTTCATCATATCCACTGGAATACTTGTTAAACCACCTGTAAATGTTTCTCTCAGCAATGGCAGCTTTACCATATGCCTTCTTTATCTGTCTTATAGTCTCTTTTACACCTTTCCCCAACTTTACACAGAACTTAATGTTTGTTCTTTGCTCTATTTTACTCTGACTTGGCGCCATCTTGAATTGGGTGGGTTAGTGTCCTTGGTCATGTTAGTATTTGTCATGGATGATGGAAGCAATTCAAAGAAATTGAAAGCTTTTTATGAATGCCTATTGTGACATCACAACTATTACATATTTGTTACCATGGCAACAAATATAAAAATCATAGAAAACAAACAATGAACATTTTCAAATGTTACTGACTTTTTAAATTAGAGAAATTCACAAAAACGTTATGGTTTCTCTTCAATTTGCCCCGGGTTACGCGATATCGGGTTACTATAGCAACCATAATTTCAACCAATGAAATGATTGAATTCCAATCTTTGAGATGGTAACTCAGAAATGTTGTGGGTACATGTATACCAAATTTCATGAAGATCTGATGAATACTTTTGAAATTACAATGTCTTTGACGTTACTTCTGGATCACCCTGTACCTAGCGAAGCATTTGTATGGAAGTCAATGGAGCTGAAGGACGGCTATATATTCCTGTATAGCCGCCAAACTTTTTACCATGACAATCGTATGACATCACATTTCATTTCTTACATATTTCAATCGCACACAGACGTGTGACGTCATTGATATAACATGAAAACAAATCATTTTTGTCATTTCATGCATTTCTACATATTATATTCATGAAATGTAATGTAAAATGTACTTCAGGTATGTAATACAACAATTATGTCCGTATCATTGAATATATGCCTTCGGTCTGTCGTCAATATAACCCTTGCAAGCTCGGGCTTTATTGACGTCAGACCTCAGGCATATATTCAATGATAAGGACATAATGGCTAACAAAAAACTGGGAAAAGGATAGGTATCGATATGGAGAACTGAATTAACAATGTTTTTCTCTTAAACCAATCATTGAAAACATTCTATAAAAAACATGGTATTTTATATAATGTTGACTGTTTGACAACAATTTAATGCGAAAATTATTTAGAAATATTTTATATAATTGTTTTTGTTAACATTTTTTGTTTTTTTAAACATCTTTTGTTTTTTCCTTTCTACCAATTCTTGAGAATGAAATAAAATGTCTTTCCGAACCTTGACTTCAAATATACCAAGATATGTGTATTTGACACCAAATATCAATACAATTGTGAAAGTAGTAGCGCAATTCATTCTATAGCGACGCAGTGTGCCTTAAACCTTTCCCAGACCTATATATTTTGAAATTATCCTTTTAATACTGAGTCCCCAGCATTCATAAAAAATGGTGTTCAAGGTACACTATCTATACAAATTATTTTTGCATCTTGGAAGCCAGGCAGTATCTGTGTGATTTTATAAAAATTCGGAAATGTTTTTCAGATATGAGCCCCCTCTAAATATTGGGTGCGGAGGAGCTCCATAAACGTACCTCCGCACCCAAGATACTCCGCACCCAGATACTGCCTGGCTTCCAAGATGCAAAAATAATTTGCATGGGTGGTCTGACCAAATACGAAATTCGTGCATGTAGCATGACAGCAATTAAATTTTTGTTCGGAGTTCGATAACGGGCCTCGTACGAGCTCGTACGGGCCTTGAAATTGCAAGCCTCGTACATGCTTGTACGGGCCTCAGAAACAACAATTACGAGCATCGTACGAGCTCGCACGGGCCTCGAAAACGAGCTTCGTACGAGCCCGTACAAGGATGGTGCTCCTTTTTGCCCGTAATGACTAGTAATTCTCGAGCCTCGTACGAGCTCGTACGGGGCCCGGTGTAATTTGCCTGTGTATGGCTTTTTAATTATAGGGAATGGTGCTTTGGTGATACATGGCAATTTTTTAATAATAATTAATTCAGCTAAAGAATTGTGCAATGACATATGTCACACCTTTGGCACTTATTTGACATTTCAACGAATTGAAATAGCATAGTCGACTATTTTACCCATTTTACCTGTTTTTTTTCTAAGCGTCAATTTATTCCTCTTGATACACATAATATGTATGCGCAAGTGCCAATGGAAAAGCACAAAATATGGTTACAAAACACAGCAAGAAAAACACATCTAAGACTCCTCCAGTACATTATTTGTGTATTATCACCTATTTATTAAAGTTGAATAACAATATTGTTATGCAGTTATTTCTTCCCTAATTAGAAACATAAAAACAAAAGTGCTGAAATGGTAAAGACAACTTGGCCATACATTAACTATCTGATTGGTAGAATATACGACCTTATAATGGAATGAAAGAAATTCCTTTATGAAACTACTTTCAAATAAGCCACACAGTGAACAGAATCGCACCCTTGAACAGAATACACTTTTTGGGATGGAAAATCCAAAATGGCCACCTTAACATTTACCCAGAATGCCGAAAAAACTAATGATTTATAAACTTTCATACATCCCTGAAAATTTCAAATGAATCCCTCAAACAGTTTGGCTGGAAACCTGTAGACAAGCCTTTACAGACACGATTCTAGGACGAAAAATCCAAAATGGCCGCCTTAACATTTACCCAGAATGCCGAAAAACTAATCAGTTCTAAACTTTCATAGGTAGAAACATCCCTGAGAATTTCAAATGAATCCCTCAAACGGTTTGGCTGGAAACCTGTAGACAAGCCTTGACAATCAAGATTTTAGGATGGAAAATCCAAAATGGCCGCCTTAACATTTACCCAGAATGCCGAAAAACTAATCAGTTCTAAACTTGCATAGGTAGAAACATCCCTGAGAATTTCAAATGAATCCCTCAACGGTTTGGCTGGAAACCTGTAGACAAGCCTTGACAGACAAGATTTTAGGACGGAAAATCCAAAATGGCCGTCTTAACATTTACCCAGAATGCCAAAAAACTAATCAGTTCTAAACTTTCAGAGGTAGAAACAACACTGAGAATTTCAAATGAATCCCTCAAACGGTTTGGCTGGAAACCTGTAGACAAGCCTTGACAGACAAGATTTTAGGACGGAAAATCCAAAATGGCCCCCTTAACATTTGACCAGAATGCCGAAAAACTAATCAGTTCTAAACTTTCATAGGTAGAAACATCCCTGAGAATTTCAAATGAATCCCTCAAACGGTTTGGCTGGAAACCTGTAGACAAGCCTTGACAGACAAGATTTTAGGACGGAAAATCAAAAATGGCCGCCTTAACATTTACCCAGAATGCCGAAAAACTAATCAGTTCTAAACTTTTATAGGTAGAAACATCCCTGAGAATTTCAAATGAATCCCTCAAACGGTTTGGCTGGAAACCTGTAGACAAGCCTTGACAGACAAGATTTTAGGACGGAAAATCAAAAATGGCCGTCTTAACATTTACCCAGAATGCCGAAAAACTAATCAGTTCTAAACTTTTATAGGTAGAAACATCCCTGAGAATTTCAAATGAATCCCTCAAACGGTTTGGCTGGAAACCTGTAGACAAGCCTTGACAGACAAGATTTTAGGACGGAAAATCAAAAATGGCCGTCTTAACATTTACCCAGAATGCCGAAAAACTAATCAGTTCTAAACTTTTATAGGTAGAAACATCCCTGAGAATTTCAAATGAATCCCTCAAACGGTTTGGCTGGAAACCTGTAGACAAGCCTTGACAGACAAGATTTTAGGACGGAAAATCAAAAATGGCCGTCTTAACATTTACCCAGAATGCCGAAAAACTAATCAGTTCTAAACTTTTATAGGTAGAAACATCCCTGAGAATTTCAAGTGAATCCCTCAAACGGTTTGGCTGGAAACCTAAAGACAAGATTATTCAGGACACATAGCAAGTCTAAGATCTTACCGACATGATTTAGACAGCGGTTAAAAGCCCCCCGATTTTGACAAAAACGGGGGGCGCTTATAGGCATCGATGTTTAGTATGAATTTCACCCAAACTTCGCACATATATAGAAATAATCATGATCTAGTCAAATTGGCATACCAGGTAAATATCCGACCCATGGTTTTCATAAAAGAAACAACGATATTTTTAGCTCAAAACTGGCAAGTGTCCGCCATTTCGTGATTTCATCATGTCTAATATCATTTCTATATGACGTCACACCAATAAGATGAAATACATGACAACAGTATCCATAAACAAAATTCCTGAATTCTGATCGCAAAAGGTCAATTATCCTCTGACATATGATTGAGGATGATGTTTTTATAATACGAGCAAATGAAATAGAAAACTAATTTGATTATTGTTTAAAAATCTTTTAACAGAGGTGTACATACCATATTAGGTAAACAATGGCTATCATTAGTTCAGTCATGGGCATTCAATAGAGATTGAAAGCCCATGGTTCAGTAAATTATAGGTTGCACATGTAAAACTTAATATTTCGTTATATGTAGGAAAGTAAGCCACTGTCAATATAATAAGTCAAAATAAAAAAAACAATTAAAATAAAAGAGAATCAAAAAACGCAGCAAGAAAAAGAAATATCCAAAGCAGGAATACCGCCCCTAACATCATTTGAGAAAGTATTAAACAAATACTGGATGACCATGAGGTGGATATGCCAGAATACCTATGAAAGGAAATAATACTAGGCGAGGCGAAGCATACAGGATGGTTGGAGATCTCGTTGCTTCAATACTGGATAGAACGAGATCTTGCTGCCACGTATGGCAATAGACCCTGCAGCTCTTAATCAATCAGATTTGAGTATTTTAATGAGGTGCATAATAAACAATAATACCGAGTTACATTTTTAAATACCTATCAGAGAAAAATGATTGAACATTAAAATCAAAAAAGCATTTGAATCAAAACAATGATGCTCCATAACTTACTCTGTAAAAATTCCAACACAATCAGTGGTTGTGATAATATCGAGGAGTTTAGATGTGTCGTCACATTTATGTCTCAACCAGGGGATATTCATTATTTCTCTCGGTGGATGTACATCTAATCTCTGCCAATCAGAATACAGCTGTCCTGTCGCCTTATATTGCTGTATACACAAAGGACGTAGTGAATGAGATCAACACCGAATGCAACAAAGAATAAGGTGAATTCCAGAGTATTAAAACTTAAACTTAGTACTTAAATTTTCATATAAGTTACACAGAGTATACTGCATTATCTTCCCTCAATGATCTAGTAAATGACAGTAGCTCTTAGATAATAGATAATGCAAAAAGAAATATAGTTTTTATTTACCTTCAGTTTCTGAGTAAAATACCTGTCAAGCTTTAACCTGAAGTTTATCCTGGAAATAAAAAAGACTACATGTGTATATAGTATATTTGGTCAACATTACATGAAAAGAGTTTTTTATAACAACAGGATAAAATAAGCAAGAAACAAAAATATTGAAAGAAACTGGGAGGAAATGATTTGTGAAACATTTTGCCACTTCATAAAATTTTTGAGTTATTGGATCATCTCAAAACTATACAAGGCATTCACATGCAAAATGTAACCACCAGCCATTTGTAACAGACGCCGACCACTGAATGATGAACACCAACCACTGAACATCATCCACTAAAAAGTTGGAAACTAGTTTAACAATATGTCAACACTTCTTGTCATAAAAATAGAATTTAGAAATAGAAATTAAAACTATGAGAATCTATACATAATCAAATAACACAACGTCCTTACATAATATTATTGTTAGTGATGTATTTTTCATGGACTGCCATCTCAAGCTCATGAAATCCAAAGCCAAGAATACCAGCCCTGTCGATGAAGTATTTCTCCATAGCAAAGTAAAGAGGTGACCACAATTGAGGATCTATAGACAATATCTCCATTATATCCTCTTCAGAGAGTCCCTCCTTTGAGCCCCTGAGTAAGCACATAACCTATAATACAGAAATAGGTAAACACTGTTCTCAAATTTAACAGAAATAGTCTAATGAATGCATTTAGTGTGACCAAAATGGTAGACAAAATGTTTCTCTATTTGGAAACATTTGATTATTGTATTTAGAGATATCAAAAAGACACTGATGGAAATATTAAGCCTCACCCATTTTCACCACCAGGAGTCTGATTTGGGGTATTAGAGAATACCCTTAAACTTAAATATTCATCAGTTTTAGTGGTTCCATTTTCATGTTACCCTGATGTATCTGATAGTTATACAAATTAAAATATGTCCAGTACAAGAAAATATCATCTGTCCAATATAAGAAAAGATATTTCATTTTTTGTGATTTTATAACATGGGGTCTATGGGCAATCTCCCTGACCTAGCAGCTAGTGTATTATAACTTTTGTTTTTCTTTTGTCAAGAAGAGACCATTATGCTTTAAGCCAAGACCTCTCAACATATAATGACTGTACCAATGTTTATATTATGCAAATAAAAACTGTTGAGTGAAGACTGTTATCCCTAAGTCCAAAATGTATCTAGAATTAATTAATCATAATCTTACATGATAAAAAGATCAATCCATTTAATGCAAATGTTAATATTATTCAGAAAATGGACATGGCTACTAGGAATATTGCAATTATTAATCATTTGAAATGGAGCACATATATAAATGTTAATATAAATGCATTACAAACATACATCTTGTACAAGGTTACCATGGTAACCATCACTGTTATAGTCATCCTCCAACCTCTCCAGATATTTTTTGAAGAGCTCCACAGTGCTTGAACAGTGAATCAACGAGTCAATCTTCTCATCCAACTTGCGGAAATAACCAAACATACATAGCTCCTGAAATCAATTTCCACTCTTTATAGCAACATAAATGTATTTAGTCATATTGTCATCTGGTCTTGAATTCTATACTGCTTCCACGAATGTAGTATGAATAAGTCTAGACAAGGCATTAACACGACAAAATTAGAGATCTATTTCTTATATATTCAACCGTTTTGCTTCGTTATCGATGCCTTCTTATGACCTGGGACCTAGAAATATGCAGCCATTATGGACGGACGTGTTCCCTATATCCCTCCGAACTTCGTTCGATGGGATAAAAATAGTGACATATAATTCTACTTACTGAAAGAACAATCTTGAGAAAAAGAGGATTTGTTGTTTGTTTGGCTTCTACGACCCTTTCTAACTGACTAGCAGAGAGCTCCTTGCCAACTTCTTGTAGTGTTTGCTATAATATGGAACACAATTTAAACTATAAAACACAAAGAAAAACATCTGATTTAATTATTCTGGTTCTGATACTTGCCATTTACAAATGATGGAGAATATATATGATATTGATATTTATCTCGGTGACTGCGTTGCCGCTGGAAATATTGACATCATCCTTGTGATATTCCCCATATCAAATCCCTCCAGGTGAATAACTTCTTTTTATCCCATTGTTACAAGGATATAGATCGAATATCAGGTGAACATATATTTGATATGTGGATCAAGATATCATATTTTGGCAAAACATCTCCAAACCATTGAATATCACTTCTTAAAAAGTGATATTCAATGGTTTCAAAAGTGATATTCTATGGTTTCAAAATTGGTATACTCTGTTAAACTCAAGCATATTCACTTGTTATAGAATATTCTTAGAAACTCCAAACTTACTATTGATATTTCTTTCTGTTCCTCGCGACTAAGAGGCTGCATAACAAGGGAGTCATAGCCCCGTCTCTCAACTAACTCGTTCAATGTCATGTGATCTGTACTCAAACACGACACGATCAAATGAACATTTTTCGGGAAGGTTTCAGGCAACCAGAATAAGTGCTGAAACAATACAATGGCATTGATGCTCATAATACAGTTTTGAAACTTTCACAAATAGCAAGCTCTACTGAATTATACTGCTTTAATTCCACTATGTCAATTAATTAATATTCCAATAAAGCATATTTCAAAATTCAATTTGTACGAAATGAAAGAGGGACAGGACTGACTTTCAACAGACCACTAAAGCCCTACGGGGCTAGTTTGAGAAGGTCAGAGGGGATTTAATGTCTCAGATGCGAGTAGGTAGTTACCGGTTTCACCACTAGGTGGCTCGTTCGGGTCAAATAGCATGGGGGGTATAGGAGAAAGTTCCCTTTAACTTAATATTCATCAATTTTCATATCACCCTTATGTATCTAATAGTTATGCAAATTAAAATATGTCCAGTTAAAGAAAATATTATCTGTCCATTACAAGAAAAGATATTTAACTTTTTGTGATTTTATAACATGGGCTCTATGGGGAATCTCCCCTAACTAAAAATTACATTTTCAAAAAAACTAAATTTTCAAAGTTGATAAACAATTTCTGTAACCATATTTCTAGATGCATTTTTACTTGTAGATTTCAAATATGATATCACTTTGACTGAATTCTGAATATTTAATGACATAAATCAAGATTATATGTACTCGCATCTAGTCTATTGAACCCACGATTAAAAAGCATTTGTGTGCCTTGGAATAAAATTATCACATACTAATAATACAGTTCAAAAACATATTTTCAGATATTAGCAGAATTATCACATACTTATACTATGGTACAAAAATTGAAAATGTATAGGCCTATGATGTAACATTGTTTAATGTATTGAAATTTGAAAAAAAAATCCAATTTTTTAACTTATAATACATGTATAACGTGTGAAAAATTGGGTAAAATATGCAGATCAACAATGTTGTTGAAGAATAGCAGTAATCAAAGTTGGTGAAACAGAAAGGCCACCAACATTGTTGAAAATATTAAAAAGATGGGAAAAATTAATTTACATAAAGGTGACCAATGTGGACAAATTGTAACAGTAGCTAAATGGGGAAAACAATTTGTCATGTAGTTTCATGAATTATTTTTCATTCCAAAAATGAAACCTTCACAATGACCCTAATAAGCCCACTTTTGGATAATTTAAAGCTTCTAATATTTTGTACAGCATTGTTACCTTGTTAATCTTTTCTTTGTCTTTCACCTTGGTGAGTCCATCAATGAAGATGATAGTTATGTGACCAGTATCACTAGCTTCTCTTACTGTGTCCTCTAGAGCAAGCATGAGTCCATACCTAAATATAAAACAGATATAAGTCCTATTGAAACAGCTCTGTCTCTAAAATACATAAACATGTACTCCAATTTTTTCAATTCTTAATATTTGTAATTTTCTTTTGCTGAAAATATCATTGCTTAAAGGCCCCATATAAAGTACAGTATAAACTATATTGGCTTATATTGTAGTCTTACTCAATGTTATAGAAATGAGATTTGTACATGAAACTTTTTTTAATTTTAAAAGTGGTTTTTGAAAAATTATGAAATTATGTAAAACTAAATTTAGACTACGTTCAATCTTCCAAATTGTATTAAAAAACGTATCCTGTATTAGTACATTGAACAACCTAATTGTCCATATCTTCTATAGTATTATGAAATGACAGAATTGATTATCATGAAAACTATATTGCTCTCCAGGTAAGCTAAATAATTATTAAGGTGTTAATAGATATTCATTAAAATCTCAAGAATCTATTGGTTACTCTTACAGTTCTGACATCTGATAGGTCGTCATGGGAACTCATGTCAAATATAAAAACACAAAATTGTTTTCTTCGTCATACCTTACAACAGTATCTAAACTTAATAGACACAAAATAAATATTCATATTAGACCATTGTGTAAAATGGCTTTAAACAATTCAAACATTTTTCATTTGAACACAACATTATTAAAAGTGATTCAAAATGATGTAAATATAAATATAGCTGACAATAATGGAACGCTGATCAATTCTACATTTGGGACAGTACTCCAAGAAGAAAACAATGTAAACACTACCTTTGAAACAGCATATAGTGATAGAAACAATATTAGTACCACGTCTATTTATGATAAGTTTGAACACTCAGATCACACACATCATGATTCATTTGAATCTTTGGTGCATAGAATTTTGATTGTCATTGTTGCTATAGTAGCAATAATCATCGGATGCACAACAAACATTTGGATCATCATTGCAGCTATCATGGACAAAAATTGCCGCAACAAAAATTCATTCATTATTGTTCTGGCAATTAATGACATAATCGGATGTGGCTTTTTACTTCCAATACAAATATATTTTATGACAGTAGAAGAAATGCTTCCCTCCATCTTATTTTGTAAAATATATACATCATTCTTGTTTATGTTCATCTCGGCAAATGGAATGATACTGATCTTAGTTGTGATAGATCAGACAGTATATATCACGAAACCCCGGGACACTTACAAGAAATGGTTTCGACGCAGAAATTGTGTAATCATAACATTTGCAGTATATGCTACAATATTAGGATCAAGTGTCTCTTCATTTCTTAAAAACCAGAAAATATATCAATTTATACTTTTGTATTTGGACTGTGTGAATCTCAAGACGACAAGCTCTTCAACAAACTTTTTCATTTCAGTTGGAGTGATGTCGTTCATCACAGCAGCTGCATACATACGAATCATCATATTTTTAAGATACTCCAGGAAAAATGTCAACTCTATGAATAGACTTGGTATTAATTATACCATACATCTTCGATACTTCATCCTGGTTACATTTTCTATTTTGTTACAATATGGTCCGAGTGTTGTTTCATATTATGTCATTGGATATGACTTCAATTATTGGTATTTATACCCATGGACAAGAGTTATACAACTATCAATGGGAGCTGTTCATCCTCTTATATTTGTATGGAAAATGCCAGCTTACATTATTGCCTTCAAAGCATTTATGAGATGTAAGTCACCACGTCAACTTCGCAAAGAGATGCGTAAGAAACAAGTTCTCAGGTTTGCTGTAGTTGAGCTAAAAGAAATACAACATGGTTGTAGAACTGATAAAATGACACCACGTAATATCAAAAAAATCAAATTGCCTATTGACATAGAACAAAGGACAGGAAATACAAGTGGTAATGAAAGAGAATTAGGAGAAAACAATGATGTAGAGAGAAGAAACAATTCTGATTTGAAGAAAAACAACAACGAAGTTAATGTGGGAGGAAAGACAACTAATATGGAAAAAGATGCAGGAAAAACAGATAACATGGTGAAAGATGTAGGAAAGACAAACAATGTGGAAACAGATAACGTGGTAAAACATTCGAGACAGATTAATGACATTGTAAAAGATACCAGAAACACAGATAATTTGGTAAATGATGAGAGAAAGACAAATGGCTTGAGGAAAGATGCTGAAAAGACAAATGACATGGGAATAGATGAAGGAAATGCAAATTATGAGGTAAATGATGAAGGAAAGACAAATGACATGGTAAATGACGAGGGAAAGACAAATGACATGGTAAATGATGAAGGAAATGCAAATTATGAGATAAATGATGAAGGAAAGACAAATGATGTGGTGAAAGATGAGGGAAATGCAAATTGCAAGGTAAATGATGAAGGAAAGACAAATGACAAGGTAAATGATGAGGGAAATGCAAATTATGAGATAAATGATGAAGGAAAGACAAATGGTGTGATGAAAGATGAGGGAAATGCAAATTATGAGGTAAATGATGAGGGAAAGACAAATGACATGGCAAATGATGAAGGAAATGCAAATTATGAGGTAAATGACGAGGGAAAGACAAATGACATGGTAAATGATGAAGGAAATGCAAATTATGAGATAAATGATGAAGGAAAGACAAATGATGTGGTGAAAGATGAGGGAAATGCAAATTATGAGGTAAATGATGAGGGAAAGACAAATGATATGGTAAGTGATGAGGAAAATGCAAATTATGAGGTAAATGATGAGGGAAAGACAAAAAATGATGTGGTGAAAGATGAGGAAAATGCAAATTATGAGGTAAAGGATGAGTGAAAGACAAATGATGTGGTGAAAGATGAGGGAAATGAAGAGACAAATGATGTGGTAAAAGATGAGGGAAATGCAAATTATGAGGTATATGTATAAAAAGAAGTACAAGTATATATGTATATTGATACCAGACTTTCACACCCTGTATATTCTTGTCACACTTTCACACCCTGTATACTCTTACAACACTTTTAAACCATTTACATTCTTAACACACTTTGACACCTTGTATTTTCTGATCACACTCTGACACCCTGTATATTATGATCACACTCTGTATACTCTCTCCACACATCAATACCTTAAATATTCTTACCACAACTTGATACATATTTTACCACACTTCTTTCCACAGTAACTATAAAATGTTCAACTCACTTATCATGTTCCTCTTCATTACTAGATGGACCATCAGCCTCAGGTATCTCTTTGCCATGGATTTGACGTTTTAGTTCCACCCTTAGGCGTTTCAATGTTGACAGTATATCTGGAAAATTCAGAATGATATGGTAAAATGGAGTTTCAACATACAAGGCAGGATATGATTAACAATATCAAAAATGAAATCTTACAAGATGGCAATCTTAAAAATGACAACTGACAATATCCTGATAATATCTTGTTGCGTAAATAATCAAAACTAATGTATTCAACTTCATGTTTTCCTAAGACCATATTCATCATAATAGTCGCATGTGCGCTTATTGGAACTGTGCTCTCGTTAGAGAGAATATGGTACATGTACTTGGGCTATACATCACTATGATACCTCTTCTTTCACTTGGGCTTTACAAGCAACATACTTCTATACATGAACTTACACATGTACATTATAACAGCACTATACCTGTACCTACCCTTCAGCTATACACCACTACAAAACCCATACTTGTACTTGTACTTTAAACCAGTATCACCAGCGGATCTAGACGGGGGCGTGGGGGCGCACGCCCCCCCCCCTAAAAAGTTGGAAAGTTCGTGTTTTGCCTCATCACTTTTTACAAAATTTGACTCTTCGGTCACAGTTATTATCACATGCCCCCCCTAACACAAAATCCTGGATCCGCCCCTGAGTATCTTACCTGTACTTTCACTAGAACTACCAACAAAGTGGTACACTATATAATCTTCTGGGTTGGTCTCCTTTCTTGCAGTAAGCCATGTTGAAATCAAAGCGGATTTACCACTTCCTGGGTCTCCATGAATTAACAATGGGACCTGTGTTCCAGATTTTAAAACTGCATCTAGTCTTTCATGGCAAATGCTGCCACCTATGTAGAGTCCGGAACGACTTTTGCAGAAAGCATTATGGGCTGAGAGTTCTATATCCCACTTTGATGGGTTAACGTTTGTTGTATCTGCTAGAAGGTGATCATTTAGACATCTCCACATTGCATCAAACATCTGTGAAGCACCCTGTGAATGGTCAAAATATAATCATCAATTTTGATCCTTATGTAAAGCGTGTTTTTTCCTCAGGGAAGACCATGCCTAATGGAATCTAGGTGCCAGTAGGTTATAATTATCAGTTTCACCACCAGGTGGCTAATTCTATTTTCATGATAGTATAAGATAGGTTCAAACAGTTCATAAACAATTTTATTTGGAGATATAACATTGTACATAGATTTTTATTATGATATCGCCTGATTGAAATCAAAATTTTATTGTATTTTTATTGTTGTTTATAATAACAGTTGTAATTGTATTTTTCTATTGTATTTTCATTGTTTCCTTGTTGCCTTTATTTTAATATTATATCATAAGGACATGATGAATAGGACCTTTTCCATTTTATGCACTAATAAGTACACTCATATTTATCTTTGTAAATTCCCTTGATGAAACAAAAGTTAGTGAAATAAATACCTCAACTGGGTCTCTATAAGCCATGTTTATACCAAGAGTCTGAAAATACAAACAGAACATGAAGAAAAAAGAATATGCTTGTACACTGTATTAAAGGCAGAATCTGATCTATAGGGGGTGACAAAATTACAAGCAACATGTATAATTGACCTACCAATCTATTCCTTACAATATCAAATCGTTAGTTTTCCTGGAATAAAGTATACACTTTTGTGATTTTTAAAAATAGACATGACGAGGAATGAGATGAGCCAAAAATATTCTAAAATTGAAACAATTTTTTGTTTAGCCTGCCCGCTATATCTGATTCTCTCTTTAAGCATACATATTGTATACTGTATAAAGTATACATATTATATACTGTACATACATATTGTATACTGTATAAAGAATACATATTATATACTGTGCATATATACAGTATTGTAAATAAAAAGTGTAAAAAAGTAGGCAAAAAATCTATTTGAATGCATCATTTCAACTGGCAACTCTGTCAGTTGGGATATGAAAAAAACACACTCGTATTCACATGAATAATACCCATAACAGTTATTTTTGTTAGGTGGTAGCAATACATATAACTACTATCCCCTCTGAGATTTCTTTAATCGATGTAAAGTAAATTCTAAAATTATATGTAAATATATATGTATGTATGTAAACACTAAAGAGTACCTTTTTCTCTGTTTCTCTTATTCTTTTTTTCAAATTGTCCATGTTTTTAGTCGCAAGCTCACTTTCTGATACATATGCAGCGACTTGACGTTTGTTACCCCGCTTTTCTGCTTCTTCTTTCTTCATGTCATCAAATGCCTGAAAATATTCAATAAAAATTATGTCCCCTAATTTGAAAAAAGTTTTAATTTTCAATCCTTACCAGATTCATCCGTTATCCCCTTTCTTGACATGATCTTTTTTCCTGAATGAACTTATGAAATAACATTTTTTCAATTTATTTTTTATTTATTGTTGACAACCTTTCATATGACATGACAGCTGTTCAATTTCCAAATGAATTAAATAGTGGGCTTTTACAAAATTCAAAAAGAAGAAATTAGGTCATGCCTTTATTTAGAACCCTAGAGCTATAACGAAAAAACAGACAAGTATTATTGTAATTAATAGTACTTTGAACATCCCCAAAAGAGCACACATGTGATTTTCACAACCGATATGGCCCCAAGATGAGCTTGTGATGAGCTTTGAGGATTAACTAAGATAGTTACATGTTGGAGCATTGGTTTTCATCCATCATCAGTGACATAATTTTTTCTCTATATTTTTTGAAAATCTCAATATTGTTGGAATTTTGAGACAAGACATTAACATGCAAAATGTCATCACCTAAACATTTGTTTCACCCACCACAACACTCTCCACCAACACCAAAAGCCATCCACCGAACACCATCCACAAAAAAGTTGGGAGACTATAAAGACTTGAAAACTTGAAAGAAGCCCACCTTGTCTCTGAAGCCTATCCAAGCTGGCATTTTCCCAGGATGGTTGAGATGTCCATGAAGAAATTCCCATTCTGTCACGCTTTTATCCCTGAACTTCAGTAGCCATGGGTACCTTGTTATAGAATTTTCAACATTAGCTTGCAATGCTTCATCATTTTCTCCCATCCATCCATAGCGCTGGAATTCAATTCAATATTGGTGTTAACAGACTATATATATTTAATATTGTACATCTAAGTAGTATTGCAAAATAGGATTAGACAACTGAGATCATAAAATGAAAGATTACATACTCATTATGCACAGACAGCACCATCTATCCTATAAAATATGAGAGTTTCACAACTTCTATGACAGGTATATCACCCTATGCAGACAGAGCCTGTGGGAAATATTGGGTGGGAAGCAAATGAGCGGAGGGTGCGGAGCTAACGGTCATTTTTGAATTTAAATTTGGGATATTTCTGGAACTAAGCCGTTTTGGGACTTCAAATATACCAAGATATGTGTATTTGACACCAAATATCAATACAATTGTGAAAATAGTAGCGCAATTCATTCTATAGCGACGCAGTGTGCCTTAAACCTTTCCCAGACCTATATATTTTGAAATTATCCTTTTAATACTGAGTCCCAAGCATTCATAAAAAATGGTGTTCAAGGTACACTATCTATACAAATTATTTTTGCATCTTGGAAGCCAGGCAGTATCAGTGTGATTTTATAAAAATTCGGAAATGTTTTTCAGATATGAGCCCCCTCTAAATATTGGGTGCGGAGCAGCTCCATAAACGTAGCTCCGCACCCAATATTTAGAGGGGGCTCATATCTGAAGAACATTTCCGAATTTTTATAAAATCACACAGATACTGCCTGGCTTCCAAGATGCAAAAATAATTTGCATGGGTAGTGTATCTTGAACACCATTTTTTATGAATGCTGGGGACGCAGTATTAAAAGGATAGTCTCAAAATATATAGGTCTGGGAAATGTTTAAGGCATACTGCGTCGCTATAAAATGAATTGCACTACTATTTTCACAATTTTATTGATATTTGGTGTCAAATACACATATCTTGGTATATTTGAAGTCCCAAAACGGCTTAGTTTCAGAAATACCCCAATTCTAAATTCAAAAATGACCGTTAGCTCCGCACCCTCCGCTCATTTGCGCCGCACCCAATATTTCCCACAGGCTCTGTCTGCATAGGGTGTATATGATAGATAGTGCTGCCATACATGTAACCACAAACAATCACTGATTTTCAGGTGATCACCTTCAGTTTATGTAAAGGTGGTAACATTACACTATGGGCCTCTGAGGTGGACTGCATCCCTTTTTGAACCAATCCCCAGTGATTGCTGAGGCTGAGTAAAGAAAAACTGCTCTAGCGAAAGAGGTAGAGAAGATAGGCAAGCTATGCTGGTGGACATGTTTTTTTAGATGTAGACTCAACCCCCTTAGAAAAAACCCTTGGGACACCTCAGGGTATTTAGCATATTTAACATACAGTCTAATGGATAAAAGAGACAAGTACATGTATTTCAAGGGAGCATGCATACTGTACCTGGCCAAAAAAGCCGACAAACATGTCAGATCGGTCAAGTTCACGCAGACATATGTTTACAGTTTGTGCATTGCCTGCAGCCTCTGTTGTTATGCCCCACCTCATGTCAACAGGGACAAACTGGATTCCCTTACTGTTACATAGGGATTGGATCTTGGGCCAATAACGCTTTGTCAATTCTTCCCTTTCTCCTTCCATTCCTTTGAAAGGTGAGCTGAAGAAAATCCGACATACTCGTGGATCTTTCAATTTCCATTCGAAGTGTTGGGTCATTTTGGTGCTTTATTTATTCATGATGTAAAAGATAGCACAAATCCCTATGTCCATACTTGTTAACAGGACTATTTTAACCCATGGAGAGGTATAATTTTGGATAATTTTGTGGACTGTTTACATGTTGCTCATGCAAAAGGTTAAACGGAAAAGGAAGTGCGAGGTCAACTACACCGAACGAAAAAGTCGTTGTCGAACTACTTTATCGTTACTGGCAACAAAATTAATACACGTTTCATTAATTGCTCATTAAAACGTGTTTGAAACTTAATTCAATTACATACAATGAGTCTACAAATAATGCCGTAGTACGAGTGGTCCAAATCATCTTACTGGACAGTGATAAACTTGCTATTATGTCAACTTAAAAGTCGGAATTATATTATGCGGATGAATTGAAAGCGTCAAAATATGTGTGATACGGCAACATTTAGAGAAAGTTTGAAACTTTTATCAGATTCTTACTTTACTGTTTACATCTTAACTAAAAGCAAATATAAACGGAAATATGGATAATCGATGAGGGAAAATACTAACTGAAGTACACTTAAACTTCATCAATAACAGAACGGACATAATTACTTGGATATGTGTAAAGAAGATTTGTATTCATTCAGCCTAGCCTGATGAATTATAATTATTTTTTAGATCTATAATTTAGATCTTATTTTTAATTTTTGAACTTAGAGTTAATTCATATATCAAAACAAAACAAGCTAAAATGCTTGCCACAAGTGAAAAATTACCTCATACTAAAGTGGTACCACCGACAACCAAAAATGTGGACCCAATATTGTACCCAAGAGCTCGGACTCTACCCATACTCAATACTGGACAATGCCAAAACACAATAATGTTAAAATATATGGGTTACCAATATCCAGCAATATCAGAACAATCATACAAAGACCGATCTGCTCAACAGAAATGGGAACATAAAAGAGGATCAAGGCCAATGCATAAAACAACACTTTCCTTAGAGAGTAAACCCATGTCAGATAAGGATACTTATACAACCACGTCAAAACAGGTAAGATCTTCGCATTCATATTTTCTCTTGACAAGGATTGTGTCTGAAATTATCAGTCACATGTTTGTTATGTCAAGTTTGTATTTTGATTAAGATTTTAAAATGTTCTGAAGTAGTCGATCTTATATAAATACTATTTATTGTTAAAGTACATATTTGTAGCTGTAAATGGGCTAATTAGACTTTTACAAATAATTAATGTAATGTAGGAGGTTTAACACTGAGTGTTGTAGTTACAACAGTTCATTCTCTGGGCACTTAAAAACAGAAGTCCCTGGTTTGTTTTTGAATGACTGAATTCTCTTATTTTCATAGTTACACATACATTGAAGTAACAACAAGAAGTAGTTGTGAAAATATTGATATTGATTTAATAATTATTAACAAAATCGTTAACAACTTTGTTAATGGTACATTACTACCAGAGAGATGAACATTCATAGAAGATTTAATTATTGTTTTCTAAAGATTCCTTATCATCCTTATTGTTTTTGTGCAAGTCAGATGGCAATGTGTCCTTTGAAAAACAAATAAAATATGAAAAAGATTTAAGATATGAAATATGAAAATTTAAGATGCAGATACTCGTATGTATAAATTCATTAAAAAAAGACTAAATAACATTTATTCAAAAAGATATGACTAAGAATGACTCAAGCAAAAATATTGTCAAACAGAGAATTACACCATATCTCTATCCTGTTTCCTAAATTAGAAATAAATTGTAAATAAAAATTGATACTTGATATTGGACCAATATTTTGTTTTGTATTCAATTCTCTTTCCCGTGATATAATCTCCTGAAACATGGTACTTCGCAACCCTGATATTTCCCCTTCAATTTACCTCAAAGAATGAATGGTCAATTTATTCTGAATTAACAAGCAAACTTTACACGTTTAAGTCAACAATTAAAGTGTTAACATCTCACAAACAAACAAAGAAACCAAACTAAATACAAATCTTACGTCTGTTGGCATAAAACAAAACTGCCTTTTCACTATCACAAAATCATATTTGACAGATATTAAAAAAGAAATATATGTATGGAAGCTGTGTAAATCAATAGGAATAGATGTATGGAAGCTGTGTAAATCAATAAGAATAGACGTATGGAAGCTGTGTAAGTCAATGACTTTCAAAGTGTCAAATCAATGAAAGGGCTCTGAAGAATGAAATCAATAATGTTGGGCAATCACATCAGTTACCTGTACATCTCTCTAATTAATGGACATTTAGCTGAAGTAATAATTGATTTCTCTTTTGTATGATTGCCGGATGATAAATAATATTGATTATTTATAAGTCCTTCTTCACATTCTAACACTATAAATAGACTGTAATACATAAATTGCATGACTTTGTGCGTGTGTGTGTCTTTTGTACCATGTTGTATTTAGTAACATGCAGGTGAAGCTAAATAAAAATCGTGTTATAATCACAGACCAATTTTTAGACCAGCTACCCTGGCCTATTTTGAAATGATGATATGTGTCCTCTTCTTTTATATATTTACTACCTCTCTATGACCTGAATTTAGGTTTCTTTGACCAAATACCATCTCATCTTCTGGCCTTTGAATTGATATATAACTACAAGAGCTTGATTCTCAAAAACATCATTTTGATTTTGTAAAACAAAATAAAGTTCCTTTGGTGTACAGATATTTTCATAAATTCCAGACCCTGTTTACCTGCAGTACTGACTTGCATGTTTCAATTATTTTCAGTTCCATGGAGGTCGTAAAGACCTGGCACCCGCAGAGATCCCTACCCCAGGGATGAACATGCACATGAACCAGTTCAATATAGGCCCCACCCTAGAGAGGCAGTGGGGAACCCAATATGGGTCTCACTTCCGGGACAAGAAAGTTAAAACTGTAGGTATTTTCATGTTTCTTGGGCAATGTTTGGTGAGGCAATTTTGGCAAGGCAATGTTTGGTGAGGCCATTTTGGCAAGGTGATGTTTTGTGAGGCCATTTTGGCAAGGCAATGTTTTGTGAGGCCATTTTGGCAAGGTGATGTTTTGTGAGGCCATTTTGGCAAGGCAATGTTTGGTGAGGCCATTTTGGCAAGGCAATGTTTTGTGAGGCCATTTTGGCAAGGCAATGTTTGGTGAGGCCATTTTGGCAAGGTGATGTTTTGTGAGGCCATTTTGGCAAGGCAATGTTTTGTGAGGCCATTTTGGCAAGGTGATGTTTTGTGAGGCCATTTTGGCAAGGCAATGTTTGGTGAGGCCATTTTGGCAAGGCAATGTTTTGTGAGGCCATTTTGGCAAGGCAATGTTTTGTGAGGCCATTTTGGCAAGGCAATGTTTGGTGAGGCCATTTTGTGCAAGGCAATGTTTTGTGAGGCCATTTTGGCAAGGCAATGTTTTGTGAGGCCATTTTGGCAAGGCAATGTTTTGTGAGGCCATTTTGGCAAGGCAATGTTTGGTGAGGCAGTTTTATATCTTACTTATATTAAGATAGACCGAGTAGGAGTAACCATGGAAATCATGCTTCAAAATATTTTGAAATGGGATTCAATAAATATGCTAATAATTATTTTTTTATGATTACCAGCCTTTTTATAATTACTTTCAATTTATAATGTGTTAATTAAAAAGTACTATTATATTAGTCAAAAATAATTATATATTCTTATTTCCAGCTTTTTCATCAATTTTTGCAATGAATTATGTGTTAATTAGCAAGACACTCCCAAAATACATTATTTTTATAAATAGGCCTATATATTTTCATTTAGATTTTACAACTTCTTAAAACCACCAAAATTATTAAGGATTTAATGACAAGAATTTATATTGTAAAAAAGTAACATATCTTTTTTCTTTTCCAGCCATTTGAAGTTCACTACCCTTCTTATGACAATTTTCTGAAACAAACTGAGGGAACTGGTGTTAAAAGCACAATCAAGACTGCCCCCGAGCCACCTAGCTATTGGTCACAGTATAACCGAATTCACAGTAAGCTTGGCATGATGCGGGGTAATGGAGTTGCAAGGGAATATCCAGTCAGGGCATCCTATAACATTTTAACAGGTATGTCTGCATCGAAAAGCAAGTCTAGGCCGTGTATGGTTATTATGGTTATGCACGTTTGAATAAAGAGGCTTTATGGACACCTTGTGTAACCTTAGGCCCAGTGCTATGTGTCTGACTTATTCAGTTTTTCGATTTTCTTTACCAATTATAATAATCAGTATTTTAAAATTACGGCAAAACCTTCATGCATCTAATTCTTATGGTTATAAAACTACTATAATCAAGGAATAAATAATGATAGGCCATTCAATATGGTGAAATTCAGCACGAGTTGGACAGAATGTTGTACAAAGCACGAACCGAAGGTGAGTGCATTTGTACTAACATTCTGTCCAACTCGTGCTGAATTTCACCATATTGAATGGCCTATCATTATTTATTCCGATTCAAACATAAAAATTAGTAAAAGCCGTGTCTGTGGAACGGGCATGAAGGAAGAATACGCATGCTGTCAAGATTCTGAAGTCGGCCGGAAAAAATTTAGAATTTGTTAGGGCTGTTCTATTTTACTCCCCGTTTTAGATTTTATACAGTGTATAACTTGAAGTCAGCCATAGTTAAATAGTTACAGTAGATACGGAGGGAGTAAAAAAGAACAGCTATCCCCGGACAGAGCCCCAGATGTGCAGCTGAGATGTGACGTCACTCAAAACAATGCAAATTGCAGATTGAATAGAGCATGGTCGTGCATCTATGGAGAATTAGAGAACGTTCTATATTGGCTATGCTGCATTCTGATTGGTTGAGAAATTTGAATAGAGCACGGTCATGTTTGAATGTAGAATATAAACCAGAAGTATAAACAGTTACCTGGGAATCCTAATGTTCACCGATAATCATAATGTTCACTGGTAATCATAATGTTCACTGGTAATCATGATGTTCACCGATAATCATAATGTTCACTGGTAATCATGATGTTCACTGGTAATCATAATGTTCACTGGTAATCATAATGTTCACAGGTAATCATAATGTTGAGATATCATATTTCTATTGCTTGATTATGTTGATTTCAGGTGAAGAGACTGGTCCCGCATGGCAAGAAGAAAACAGACGCTCTTCAGGCAACAGAGTCCTCTATAGCAAACGACAAGACGCTGATGAACGGTTCATTCTCGGATAAAATCTAATTGGACTTTAAAGTTTTAAAATGCTTGTAGCAGATTAGGCTATTATGCGAAATAAAATTCTTAATTTCTTATATCCAAAAAGAAAAAAAGTAATCATAAAAAAATGCATGATACTGTACCGTACTGTACTGTTTTGGGTACAGTACTGTTTGGTACTGTAAAATATGGTACTGTAGACACAAACAGTACCATATGGTAGCTTAGCAGAGATAAGCACAATCACAAAATTATAGAGCTTTTTGCTTTACACAATCACTCACTTGAATATGCCAAAAATAAATAAACAGTATTATAATTATTATTATATATAATTTGTTGTTCTGTTATGCTGTATAATCATAAAATGGGAGCTTGACAAGTAGATATAATGATTATTAAGTTAATTAGACTAAGGGATATTTTAAGGGGCAATGAGCCCATAAACATACTTTTTCAAAAAATGTTAACATAATTTTCACTGAAAAGGCACTCCTTTATTATAATGTTTAATGAACAATTATAATGTACTTTGAGACGTGTTTTATTTCCTAAAAGGAAAGGTGGATTGCTCCAGGGATTTTGAAGACACTGAATTTAGATGACCAAAATGAGCTGAAACCAATGAATAGCATGAGCACAGAGTTTATATTTATTATCTATGGTTAGGTTCCTGCCGGGTTAAAGTAACACACAGATGATGTATCTATAATCTAAAACCCCAAAAAGTAATAGATATGACTATATGTTATATAAAAAAGAAAATTAAAAAAAAATTTGTGGGCCATGACTGGGATTCGAACCACCAAATGTTCCATTAGTTTCAAGTTGAATAATACTAGATATTTCTAAGCCATGTAATAAGTTTTAAAAAATAGTTGAATCCCTGCACCAGATTAATAATAAAAAATAGTCAATAATCATGCCAATAATATTAAAATACATATTTAAGTAAATATTCTAAGCCAAAATCAGGATTAATGATATAAATCCAGTTTTCATTTAGAGAATCTATTTCCGGTTATAATTGTGAAAAAACATGGCCTCCAAAAAAAAATTGTTGCTACTATTTTTCAAAATGATATATCCATGGATCAGCTGTTTTTGTCACCTAAACTCACCTTAATAGAAAGGTAAGACTATTTTCTTGAGAAGTATTTCATGAAATCCCTCTGAAGTCCTTGTGTGTGGCTTTAAGTCAGTATACATAATGTAACATAACAACAAGGATTATTAAAACTACAAGATTTATTCATGTACCGTGCTTAATACAATGTAAAGTTAATGATATAACAAATTCACTTTTCAAAATCTCTCATGGAACTTACTGACACAGATCTCACTTCCTTTAGCACATCCATGGAAACATTAGGAATTTTGAACCTCTCACGCTAGACCCTCATGACCCCTACCCAATTTTCGTCAATATCAGTCATAACTTTTTGTAGAAAGTACCTTAGTAATAGAAAGAGATACGGAACAATAAAGTACTATCTTATCTTATAAACGTTTCCATAGATTATGCTAAAATTTCCATCTTTCACAGACTTAAGAGATATAATACGATACAAGGATACTAAAAAATGGAACAATACACTCATTATTTCAAATGATTATCAAATCCATGTTGAAAGTGTTTTATTAATGTTTTTATAATTGGTAGAAATTAACCTCGAAATGGTCAATTTGTGAAAGATCTCAATTGAAGTGTCAGGCCTCTCGCATGTCTCAGCAATGAATTCGAAGATAGAGAGATCCGAGAGAGAAAATGTTTCAAAATAAGCAGAATGTGAGTAAAATAGAGGGAAATGTAAAAAATCAATGAACATCAAAAACAACAAGGCATTAACATGCAAAATGTCACCATCTGCCATTTGTTACAGATGCTGAATGCTAACTGCTGAACACCAACCACCGAATGCCCTCACAAAAGAGTTGGAGGAACAAACAAAATTTAATTATATTTTTGCAAATGGAAATCATATTTTCATGCCCCGTACAGTTTTACGATGTTGAGATCTTGACATTCTCCTCAAATGAATATCTAATTTTATTGACCACACAGAATGATTATGACAATTCCACATATCAAACCTTTACCATGAAGATTAGAGTATACTAACAACAAAGATATACAGCAGACATTTCAGAGTCTTGATACATCGGTCAAAATCAAACAATTGTATGAAACATTCAAACAGATCAACCATGCAATGAGCACCTACAAGACCAGCACCCATATCATGTAAATGGTCTGAATCTCCATATTACTGCAACATATTTAAGCAAAATACATATCAGTCATACATTTTTTGTGTGAGAAAGCAGATACCGTTGCCAACACTTTTTCATACCATATATGATAGTACTTAGTACCATGATGAGAGAATAGGATGTCAGTATTTATTACATGTAATGGATATTGCAGAGATGTATTGCTTGATATTTTACAACCTGTATTATTTTAACACCTAGAAACCCTTAATACCTTTACCCGAACCATTTGAAACACAAAACATCTAAATATATTATTCAAATTAAAATGAAATTACAAAATTTCAAAGTTGCAAATCCTGTACAAAATAGAGTGAGACATAAACTGGTAAGTATAATTTAGGAGTAGAACAAAGTAGAGCAACTAACATGTGTCAGTAACACCTCTTTGAAACAAAGGCAAGTCTGTAATTTAAAAAAGGATTTTACTGTTCATTATTACCACCTTGCCGGGCCAGTTCTAGGGGTTTTAGTGCTAGTTTAGAAGGCATTTATTTTACTATATCGACCTGAGAAATGTGTGACGTCATAGTGGTGGTCCATATGGACCGGTCTAGAATATATTCTGGACCGGCAATTTTCACCGGGAAATTAGATATCGTTCAATATCGAGCAATATAGTGAAATATTGGACCTTGGGCCTTCGGCCCTCGGTCCAATATTTCATTTTATTATGCACCTCATTAAAATACTCAAATCTGATTGGTTCTTAGTTTCTTGTAATTTGGCAATACTCTGCTCTTTTCTGAAAACTGCCGGATATTTTTTTAATATCTGACCCTTTCAAGAAAAAGGGTCGGATATTTTTTTCAATGTTTTTGCAATATTCCCACTTCAGAGTTTTATTTCTTAATAACTGGAGTACTACTTAAAGCTTACATCTGAAACTGGCGGAAAATAGAAGAAAAAAATGCACTTAATCAATCACAATTACCCTTATCATTCAAAAGTTACATATAATTCTGCAAGAACGTCTCGAATAAATTAAAAAATTAAATTCCCGGGGCAAATATTTTTGTCCAGTGTAGCGAATAAACTGGCCGGAAGTCGTCTGAGTTTTGAAAGAAAAAATAAATAAATGTCAAAATAATGTCAACTAAACGACAGTTTAAGCCTGTACTCCAATAAGTACTCCACTTAACTTTGATTTGGAGGTGCATAATAAAACAAATACTGGATGATCAGGAGCTGGATATGGCCAGAATACCTATCCTATCCTAGAATAGGTATTCTGCCATATCCAGCTCCTGATCATCCAGTATTTGTTTAATATCGCCCTTAGAAATGACGTTATTGTACTATTGTATCAAGATGCTTACATGGCAAAGTGACCTATCATGTAATAGACTAGACAATTCACAGTCGGCAATCAATATTACAAAGACAGGGATTATATGAAGTAATCAATCCTGGCAGACCTATGAAGTTAGAATATGATACAGGAAAATGATACAGTCAATTTGATACACTAAAACCTGTCTAAAGTCAACACTGCTGAGAGTGTTCTCATTATTAGAATATTGTTCACATCACATTGAAGGAATGTGATCAACGAAACACTTAAAGGAGTGGAACTAAAAAACTTAACATTACAAGGTGTTGATATGAAGTGTTCACATACAACTACTTAGATTTTTCTAGATACAAAATATGCCTTTGTCATTCTTCATTCAAACATGAATCCAAACACAACAAATCTAAAGATGTATAAAAAGATATTGTGACACACAGCATGATGATTTGATGATTCTAAGCAATTGACCGAATGGTGAAACTATGTTATAATGTCAAAACAGAAGCAAGAAATTAGCATTGAAGTATACAGTGTATATATATCCTAAGCTACATTCTATGTGTTTCTCGTAAATTCCCAAGAAAGGTATGCCTAATTTCCAAGTAATCAATTTGAAAAAAGATAATTCAAAAAAAATATGCTGGGGGATATCTTAGATCATTTTACACGAAAGAAAATATTTTAAACAAAAGAGTATATTTATGAAAGAAATGCCACCTCTGGATATTTTCACAGCAGAGGGCAAAGTGACTTCTGAAAACTGCAATCCTTGCTTTTATTAATAGGTTACTAGTCATTTCCAAGTTACTCCCATATTCATCATTGAAAATCAATTTCACAATTTTGCATACATAAGAAATTATTTGCTTAGTCCAATATCAGTAAACAACTGATGCAAGTACTTAAACAATCAATTAATAAATTGAAAATGTAATTTGTGTGTTTTCACTTATACCAGATATAGTAGCATATAGGCATAATTAATTTTGTTTATCTCATCTTTTAATGTGCTTATACAGTATTATGGTTTGATTCAATTTCTTGGGAATTTACTCAACTTTTCATAAACAATGAATATGTTTAGTAAAGGTTTCAAAAGGTTTTAAATCTATGATAAGATGTGAACCCCAAAATATGGGTATTTTATTTTATTATTTTCATTATCAGGAACCAGTATTTAGCCTACGCTACAGGTTCTAAGCATGTTCTACATTTGAAAAATCGAAGGAAAGCAAGAACGTGAACTATATGACATATGCACATATATTCAAAAAGTATTTTGAAACCTTTACTAGATTAACCTTTAACAATTATATATTCAGTGAAACCGACTTCATCGGTTATACATTATTTTTTTTATGTTTTTGTAATATTTTCATCTTGGCCACTTCTTGATCATTTGCTATGATTTCTAACCATCACCAACATACTCTAACCAGCATTTTGGTCACATGACACAAACTGACCTATCAGCTTACTAACATACATTGAAGGGAATAACAGAATCATGGGATCTGCAGCAAATCTGCAAGATATCAAGATCTGGATTTCATATGTAATTCTTAACACTGACCAACTCATTCATTTTCTCTCATTAACCCTTTACTTGTCAGTGACATTGTTCTCATGATCCATTTTAACCCTTTTGTTCCCGAATTCTGAAAGATTTACACATAAAAGCCTAATAATGGTGTTCTGGAAAGCTGTGGGTTAAAATCGCATAAATTCTTAAAATTTTAGTTGACTGGCTAAAAGTGGATATAATGTACAGCAAGTCATGGAGGTGAACAAAACTGTTTACAAATATCAAAACAGTTTCCTTTAGAATAGGCTAGAAATTCATTAAGAATATCACGGTGTATATGTACTTGGTTTACTGTTATCATTGTCAAAATTTCAACAAACAATTCAACCAAATGTTGTCATTTTTGTAATAGGTGACAAAAATTCACGATAATGTTAAACATTTTAGTAAATGAGAAATAAATGAGTGTCAAAATTCTACTACATTTGAAGAATTTAAGCAAATTGAGAACAATGTCATTCCATCATGAGTAAATCTAGCAAATGATCGTCAGATAATATATTGGCCTTCTCTAACTCAAAGTGTTAGTTATAAACTCATAACCCTAAATAATAATAATCAGACAAGGTATGCAAATATACAGTTACCATATTACAACTCATCAGTCCAGATATTTTATCAGATATAATATCGCTATGTTATGGGTCAGCATTTACTTTAATTGGTTCACACAGACTTAGCCCATATTTTTGATTGTTTTGTTGCTTAATATTCAAAAAGGAATCTTATGAATCCCATAATCTTTTGCTGTATAATGTTCCTTGGAATCATTGTTTGAAAAGGCTCATACAGGATTTTTTTATATTCACAAATCACATTCTGTCTAACCTTTTCCAAATAGGAAAGATATTTGGTTATCAAAAAATGATTTTGTTGCCATTATTTGCAATTAAGCAACCAATGATATCGCATGTTGGCCATATGGCATATATGAATCCTGAATGAAGAGATACAATGTATACAGATGCAATGTTTAGATACTATATACCCATGGTACATAGAATCTGATCGCTGTTTTAGTTGTAATATGTTAACTGGTCAATGCACATAACTTCTCCATAGTAATAATTACTCCTTCCACCAACGATCTTCATTATTCCTGATCTTATTTGTGGTGGTTCATGAAAATCAAACCTCTCCCATATTGGAGGTAGAAAAGCAAAGTTTTGGTCCTATCAGTTGCCTGTATAAAGCATGTGTATAGCTTGATTTATGGCCCTACGGCCGGGCCCACAAACTTGCTTCTTGTCAAGGTACCTGAAGGTTTTGCTCTTAATCGCACTTCCACAGTCCGCGTGCAGTACGCTTCATTACCTACGATATTTTGGTGAATTTTTTCCCCGATATTTTCTATTGCGCTGTCAGACCCAAGGAGTCCATCCTTCGTAGAGTAGACACAGGTTTTCCATGTTGGTAGCCTCATGAATCACAAAGTCAACCTGAAGAAAGGCAATAAAGGATAGTTCAACATCATTTCGTTGTCCCAGGATCTCATATTACTGACACAGAAAATAAGGCACAAAATGAGCAGAATCAGTCTCCTCCCCATAAATACTAGTTTAACACCAATTTACAAAACACTGAAACATACAACTCATAAACACTCACCAGCACATTATTATGCGCTACGATCAACAATATTAGCCACCGTGAAAACATTAGTAGGTAAGGGACCAGTGAATGAACATTCATACTTTAACCCAAGTTGTCATTAGGGTCTGTTGTTCTATCATACCTGTTCAGGGACTGACAAACGTTGGTTTATGTCTGGATCCCGGCCATCGAGTTTCTGCTTCACCCTCCTCCACACACTGACTGCATACGAGTTGCGCTCCTGAACAGCTGAAAGTAAAATGTAATATAAGGGTGATAAATTGCACAGATAGCTGTGATAAATAATATCTGTGTCATTCAGGCCATACCTGCTGAGGAATGCAGTTGGGTCATTGCAGGTTTGCCTACAGCGGTTACACCTGTATCATCCATTCTAGCTATATTCACATAGACCATGGGCTTTCAATTAAAAGGGTATGCAACTCTGTGTAATAACATGAGACCTTCAAAATGAGCAATGCCATGCTTACCCTTTAGGGTAATATTTCAAAAAATATTAGATAAATGTAGTATGCTTTAGTATTATTTTGAATAAAAATCAATTTCAAGTGCTGTAACATTGTTACTACCAGTCTGATAGTCATGAAATATGGTAGGCTGGTAATGATAAGGAATTGAATGATGTAAAAATGTGTCAAATATCAGGGCATAATTTCCTAAAATGACAAAGATATGAGGAAAATGCAGGTTTTCCATTTTTTTACCATACTGTACTAAAGGCATCAGGTGCCCTTGGGGTCATTAACACAAACTACATAAAGTTTTGATTTGCTAAAGTACGTTGTTCTTTTACGATATGACGTCATTATATCCATGGTTACAACAATTGATGTAAGAATTCTTACATATGTGGTTTCTGCTAATTACCCCCTCATCGATAATATTCATTTCTACTGATCGAAGTCAATACCTTCCTGCGCATCTTTCACTAGTGAAAGTATTGCTTGTTATTTTTTAGTCATATGTATAACAAAAATATTTGAATATTTTTATATTTGACAGCCTCACATGGAGTTATTGTTACATTGCTATTGTATTGTACAGCACATCAATTGCAACAAACAATTTAATAATTAACAAGAAACCTTTTACAAAATTGCTTCAATTTTCACTTGACATTTTAAAATTTATAGTTCTTTTTCAAAAACACTCAATGATAAATTTATTAATGCATTCTGTTTATATTAACTGTTTTAGGCTTTTTAAAATAGACACTTCAAATCTCATAAAAATTGGAAAATGTTGAAATCGATGACATTTCAGAAAAACACAAAGGTTGCTGTATTGATAAATGTTCTGTGTTTGTTTAGAAATGAAAGTCTTCTAAATACATAAATTAATATTAGATAAATTTAAACAAATTACTTCTTAGTTAATTAATTACATAACCAACATCATATATCAACACCCAAAATTATCAAAACGCTGCGCCAAGATCAAAGGTCCCTGCATCACTTTAGGAAACTGTGTTACAAATGTGTTCTGAATACACGACCATACATTCAAATTAACAAAGAACATTCACTTACATTTACAAATAATCCTCTATGTATGTATAACCAGAACAAAAAATCATACTTCAAGTAAAACAGTAGGCAATAACTTCTATGTACAAATGACTACAATTGGCCTGGATTGTTAACATATTTGCACAGCTATTTTGAAAAGTGCCTGAAGGACTATATAAAACCCTATGAAGAGACAAGAAAGTTTCCCTGCCCTTTATGCAAGACATATATGCAGAGCTAGCAACAGCAGGAGTACTGAGTAGCCATGTTAGAGCCAGATTTCTTCCTGGCTGGGCTTCAGGATTTGAACGTTAAAGAGAAGATGTGTGACATCTGTCGGGATGATACCCCTGCCACGGCACGGTGTAGTGAATGTGCCGATTACCTCTGTCAAAAGTGCCATGAAATGCATGGGAGAATTAAATCGACACGTAACCACCAGGTTTTGCTGATTGCTGATATAACTCCAGAAATGCTGCGTGAAATTCATCAAAAGTATCCCGTGTTCTGCAAACAACATGACTCCGAGGCTCTGTGTTATTTCTGCCTGAGCTGTGATGAAGCAATATGTCGAGAATGCAAGCTGAATGGCCACGAGAAACATGAAACTGTGAAGCTTCAAGTTGCTGCTAAAACTGACCGAGAGATTGTTAAAGCAATGTACCATAAGGGCATAACTAAACTTAAAGAAATGGAGACATCAAAGACAGGCCTTGATAGCTACAAGGGCATCATAGCCGATAAACAGAGAGAACTTAGTGATCAAATCAAAACACGTTGTGATGAGCTCCATATACTGATAGATGACATGTCAAATTCAATAATCGCAAAATTAAATGATGTGTACGCCAGCGAGAGAAATCAAACTGATGGTGAGAATACGAGAATCAATCAAAATGCATCAGCCATGAGAAACATCTGTGAAACCTCCCACAGTCTTTTAGAACGTGGAAATGATGCAGAGATTGTCATCTTGAAGAAAAAACTCGAAGAAAGGATAAAGGTTCTTGAGAGTACTGAGTGTATTGAGGCTGATATACAACAACAGTTGAAGTTCTGGAAATTCCAACCAGGCAGCTCAGATAAGAAGGATATTTCAGAACTATTTGGTGAATTTTGTGTCAGCCATATTGTTACTCGTGGTATTCTTATGTCATCATTCAACGTCCCATTGGAATCAAACATTCAGGCATTTTACGGTCCTCTTAATGGTATCGCAGTTGTTCAAGGATTTATTGTTATCGCAGACACCTTCCTCAATCGCTTGAGAGTCTTAACAATAGATGGTGAGCTTGAACCTGATTCTCCCTTTTCCAAACATGAGTTTGGAAGTCTGCAAGACATTGCAGCTTTCCGAGATGGGGGGCTCGTAGCGACTGACCGTCAAGCTAAGATAATATTTGTATTTGATGCGAATGGAGAGGTTTTGAGAAAGATTGAGTCTACGAATGGTGATCCATGTGGAGTGGCTGTTAACACCTGGTACCACATAATTGTTGCCCATAATTTCTATAACTGCGTAGAGGTGTATGACAGTAACACAGGAGCTGTCATTAGGAAACTCTCATACCTCAACAGCCCTCTGTATGTGGCAGTCAGCCCTGATAACACCATTGCAGTCAGTGAAAGCACCAACCATTGTGTCAAAGTCTTCAACCCAACTGGAAAACACACCTGCACATATGGCATGGTTGGAGTTGGGAGGGGGCAATTTCAGTATCCCCTAGGGATCGCGTTTGATACTCATGGCCATATACTAATAGCAGATCATGCTAATAACCGTCTACACCTGTTGGCTGCCCATGGAAGGTTCAAGTGTTTTGTGGTAAACTTTGAGCATGGGCTCCAACACCCACATGCAATCACATTCAGTGAAGAAGGTCATATAATTGTGACTGAGAGGCAAGGTGCAGTGAAAACATTTAAATATATGCAATGAATAACAACAGAAACAATAGACATCATGCAAAATACATAGAGGTTATTTAATGGGAGGGATGGAATATGAATTTTATTCCAAGGGAAAATATGATATTGGCCAAGGAAAATATCATATTGACAGAGGGCGATAGCCGGAGTGTTAATATGAAAAAATTCATATTCCATCACGACCATCAATAACCTATTTATTCTATTATAATTTTCTAAAATAAAACCCAAGAGAAATTACTGGGAATAGTTCTAATACGGGATCTGATACGGGATTTTTGCTGATATGGAATCCAATACAAGATTTTGGCTGATACGGGATCTGATACGGGATTTCTTGAACATCAATTTTATTCCCTGTTAATTTCCTGGGGAAAACATGTTATTATGGAATATAAAAAGCATCAACCACTACAAACTGTCACAAAACCGTTGTATTGGTGGTGACCAACTTTTATATTCAGCAGTTGTCTTGTGAAATAAGGAGTGTGTCATATCTGATCAGGAAAGTAAAAAAGAAAGTCAAATCTATGACTTGGATAATTTGAACTTATGCTTTTGAAATCCTACACATTATGTTGATAATTTATTACCACTCACTTGTAAAGGAGTAGCACATGATCTTAATAAAATCAAACAATTGAATATAAAATTGAGCAGTGTATTCAAAAGTACAGTTAAACCTGTTCTTGTGAACACCTTTTTCTACTGAACTCCTGTCCTTAGTGAATACCTTTCTAGGAACATACTTCATTGTCATTTGTATTAAAATCTCTATGTAGTGAACACCCACATATGGGACATATATGATCCTAGTGAATACCTTTCTAGGAACATACTTCATTGTCATTTGTATTAAAATCTCTATGTAGTGAACACCCACATATGGGACATATATGATCCTAGTGAATACCTTTGTAGGAACATACTTCATTGTCATTTGTATTAAAATCTCTATGTAGTGAACACCCACATATGGGACATATATGATCCTAGTGAATACCTTTCTAGGAACATACTTCATTGTCATTTGTATTAAAATCTCTATGTAGTGAACACCCACATATGGGACATATATGATCCTAGTGAATACCTTTGTAGGAACATACTTCATTGTCATTTGTATTAAAATCTCTATGTAGTGAACACCCACATATGGGACATATATGATCCTAGTGAATACCTTTGTAGGAACATACTTCATTGTCATTTGTATTAAAATCTCTATGTAGTGAACACCCACATATGGGACATACATGATCCTAGTGAATATCTTTGTAGGAACTTACTCCATACTACATACTCTGTATAAAAACCTCTATGTAGTGAACACTTCTTGTAGCTCAATAGGTGCTCACCATGCATAGGTTTTACTGTATATAGAATTCAAATCCATTAATGAGTAGTGTCTTAAAATCAGTTTGTAGCACATGTAAAATATGTTTTAGACTGTCATTTAGACTCAGTAACAATATGATTTAAATATTTACCTATAGTTGAATATTAATGAAGATAAAAGGCAATAGATTAGAACAGCATGCTTTAATGTACTGTTTATATCAATACCATAAATGTAAATGTTAGAATATGACTGGGTCTATTAAAATTAAATCATATCATAAAACATAACTTCATTGCTGCATATATTCATCCAAGCATCTATGACTTGTGGGGCAATATATGGAACATTAATATTTTCTGATTTTTCTTAAAATACAAAGATCACAAAGCAATGGAAATATTTGTCAAAATAGGCAGACTAGAATCCAAGGTCACAAATATTTGATATAAATCACTGAATAAAGATATTGTAAGAATTCTTAAAATCACAAAAAGCTTTTTTTAATTATTTTTAGGTTTTTCAAAATTTTAATTTGGGGGTCATGACTCAGTGAGTCTTTTAGACACCCTTTATCTACATATCAGAATTCAAATAATGAATACATTTTAAAAATGTAAATGTCACTGTACCTTTGCCAGTTCTTGGGTCACGCGTCACCTTGTCAACTTTCTTAGCACTCACCACTGAAAAAATACATGCCCTTTTATTTATATATGTGATACATGATGCACATCTTTACTCAATAAACTCTCTCTCTCTCTCTCTGGTGGTCCATTCAGATACTGGGGTGTTTTTGAAACTGTAACTTTTGATCTGGTCATACATCATTATTCATCACAAAGTAGACAACAGTTTTCTAGAAATTGTAAGTTACAGTCTCCGCAAAAAATCAACACCAAACAGTGATGTTATCAATAGGTGCAAACATAAGGAGGCGATCAGGAAACATTTAAGATATTTACTGTATATTAGAAACAATTGCTTCATATTGTGTATTATAATATGTCACCCTCAATGATGTAATATTGTTAAGTGGATAAATGGAGTAAATTAACATATGTTATCAATGAAAAATGTATTTTTACCGCTGGCTCTTGGGTTCATCAGGGGAGTTGCAGGTGGCGTTGCTGTCAACAGTTCCCGCGTGATAGTCCCTCGTTTGGTGGTGCCACCATCTTTATCAACATTCTTTTTCAATGCTAAAATATAAAAATTTAATCATCAGTCTAAAAAATAACAATGCACAGATGAATGACTTTTAGAAAGTTCTAATATCGAAATTGTTTTCTATACTGAAAAGCTACATTTATTACTTAGCAGAATTTACACATTTCTGCTTCAATCGTATCATTTAACAATTGAATTGTTTTACCTGTAGCAAAGCTGGGCCCATCCGTCTTTTCCACTTCCTGTTGCCCCAGAGACAATGGGGAGGCAAAATTGATGAGACCGTCATACACACTGAAATACACAACAGGAACCATGGCAACAACAGTCAGCGAGATCAAGATCAAGAAGTGGAGATAGAGGGAGTAACCTCCTTTGATCTATGGATTATTTTTCACCTGCTATAATTCAGTGCAATCTCCTTATATACACCAACATTCAATACACCAATACTAATGTCTCATCTAAATTATAATTCTCCAATTCAAAACTAATGCTTATTGTGAATGCAGGGATATCATCATTAAACTCTCTTAATTACACCATTAAAACCATATGTTAATAAATAGAAGCTAATTCACAAGATGACAGACATCTTATGGAGTCATCTGTGAAACTTGAGTATATATTTTATTAAATGAACAGAATTGTGCACTAGAGATCTTCAGCCATGACAAAGGGAGCAATGAAATGTTTGACAATTTATGTCATAATTGCAACATTGGTATGCGGGTTGATTGTACATTTTACTCCTAAAAATAAGAATAAGAAGGATCAGATAGAATTTTCAGTGAAAAGTCAGCAAAAAATTGAGTGTAATGGATTAAGAGACACAGTGACCTTGAAATCCAAGGTCAAGGTCATAGGAACTGCACGCGATTCAAATTCAACATGTGATTTCCCTATTTGTGGGTTAAACTCAAACCTAGGACCACCAAAGTTAATTGCAGCTGAAAAAAGTTGCTCAGATAATATAGAAAGTTGTGTAACAATTTTATGTAAGACTCACAATCGCTTACCATTAGTTAAACGAATGATAGAGTCTGCTTGGAGACTTTACCCCAAAATAAAAACCATCGTGGTTGATGATGAAAATAATGGAGTTAAAACAAATTTGCTTTGGCAGAATTTCCTATTGAGTCACCACAAAAAAGTTTGCTACACTCAGCTTGATGATTGGACAGGAATTGGTCTTGGTCGCAATTTTGGATTACAACTTATCAAAACAAAATATTTTTTGAGCATTGATGATGATTTCATATTTCCTGAGCAAAGAACTCTTGAGAAATTGGTGTTAGTATTAGAGAACACAGATGCAGCGATAGCAGGAAGTAACACAGCGTCTGTTTCCACTGTATTTGAAGTAAAATTCAATAGGGAAGCAAACCAAACTATCCTATCACAAACCCTAAAAGCAGTATATGAGAAAATACCTTGCTTCAATAATTGTTATACCTTGGATATGGTAGGGAACGGATTTCTAGCCAAAACCTCAGACATAATAGACATCAATGGATGGGATGGCCAACAAAAAATCCAAGAAAATGTTGATTTTTTCATCAGATTGAAATTAGCAGGAAAGAAAGTTGTCACATGTTTGGATATTGAGTTCAAACATGTGAGACCAAATCACAACTCACTCAGAAAAAAGACAGCAAAGGATGAAAATGATTACAAAAATATGTGGTTAATCAAGTGGGGCTTGAACAGGACTGAATTTGTGATCTAAAGCTGAGCCAAGTGCAAATCATGGGACTAACGTCTGAACCATTGACAAGGAAAATCTACCATGTTTATGAAATTAAAGAAAGTGACAACTACTATCATTTGACCTGCCTCCATTGTAAAAAATTATAATCGAAAAAGTATCAGTGCAAGTTATCCTGGTTTTGAAAATGTATGTAGGACTAAGGATAAAACTTCATTAAGGTTTATTAACAATATTCTTTCCTAATGAATAAAACAGTAATGGTTATGTGAATTTCAGAGTCAAACATGAAAAGGGAATAAATTTTTCAAAAATTAAATAAATTTGAACTGCTTTGGCATTAATCATTGAGTCTGTCAGACCCTTTCAAATTTTTTCTTCCTTTTCTTGTACTCACGACTACTTTTCGAGTTCCAGCAAAAATCGTAAAATAGGTTGAAACAGCCACCATTTTTCAAGATGGCTGCCATGTTTTTGAAAAATAATTATTAGATATTTAACATAATTTCCTATATAACTTTTTTCATTTAAAACCTATTAATATTACCGTTTTTTATGTTTTGCCTAAAATACAGTAAAATTGAAACTAAAATAGCAGCCATTTCGAAACCAGTAGCCATTTTTCATTTTTAAAATTCAATTGGCTTTTGAAGAGAACAATTGAATTCACATGAGGCATGTTAAACTTCAAGAATTTGACTCGAAATAGTGTCCTACAGGCAGCTATGCCATAAGAACAAATACGGATATAAACAAATTGGATATGGAGTTTATCCCGATGGAAATATAGATATCTTAATGATGGGGTCCGAGGTAAGATATCATAATTCCAGCAGGACATAGAGTATGCCATGGCACCTTGTCATGTTTTGAACTAACCTTACATTTTTCAACATTTAAATATATTGATACAACAAGGCACTTGATGTGAATGAGATCACACCATCAAAAACCTTCGAAATAGCCCCCATAAAACAAGATGGCTGCCCAAAATTTAATCAGCTCTAGAACTTGATATCCTCTATCATGCGAGTAAATTTGAAGGAAATCAAATGAGCAGTTTTCCCCGGAAATGCCAACGACAAGATCTATTGAAAAGCCTTCAAAATGGCCGGCAGAAAATAAGATGGCAGCCCAAAAGTTAATCAGCTCTAGAACTTCATATCCTCTAACATATGTGGGAATTTGGAGAAAATCCAATGAGCAGTTTTCCTGAAATGGTGATGACAAGATTCTTCAAAATGGCCACCAGAAAACAAGATGGCCACCCAAAAGCTAATCAGCTCTAGAACTTGTTATACTCTAACATGTGTGCGAATTTGGAAAAAAAACGATGAGCAGTTTTAATGAAATCACGATGACAAGATTTATTGAAAAACCTTCAAAATGGATGCCACAAAACAAGATGGCCACCCAAAAGTTAATCAGCTCTAGAAATTGATACCCTCTATCATGAGTGCTAATTTGGAGAAAATCGGATGAGCGGTTTTCCTAAAATGGCGATGACATGATTTATCGAGAAACTTTCAAAATGGCTGTCAGTAAACAAGATGGCAATGAATTTGTCTTAAAAGCTCCACAAATTTTTTTTACAAATCTCCAAGGGAAACTTTCATCATTTGAGGTATTTAGTTCAAGGTCAGAACTATATTTAGTTTCTTATCAGACATCAATATTTTGAAGCCGCCCCTAATCAGGAACTTAAACAGCATTTCCATGTTTTTACATTAATTGCAAATCTGTTCCACCAGCTAAGAGTGCAGCAGATTAAACTAATGTCTCATTTACATTAAAATCCTCCAATTCAAAATTGCTGTACGTATATCGTAAATGCAGGTATACCATAATTAAACTCTATTGATTACGCCATTAAAAGCATATGTTATGAATTGAATCTCATTTACAATAGAGACATCTTATGTCATCCACGAAACTGGCATATATCTTTAACAAACAAACAGCACTGTGCATTGGAGATCTTCTGACATGACAAGGAGAGCGATGAAATGTTTGACAATTTATGTCATAACTGCAACATTGGTATGCCTGTTGATTGTACATCAGATAATATTTTCAATGAAAAGCCAGAAACGATTTGAGTGTAAAGGATCAGAAGACACAGTGACCTTGAAATCCAAGGTCAAGGTCATAGGAACTGCACGTGATTCAAAAACAACATGTGATTTTCCTATTTGTGGGTTAAACTCAAACCTAGGACCACCAAAGTTGATTAAAGCTGAAAAAGGGTGTTCAGATAATGTAGAAAGTTGTGTAACAATTTTATGTAAGACTCATAATCGCTTCCTATTAGTTAAACGAATGATAAAGTCTGCTTGGAGACTTTACCCCGAAATAAAAACCATCGTGGTTGATGATGAAAATAAGGGAGTTAAAACAAGTCTGCTTTGGCAGAATTTCCTACTGAGTCACCACAAAAAAGTTTGCTACACTCAGCTTGATGATTGGACAGGGATTGGTCTTGGTCGCAATTATGGATTACAACTTATCAAAACAAAATATTTTTTGAGCATTGATGATGATGTTATATTTCCGAAGCAAAAAACTCTTGAGAAACTGGTGTCAGTTATGGAGAACACAGATACAGCTGTAGCAGGAAGTAACACAGCGTCTGTATTTAAAGTAAAATTCAATAGGGAAGCAAACCAAACTATCCTATCACACACCCTAAAAGCTGTGTATGAGAAAATACCTTGCTTCAATAATTGTTATACCTTGGATATGGTAGGGAACGCATTTCTAGCCAAAACCTCAGACATAATAGATATTAATGGATGGGATGGCCAACAAAAACTCCAAGAAAATGTTGATTTTTTCATCCGATTAAAATTAGCAGGAAAGAAATAGCGGAATCAATTGGTGAATGATCTTGCGTTTTCATACTAAAGTTTGTTTTTGAGTTTTTTCTTATAGTTTTATGTATTTAAAGATATTTAAGAGACAGGGCCCTTTTTCTAAAGCCCTTTTTAGAAAAATAATTGAGATTACACAGGATACCTGTTATTTCTGCTTTTTAACACAATTTTAATAAAAAATTCAAATTCCAAACTCCTTATATTACTATAATTCACCAATGGAGAATGGGAATTGAGCAACCAAACTTGGCACAAAGTTAGATCCTAGGACAAACTCTAATCTTAGGGCTTTGATTTTTTGTGATATCATATATATGCCTAGCAACCACATAGCAACCGCCTAAAATAACATATTTTACAATATAAATCCACTTAATATATGCTAGGATGCTATAATACCATTACAAAAAAAGTATTCTCATCCTAAAATACAACAATTTTAACATATTTACAGAAGTGACATCACCATGTTGCATAGCAACAACATGGCAACAGGTTACAATGTCCATTTTGGCATTTGCAGACCATATATCTATTAGGTCCATCTATTATATGTTCACTGCTTTTGGATCTCTTCCACATTATTTCTTAACAGATAGCAAATGTATCGATGCAGTTATGTCTGACCATTTTCTCTAGCAACGGCTTGAAATAAAGGTTAAATTTGCCTAGCAACGACCTACCAACATTTAAAAATAGCAATGTTTCTCATAAGAATTTCACTTTATATCCACTATATGTACTTGAAGAAAATATAATTTATGTCTTTTATGATTTATAAAGCTTTATAGTGACTCACTTATAAATCTTTAGTCTATTGTGTAAGGCATGAATTCTTGTCTTATGTATATCAAATTGCAATTCATGTTTCAGTTCCGAGATAAAGTAAACACGAAATATTCATCACATTGATACTTGATACATTTTCAGCATTGATACTGGATCCACTATATACCATTGCTCCAATACATGTGCTTCTTGTCCAAATGTCATTATAGTTACTCACTTATAAATCTTTAGTCTATTGTGTAAGGCATGAATTCTTGTCTTATGTATATCAAATTGCAATTCATGTTTCAGTTCCGAGATAAAGTAAACACGAAATATTCATCACATTGATACTTGATACATTTTCAGCATTGATACTGGATCCACTATATACCATTGCCCCCATACATGTGCTTCTTGTCCAAATTGCACCTGTAGGATCATTACATAAGTTCCATTGCTTGAAAACTGTCACCTTGCTGTGATGGTAAAATCCAGATGTGGTATCAGTTCCAGTATGGGTGTGGAACATTGGCAGCGCACATGATCCTTGTGGTCCTAGTGCTCAAGCAAATTCATAAATTGGAATGTAGCGTAAGTTTTGCCTTTTAAAAATGCTACATAGATCTCAATCTGTAGCTCAGAGGCACAGGCTATTAAGCTATCAAAACATTACTGTCCACCGATCTCATCATAAATGTCCTGCAACCTTTTCCGACACCATGAGACACATCCAAAAACATATATGTATCTGCCTCTTCCTGGGAGCAGGGACTATTATGGCATAATTAGCAGGATTATTGATGCACTCTCCTTCAATGGTTGAGACAAAGACTCTATCGTCTGCCATAATATGTCTTGTAACAGTTGCTAGTAGTGCAAAGAACTCTATCTTGTTGTCATTTTTTCTGAGAAATCCTATCCTAACACCAAACTACCAAGCAATTGGCGAGACTTTCTTGAAAAACTTAAAACTTTGAAATTAATGACTTGTATGTTTCAGCAAAGGCCAGATAGGATTTTCAGCTTTTAACAAGTACAACCTTGACCTAATGATTTAATCAGTAAAATATGGTGTCTTGATTTAAAAGCTATATCTATATACTATATTTTGAACTGCCAGGATACATAAACCCCATATGCTGGGTTCAGTGGAATATTACTATCCAAATGTGGAAAATTAACAATGTCATGAGGCAGATACATATATGTTTTTGCATGTGTCTCATGGTGTGGGAAAAGGTTGCAGGACAGTTATGATAAGATCAGTGGACAGTAATATTCTTGTGATAGCCTTAGCCTGTGCCTCTGAGCTACAGATTGAGGTCTATGTAACATTTTCAAAATGCAAATAGGTACATTCCAGTTCATGAGATTGCTAGAGCACTAGAACCACAAAGATCATGTGTGCTGCCAATGTTCCATGCCCATACTGGAACTGATACCACATCTGGACTTTACCATCAGAGCAAGGGACAGTTTTTAAGCAATGGAACCTATGTAATGATCTAACAGATGTCCTTTTGACTCTAGCAGATCGCCCATCAACCGTAACAACAGAAGTTATGGGCACAATTGAGAGGTTCATTATCCTGGTTTACCAGCCAACAAACAGTGAGACAAATCTCAATAACATGCACAGGCACATGTTCACTCATGACAGATGGATCCCGATAAAGTACCTCCAACATGAGACGCAGCACTCTATCATGTCATGCGAGCAGCTCTCCAAGGAGCACATGTATGGGGGCAATGGTATATAGTGGATCCAGTTCTTCCTTCAACAAACCTATGGGTATGGTTTAGGAGTGCATCAGGATTGTGGGTACACAGATGGACAATACTGTCACAAGCATCCGAGTCATGTAAAGTCATAATTAAATGTGAATGCACCAAATGTGACTGCAAAAGAAACTGCAAATGCCATGGTGCATTCTGCTGCACTGAAACTGCAAAGGAAATTGTAGCAATTAATCGAAATAAAGTATTATCTTAGGGGTATCAATGCTGAAAATGTTACAAGGATAAATACGATGAATATTTTGTGTTTACTTTATCTCAGAACTGAAACATGAATAGCAGGACTTTTTCAAATTGATAAGAAATAAGACAAGAAATGTCCCATCATGCTTTACACAAGAGACTACAGATTTTTGAGTCTGCAGCAACAAAGCTTTATAAATTAAAAGACATACATTATTAATTTTCTTCAAGTACATAATAGTGGATATATAGTGAGATCTTTATGAGAAACATTGCTATTTTAAGCTGTTGCTAAGTCATTGCTAAGCAAATTTAACCATTATTTCAAGCCGTTGCTAGGGAAAATGGTCAGGCATAACTGCATCATTAATGCTTAAATACAATTTCTGTATATCAAGAAATAATGTGGAAGGGATTCAAAAGCATACAAGTGAGCATATAATAGGAATATGGTGTGCAAATGTAAAAATGGGCATTGTAACCTGTTGCCATGTTGTTGCTATGCAACATGGTAATGTCACTTCTGTAAATATGTTAGAATTGTTGTATTTTAGCATAAGAAGACTTTTTGTAATGGTCTTATAGCATCCTAGCATATATTAAGTGAATTTATACTGTAAAATATGTTATTTTAGATGGTTGCTATGTGGTTGCTAGGCAAATATATGATTTCACAAAAGATCAAACCCTTAGATTAGAGCTTATCTTAGGGTCCAACTTTGTGCCAAGTTTGGTTGCTCAACTTCCATTCTCCATTGGTGAATTAAAGTGGGATAAGGAGTTTGAATTTTGAATTTTCTGTTAACATTGTGTTAAAAAGCAGTAATAATGGGTATCCTTTGTAATCTCAATTATTTTTCTAAAAGGGGCTTTAGAAAAAGGGCCCTGTCTCTTAAATGTCTTGAAATACATAGAACAATAAGAAAAAACTCCAAAACAAACTTTAGTATGAAAACGCAAGGTCCCTATGGGGGCCTTGCACCAATTGATTCCACTAAAAGTCGTTGCATGTTTAGATGCTGAGTTTATTCACGCAACACCAGCAGACAATTCACTCAGAAAAAAAACAGCAGAGAATGAACCTGGTTACAAAGAAAAGTGGATAACTAAATGGGGACTAAACAAGAATGAATTTATAACGTATCTAGACTAAAGTCTAAACCTTGGTGGAGAAAAATCTGGCAGCATGCCAACTCTATGAAATTGAAGGAAGTGGTAACTGTTGTCATCTGACCATGACCATGTCATCTGACCATGACCATGACATCTGACCATGACCATGACATCTGACCATGATCAAAAATGATTGTGTGTCCCTGTTTTGGAAAATGTATGTACAACTTAAAGATTAATATAAACTTCATCATGCTTTACTTAAATCATTCTTCCTTTATGAGTGAATTAAGTAAAGTTTATGTGAACTTCAAGGTCAAAAAGCAATTAAATTGAAAAACGACATCTAGATATAAGCTCTTACACGGAGTCTGTCAAACCCTGTCAAAGCGATTCTTCCTTTTTTATACTCTTAACTGCTATTATACACACAGTTTTAGATACAGTTAACAACAGCAAAGCAATTAGTTATTTGATTTGAGCTCTTGACTAATACTGTTCTGATACTGTTCTGAAACCATCAAAAAGCAAAGAACCTGCATTCAAGATTATTTAATATTTTGAGTTTAATAAACCTCAATTTTTTGATAAAGATTCACTGCTGGAAAAGACTTACGATGTCAATTGCTTTTTCACAGATGTAATCATTCCATTGATCTCTGACATCACTTCCGGTGTGATGTCATCACACATAACCAGCTTCAACATGGATGTAAGCTTCTCTGTGAACACCCTATATGTGAGAACATATTCACGTATTCCACCTTCAATTGGCTCCACACCAAAATCTTGCTCCTCATACTGAAATATATGCATAATTTATTCATAAAGGGCCTGTATAATATTTCAATGTTATCTCAAAATGTTAATGATATTTTGATTTGACCTTTTCCCTTCATTAAAATATAACCCAAAGTTCAATGACTTTTGAATAAAACACCAAATTCTCAAAACCTGTAATACTAGATTTTGATTTCAAAAACGTTACCTTCGACATGGATTTCAGCATTGTTCGTATATCAGACATCAACTTATGGTGCTGATTTAACTGGATTTTCATTGTTCCAACCTTGCTCTTTACACCTTCCTAAAAACAGCAAACACAACAGAGTAAGCATTTTCTCTAAATACAAACACAATCTAATTCCTGGTGTTGTTTTTAATCTTTTTAAATGCTTGTTTAACCGTTAAGGGACCAAATACGACTTTCTACGACTTTTTACGACTTTTGAATCTCCCGCCTCTAACTTTGTGTTCCCGGGACTATGCCCCCCCTATACTTTCAGAAATTTTGACTTTGTTTATCGTTTTGAGGTGTATTTTAATTGAAACATAAACAAATATGAATGTATAGATATGTAGACACATCCCAAGAAGGGAATTACGTGATCGCTGGGTTACAATCCCGAGCGATAGCGAAGAGGACAGTGATGGTGCAGGATTTTCAGATTCATCATCATCGGACAGTGACACTGTAAGTGAACTTGACAGCGATGATTATTAATGGAATTTTATGCTGATTTTTGGAAATAAGTCGGTCCCTTAAGGGTTAAACCATTAGCCTATTCTCTCTTATGAGCGCACAGTTCAAATGAGCGCACATGTGACTTTCATGTTGAATACGGTATATCATATATGCTTGCCTTAACAAGGGTTCATTGTACAGGATTTCAACCCCATTGGTTAAGTATAAATTGCAGACAGCACTGCAATGGATTACTTATATATCATTTCAAGATAAAATCAAATCATACCCTTGCATTATCTATGTGAGTTTTCTGCTTTACTATCTTGCTATTCAGTTGTACAGTCTCTTTGTTCAGTTCCTCTGCTGTCGACTTGATCCACTCCAAACTCACTACCTGCCCACCCTGTAGTGGCTATAAATATAAATATAAAATAAACTAGAAAAACAGCAACTCCACGGAGTAGCAAATCCTACCGAACAAAACATATTTTGGTATATAGCGACCATATAAAATTTGCCCACCCTGTAGTGGCTGTAAATATTAATAAAATATAAGATAAACTACTACCTGGACACCCTGTAGCTGATTTATATATCAACAAAGGTTTTACTAAATTTTCTCACCCTATATTGGGTATAATATAAGTTAAACCACCATCTAAAACCCTGTAGCACTTTATACATTCAATTTGGCATAAAATTTTACCAAATAAGAGCACAGAAATGCAGTACACAGAGACATAGCATATTTACAATTATTGCACAACCAAAGTGAAAATATTTAGCTACCTATACATTAGATTCATTTTCTCTTCACGAAACAGTAGGCTTGTATATTTTGGTAAAAAATAATCTATAATGATATATTTTTTCTTGATTCTATAATTATATGGTATTTGTATTTGTACTGACTTTGTTTTGAACAAATGTATGGCAATAGGGTGTGTCATAAGAACTCTAGTTAAAACTTAGTAAATTGCTCTCAATGCTTTTGCCACACCCTGTAGGCAAGACTGTGCTATTGGACAGTAATTTACTCAATAGATGGAGCTTACCTTCTTCAACATCAACTCTTCCTCAATAGGTGTCACTGTGATGGTAGAACTTTCAGTAAGCAGACAACTCTCCTCACATCTAAAATACATAAAAAAAATCATGAAAATAGCATCTAAATTGTTCCCTGGAATAACATAAGAATTCAAAATGAAACACTATTTTTGATTAGTTTGTCTGAAAATCCTTTCTCTGACAAACCCTGTGATTTTTAAATGTCTATGCAATATGTCTTCAAATGAAACAATAATCTTCATCAACAATGTGAGATATTATTGTTGCCCTTGGAAATTACAAATGTGGCATTCCCCTACAGAAAATTACCATCAAAATATACAATTATACAATAAAGTTAGGTTAACATGGGTTGTTAAACTTTTTACAAAATTACATCACTAGCAGAAATAGTTTTGAGCTCCACCTATCTGCAGAACTCAAAACTACATTTCTGCATTGATTACACTTCTTTTTGTTTCAATGATTTTGTTCTGAATTACAATTTATGGATCAAACTGGAGATGAAAATAAAGCCAACAAGGCATTAACATGCAAAATACCACTACCTGCCATTTGCTACAGACACTGATTGCCATTTGTTACTGAGGTTGTAAAAAATACCAAATACCATCCACAAAAAATTGGAGACTGTAAAATATGTCACCACCAATGAGATGGCTTAAATATGGTCAAATAAATTCCAACTACTCAATCACTTACCTGTTAATGAGTGCCATGAATGTGCTGTCAGCTGCCAGGGCCTCGGCTGTCCTGGTTCTAAGAGCCTCAAAGTGTAGCAGGGCGTTACAGATCTTAGTAACATCAGCTGCCAACATTATCTGCTTCTGTAAGTACATGAAGTTTCAAAAATTCATAGTCTGTGAATTTATCTGGAAGGGAAAGGGCACCAACTCGAGTATCATTCTTACAAAACAACCACAACATTAGTGCTTCAATGCAGATCTGAACAAGCAGATGCATTCATATATAATAAAAGAAGATCATTTTCGTTTTCTCTATTTAAGGGCCGAGATTCTATGATTTATTCTGTTCATTGTTAAAAGTTGTGATGTCACGTGGAATCCAAAATAGGGTATGTGCAATAAAATGTAACTTGCGAGGTACTGACCTCATAGAAGACATTCCTAGTTGCCTGGGCCTCTTCAAAGTTGCTATGTACAGCTTGAAGGTTCTGATTGGCCCCAGAGGCCCACTTCAACCTCTGACTGATACTTGCCTCCAATAGGAGATACTTCTCCTGCACACCTAGCACTGCTGCCTCATGGGACATCAAGGCCTGCACTGACTAAAAATAAAATATATGAAGATAATACAATACAAAGCAATACAAATTTTTCTTTTACACCCTATAAATTATAAAGATTTGGTATTAATTAATTAAAAATTACATTTTCATGAAAATTGGCCACTATTTTGAATTCAGTGGCCATTTTGAAAATACACAATCTTTGAATTTCAATGTACAGTATAGTGTATCAAAGATGTTCTGCTATATATCCTTGATTTGAATTTGTATTAAAATTCCTGACGATAAAATGGATGTGATTCACATACCTTCCTGAGTTCTGACATAACATTAGATCTACTGGGTAACATCATCTGGTTCAGTTGATGTCCAGCCTTGGTGAGTATATCCTCATGCAACCATTCATAACGTGCCAGCTGTACCTGGGCACGTGTTAGGCTAGACTTGAGTGGACCAATGTTATTATCCAGACGACTGAAATATTACAAAACCATGTAGTTAATTTTATAATATACTGTCGAAAGTAACTTTTGCTTAAAAGGGTTCAAATTTTGAAGTCATCACATTAACATTAAAGACTATGTGGTATGGAAATAAAAAAAATACGACAGAAATCTAGTCAAGAAATAATATGTCCATTTAAATAGACATATTCACAAATGTTTCTATAAATTGAGTTTATTTTCAGCAAATCAGACATTTGTACTTACCTGGCCAAATCCTGTTTGCGCCAAATTGCATCATGGGTACTTAGTAACGAGCTGCCCTGCGTCAAATGAACTCGTTGGAAGACATTCTCCTTCAGGTTGTACTCCACTAATTTAGTACAAAGGTCCTCTATGCCAACCTTGCTGTCGGCTCCAATGTCTTTAAGCTCTATCTCTGCGGTGACGTCCACACCCGATGCATTGATGATGACACACATGATGTAACCCAGAGTCTGAGATGGTAGGCCTATCACTTGCTTTCTTACATATTCTGCGATGAATTCTTTTACTGGTTTAGCGAGATATTCATCATCATGCAGAACACAATCTTTGGTACCTGAAACATAACGTACAATTCTCTAATGCTCTTTTCAAGTGATTGGGCAAAGTCCTATGGACATCATCTTTTAAAGACCCCAACCGAGTTCACAACCTGAGAACGACATGATTCTCAAAAATTTTGGGTTCTGGAAATAATAGGGAACTAAGAAAGCAATATTCTGAAACACTGATTTGGGAGAAAAAATGAATGAATTCAATCAGTCATCTTAATCATTTTGGTATGATGGCATGTTAAAGTTATTATCTTCTTGAAAATTGTAAAATTTCACCTACCTAACAGTGCAGAAGCCTGTGCCTGGCAGAGGGTGAAGAACTCTGACATTGCCTGGAGACGCTTCACAAAGAATAGGTTGCATATCAGACCTATGGTAGACTCATTAAACGCTGACAGCTAAAACACAAATTTACAATTCAGTTCTTAATCAACATTGGGTATACAAAAAGAAATAATATCATTTTTAACCTAAGATTGATTGAAGAGATAATGAAACCACAGAATGAAATCCTGTGCCAAGGGCTGATGTGTAAAAATGATTCCACCTCAGTGGGGATCGAACCCACGATCCCTTGCTTTTTGAACTGGTGCTACTGGCATAAAATATATGGGTACATGTTTGAAATAATAATTTACCTGTAGAGATTTAGCTTCTTGTATGACATCCACCTTGCGCCAAATATCTGGTACATCGATGGAAGATATGGCCTCTAACATGTCAGAGAAGTCTGCATCTAGCCTTGTGAACAAACCATTGAACCCCATCAGTAACATCTGACCTGTTGAGAAACAAGAGATATATGTCACAATAATACTTCAACAAAATTATTGGCTCAGAGTAAGATTTAATGGGATAGTTTTGAATGTACCAGTGTAAATTGATTAACTGTTTTTCCCAAGGTATGAGTGAATCTGCATGTGGTTCAGTTTTCAGATTATCATTTAAAAACTAGTTTTTTGATAAAATTAGAATGAATGTCACAATTTGTGAATGATCCTACCTGAGGTCAACTCATTGTATTCAGGGTCATGACCTTGCAAAAGGTAATTGAAATCTGCCTGTAGCTTTTTAACTAACGTCATCACTCCTAAGTCAGTCTAAAAAATTCATAATAAAAAGATTCATGGTTGTATGCTGAGGCCCAGGAATACGTTAAAAATGTTTAAAATGTTCGCTAGTGTACTGAGTTGTTAATGCGTGGTGTATACATCTATATATTTACTAGATTACTTACATGTATAAGAATAAGACTGATTTTTTTTATTAATGACAGTATACCCGGGCCTCAGGTTGTATGTCTGAGATGTTCAAGTGCATGTAAATAACATAATTCATTTCATCACATGTAATTACGAAACTTTGGTCAGGTCAGTTTGGGTCAGGTTACGGGTCATGTACTAATAATGTTGGGTCTCATAGATTTACAACTGTATCATTAGGGGTAATCTGACCCATTCATGACTCGAGTCAAGGTGATATGACAGGTCGACCCGACCCATGGGGCAAATAACCGTGGTTAACGGACCCAATCTATCCTGGACCCAACTTTTCTCTTTTAATTGCACTCTCTCTACAATTAAATATTATGTACAACTATATTTCCAAAATAGCTTTTTAAACAACAAAAATTTTTCATTATTATTTATTGGTATTTACCTCCATTCCAAGGATAGTGTTCCGTAATTGAAGCTCAAGTTGCGACACAACATCATTCAACGGAGTGTCACAATTATTAACAATGGCTGCGAGACTTTCCAGAGATGATATCACAGTGGGGTCTTCAGCCTGGATGGTTTTCAGCGTCTCAGGGAGAATAATGTTTCTGAAGTTACTATTTAACTCCTAAAAGTAGTTTTAAAAAAAACATTGTGAAAAAAGATGTTGTTAAAATCTGTATAACACTTCTTCATATGATATATAGTGAGCCTAATGTTGGCTTACGAGTCTGAGGAAGAATTGTAAATATTTTGCGCATTCATTTACAATTACCAATTACCATAAGCAAACATCCTCAATAAAACAATGTGTAGAGATATTGAAGACTACATTGGCCTGCTTAGTTAAGAAAATATAGTCAAAGAGCCAAAACTCATTTGTACCTGCAGTCCAGTGTAGAGAGTGTGTGTTCTCTGTAAGGCTGTCATCAGTTGAGTAATCTTCTCCTTGTCTAGCTCATCATTGAAATTCTCATCCTGTAAGCAAACACGAACTCAAAATATAACAAAAAGTTTCAAATCAATACACTTTGGTGGACTTCTTAAAATGGAAATAAGACACACAGGCCTGTAGGAAGGGGGGGGGGGGTCAAAATTCCACCATTTTGAGCTGTTGTCCCTTGATTTTGGGTCAAAATTGTCGAATGTGAACTGCCCTGGTTTTTGTATATATGTTTAGACTATGTCTCATCAGCATTATGATGCTGGTTCCCCATCCCCTTCAAAATGTATGTATCAAGATTTACATACATGTACTCAGTGAAGCAAGCTTTCTGATAAAATTGTGGTTAAAATGAATGTAGACATACTTACCATGAGTGTAATGTCTGAATACATTGCTAGCAGCTGATGAATATTGCCACTCATGCTATAAAGCTCATCCAAGAACCAATCTCCCTCCCTTGATGTAAGATCCATAAGTCTTTCTCCAGCAGCTGAAAATCATAAAGAACTTATAAGAGAGATCGAGAGAGCAGGGTGATACAAAATAAACAAGGCATTAACATGCAAAATATCACCACCTGCCATTTGTTACAGATGCTGAACACATTCTGATGATGACTTTAACTATGGAATAAAAAGAACATCCTATGATTTACTCAGGATATGATTTTAATCCACTCATGGATATTGATATCTCAACACTCTCCCGCTACGCTCGCTCATGCAGATATCATATCCATTCGTGGATAAAAATCATATCACTCATAAATCATAGGATATCCTCTTTGTACCATATGATACAATATGAAGTAAGGCAATACAATCATCAAGTACAGGCATTGTTAACATGCATCCTTTTAACCATATGATAGACGATCAGTGAGAAATCTGTACCAACCTGCAGCAGCGCCCTCCATGATGAGGTATCTCTTGCTGAGTCCACACAGAGCAGTCAGTATAACATTACCAAGCCCTACTCTGCCAGCTTTACCATTCTCTGGAAATATGAGTGAATTAAGAATATTGGATGGTGCCATTTGTTCCGTACAAAAAATGTAGCATTACATTTCTCCACTCATTCAACTACAGTATAACCTAGCTTCATGTACTTAAGCTCTATGTATATGTTATTAATAGACTCCAATTTCACAATATTTATTTGTCTTGGCACATGGTCGCTGTGTCATTTTGTTTAATTAATGTAATACTATAAAGGCATACCTGATACATAGAGATGTAGTCCATTCATGCTCTCCTGGACCTGAACCCCCAGTAGGGATGTCTCTATACCCATGGACCTTCTCTCAAGCAGCTGAAAGATACAATTGCAAAAACATTAACATATAGACCTGAACCCCCAGTAGGGATGTCTCTATACCCATGGACCTTCTCTCAAGCAACTGAAAGAGACAATTGCAAAAACATTAACATATAGACCTGAACCCCCAGTAGGGATGTCTCTATACCCATGGACCTTCTCTCAAGCAACTGAAAGAGACAATTGCAAAAACATTAACATATAGACCTGAACCCCCAGTAGGGATGTCTCTATACCCATGGACCTTCTCTCAAGCAACTGGACGACACAGTTTGCAATAATATACAAATATTTGACTTGATTCTGTTAGAGGCTTCCATGTATGATCAACATAATATAATATGAATTATAAAATCTTGCAGACACTGTGTTGATGTTGTATAAACTGACGTTTGTGTATTAGCCATTTTTAAGGTTTTAGCGAGTCACTGAGCGTTTCATATAGTATTCTACCCCAACTATTGAGCATGTGACGTTTACCTGTATCAGCTTAGTGTTTGTGTCTGCAATAAGGGCCTGTAGTCTCAGCTCCATTGCTAATACCCCAGGTGTTGTTGGATGCGCCTGAGTGGTAACATCATACATCTCTTGGAACTCGTGCACAACCTCTTTACACCTGAATTAATAGAATTATAAAATATTAACGATATATTTATATTTCTTTTGTAGACAAAATATGCAATGTTTAACTGGGCAAAGTTACTTGACACTGAAGCTTCAACATTGAAAAATAAATCGAAACAGTTTTGATAGAAACATATACTTAAAATATACTCATATTAACCCAAATTGATTCGCTTACTTCTCGGATGTAAAGTCAGATATGAGGCCCTCCAACCAGTGCTGCCATCTAGGTATGCGATTCTCTTCAACATAACGAGCAGGAAGCTAAACAGAAAGGGCAATTCAATATTAAAACATTGTTTGGTATAGAAGTATCACGGATTTATATGCAAGGGGTGACAAAGAGAAATAAAGGCTGACAGTGACTTGTAGGTCTAGAGTCAATTAATTCAGATCTGGGTTAGCTAATATTCAGCATGTTGGGAAAATAACATGGGAACAGATCCATTATTTGAATGTTGTCAGTTATGTCTGCAATCCAAATGACCCATCCTTGAAGTTGATTGTAAGACCAATATGTGCCATAATGGTAAGACACACAATATATCTTTATAATATATGTGTTTCATTTGGCAAAACTTAAACCTTTTCAAAAATGTACTTGGACATTGTTTCATTATTATTAAGTTCACGGCACCATTTTTATCATTGTTACAACCTTACATACACTGGAGAACACTCTACCTGGGATACTATAGTGGCGTATGAATGTAGAACATCAAGGCAGTTGCGAACTATGGCTTGCTGTTGGTGCAGTAATGTCACTAATTCCCCCTCAATAGCCTCACACTAGAAACACAGTCATGAATATAAAGATATGCATATACATTCTGGATTTCCAAATAATAAGTACATGTTTTATTTCAACAGAAAGTCTAAAATACAAAGAACAAGGAAAGAGACTTTATAGATACCATGTATATATCTGTGATGACTTAAGGTAGGCTATAAGGGGATCTCAGATATTCACATAACCAGAAAATAAAGGTTTAACTCATTATGGAATTTGTTGCCTCATTTTTAAGTTTTACCTCAGGGTCAAAATTGTGAAATTCGCCTACCTGTGTGACAGTCTGAGCCTGCCCTGCTCCCTGGAGGAACTCCACCGCTGGGACATAGCTTGGTACACCTACATCGAGAGACATGGTTGCTTCAGCACATAGCTTCTGTAGTGCAATACCTTGTATAGTGCTCAGAGCATACTGAAACATTTGGACAAACATATATAAGAGAATGGAAGGCTTCTTGATGTTCATGATCCTAATATGCAATGGAATACCAATATGATTGGTCTAAATAAGTGTAGGTAGCCATAATCTAACTTAAAACATAGAAGCACTCCACTGAATAACTAATTCCAAAGAGAATACAAAAGTTGAACACACACAACTAAATGTAAAATTTCTTCAGGTTACCTTATGTAAGCTGTGCCACGTGTCACATTCGTTGAGTTTGTCCTGTATGGCAGACTGAACAGAAAGACGGGTGCTTTGGATGACTGAGTACTCAGCATATCTACAAAGAGAGAAACCTATAATGTTCACGAGGGATAAACCTATTGAACAATACAATATTTACTTTATCAAAAGAACAAGGCATTAACATGTAAAATGTCACCACCTGCCATTTGTTACAAACACTGAACGCCAACCACATAACGCCAAACACCATCCACAAACAAAAAAGTTGGAGACTATAAACACTTGTTGTGGTGGAAAATGTCTTTCAGTCATAATTTAGAATTTACTGTATTATCAAATGAATTAAAATCACTTCCACTTAGAATTCTTGAAATATAATGATTGTCACAATTACAGTAAAAAGACTACACATTTGTATTGTCATGGACCAAATTTCCATTGTATATTATGTCATTCAATTCTATTGATATTACTGATTCAAAATTAAAATTCCAGTTTATAATCATTCATTCCATTTTATTTGTATCTAATTGATATCCTTGTTTTTATATATTTGAAAGAAATGCCAGGCTTACCTATCACCTAATGAATAGATGTCATGCTGATCATCATCTGCAGCTTTATCAAGTACAATACAGATCTCATTCAGTTGTTCTATCTCATCCTTGGCTTGGTGCACCTCACCCTGAGTCTTGTGCAGCTTCTCAACTGCATCTTGGAGTTTAGGGATGGCAGCTTTAAGGTCTTCCCTATAACATATTATCACAATTGTATTCACACTTCCTGAGTAAGCTGATAATTTAAGAAAAAACATTAGCTCAAATTAATGAACTATTAAACAGATATACTTGAATAAATAAACTGTACTGTCCCCCAAGAAAGAAAAATGCGAATGTTAAATCAAAATCAAAAGTGTATCATGGAAGTTAAATCTCAAATATGTCAAAACACAAAAACATCATTAACACAATATCAAATACAGTAATGAATCTGATTCTAGAAACCTCTTTGGATGTTGCCACATGATTTTAATTAATTTTCACCATGTAATTATTACTTATTGTAAAAGACAATCAGATTTCAGCTTAATATTTCATTTACAATAACTGTACCCATGTGAGTGTTTACCTATTTTTGAGCCATTGGGCCTTCATCTCAGCTACACGTATGGAGAACATGCTCTGTGTAATCTCACGCTCCATTTCCTTTTTACTCTGGCGATTTTCATTTCCCTGTGCTCCCTGTCCACCACCATAGAATGCTCCTGTGTACCCAGCCTCATTCCCAGTTGTCCAATCAACAAGTGGGTCATACACAAATGCTTCCAATAGCGTCAAAAGAGTCTCTCGTCCTTTGCGCATTGTCTTGATGACATGCTCACAGGCTACTCTAAATGTTCCCTGAAATTAAAGGTGGAAGCATATCAAGCTAGAGTAGCTACAGTAATAGTACTAAAGTAGTACTGTACAAGTGACAATGATTGTTTCAATTTTATAATATTTTGGGCTCATATCATTCCTTGTTATATCTATTTTTAAAAAATCCCCAAAGTATATATTTTATTTGATGAAAACATTTTTTATAATGATGCACACATTTATCCGATCCAATTAAGATCAGATTCTCCTTTAAACAATATGTGTACCCTACATGTACTACTAATAAAAAAATGTTCAACAAAAACTTCTACTGAGATATATAAGGACGTTTCTACGAGAAATGCTTCTTGATGTCAAAATTCAACAAAATGGGCTAAATAGATGGCACTAAGCTAACATACAAGTAAAATGACTCCATATAAAGCTTAACAATTACAGATCCCGACCACTGAATGCTTGAAGATATACTGATTGCTGTTACAGACACTGAACACCATCTGTCACTACACTATACACAATACCACTACACCAGCCACAAAAAAGTTGGAGACTTAGTAATAACAATATGTCACCATTTCTGATGTACATATTTCAATTTTATAAATGAAACTATGTCCAACTAGAAAAACAGCAACTGTACTGGAACTTATGAACTTTTAAAATCACTTTGGTACAGACTAAAAATGGTGGACACGGGAAACAAATATAAGTTAAAAAGTCCTCTGTAGGCATATCCCACACAAAAAGTACAAAAATACTGAGTTATTGTTCATCTGCCATAATAGGGTAGTTATCTATGAAGAAACCGTCACATAAGCAATGTGGGCTTACCATTCCCCTACCACCCAACTACACCTGCCTCAAAGTATTCACACGGTAGCAAATAGTGAGCCCATACGGCCCAAGTGTGACAGAGCCATAAGATATGAGCAGACAAATGACAATTTTCATTTGTTGATGAATGAATGGATGGATAGATGGATGGATGAATGGATAGTCTGTGGATTTGGGTAATTTCACAGGTTCACCATGAGAGCTGTAAAGTGTCAGCACCAAGTAGATATTTAGAAATGAGAGAATTTTTTCCCATATGCAGGGTTATGTAACACCAACATATGTCGTGGAATCAATTCTTCAATATCTTTGAACCTTAATAAAAAACAACTTATTACATACTTATGTCAAGCTGTGCTAATATATTGTCTTCATATAACGACAACAATTAATTATGAATAGTGAGTTGAAAACATGAGCAGCTAATTGGACAAAATCATTCAACACATTGATTAATTGATATCAATTAGGGTGCTATTAGTCTTAATTTATTGCCATCACGATATAATTAATGTTTTATTTAAAGGGAGCTAGACCAAGCACCGCAAAAGAAATCCAAGACTAAAATTGCTTTTTCTGAGCATTTTTAACATCTTTTTCTTCATACCTATTTTCTATTTGTTTACAATCACAACAATATCAACGAAATAGTACCATGGGTGCTGGGCTCACATGGAGTATAGTTTTCAGTGGAAGTGTAACCATATAGAACATCATTCAAAATATTATATGAAAATATTATGATTGTAGGTAATGTACGAGTCCAGTGCTTAAACTGATTGTAGGGGCAATTATATAAAGCATGCATATACTTTATTATCTTAAAAGGCATTTAAATCGAAGTTTATTGATGGTGCAAGTTACTTTTTCTAATTCTGGTATATTTTGGGATCAGATTTAGAAATGAAGCCCCATTTAATTTTGGGCTATTTTTTCATTGATTTAGTTATTCTCAAAGCATAAATCAAGACTACACAGTGAGAATATGGTTATAATATAAATGTATTTACATTATGTGCAATATATGTACATCCTCCCCATATTAGTCCCTCTTATCCATATAAGGACATGGTGGTCCCTGGTATAACATGTTTCACTTTATTTGACTTTCAAATATTTCCAACACACACCCCCGATAGCTTAATTCACTATTTTTACAAAAAATCGTATTTTATCATTTGACATTTGAAAAGCTTTATCAAAAGCATCTGGTCCATACAGTTTTGTCCAAGTCTCCTTCCAAAAACATAAGACCATCTTACTTGACCCTTTCTTAAATAATTTCATACTTTTCTCTATACTACATGTCAAAAAGGTCAGATGCAATCTCCCTAGTTTCTGTTTCTGTTTTTGTTTTTACTGTTCTGTTTTTAACACTTTTTATTGAGTGTTTATACTTTTGTTTTCCCAAAGTGTCTCCCTGTGTAGCTTTCTCATAGAGTTTATTAGCAATGTCAGCTAGAGTTTTGTCTTCGATAGCTTGGTCAATGTTGACCTCTTTATCCCCATGATTATGTCCATCTTGATGTAGACTAAGATCCTTTACACTGTTGGAAGTAATTGGATCTTCCCCATTCAGATCTGACCGACTCGCTTTAGTTTCGGTCATTGGTGGTGGGGGAGGTTTGTGTGTAGGAGGGGAGTGTCTGTCCTCTATGAATAGAGGATTCTTCATGGTATGCGAATGGGGCTGGTGTTCATGATTATTGCTAAATGTACGGTGCCTCCTACTGTTGTCAAGACCATTTCCATGTCCACTATGGGACCTGGATCGGGTTGATTGCTTGCCTGACACAACAGTTGGTGTCGATGAATACATTTTCAAAGCTTTAGAATTGTCCACATATTCGCCAGTTATTAGGTGATTTACACCATAGGATTCTTGACGTTTTGCAAACTGCCTTTTGTTCTGCCTTACTGTTGCCTTTGGAGGTTTTGATCCATGTTTCGGTACGGTCAAATGATTCCCAGATTTATTTCGCTGACGTTGGTGACTATCATTTTGAAGATGGCCATTTTCCTTTGGATATCTAGGACGTTGCTTTCTATGTTCTCTTTCTGCTTTGACAGCACTTCCTGCCTCAGAATCACTGAGAACAATCTTAGGATTCTCCTCATCTTCCTTCTCACAAATGTTGACTTGATTCGAGTTGTAAGAATAAAAAGAGGCTTTACTGATCCTGATAGAGTCCTCTCGTTCAAACGTAGGAGCACTTATATAGCAATCACAACAGCAGACAATCTTCTCAAGGGTCTGCTTGAAGTGGGAGACATTGAGGACGAGCATGACAGGCATGAGAGTGCTACCGAAGAAGCCTATCATGAGGGCAATACTCTGGACTTCGTTCATGATGGACCACTTGACATTAAGTACCTGGAGTAGAAGCGTCACATAAAAAGGTGTCCAACAGAGAATAAAGGTGAAAGTCATTGAGGCTGCTGCATTAAGATAATGAAAACTGGTCATCAACTTGCTGCGTTCAAGTTCCCGCTTCTTTTGGGTTGTTTTCATCGATTTGCGCTTCTGTAACTTTGGCTTGACCCCAATTAGAAGATAGAGGTACAAATAGATAGAGATAGCAGTAAAGCCACCAAAGTGACTCAACAAAGCAATCAAATAGATCCTGTCCAATAGGATGCTTATCGCACAGTAGCGAACCAGGGGCCACCTGTTGAGGAGGAATGGTACTACAGCTGCGACGAGGGCATAGATCCAGAGGAAGATGATAATACAGTTGATGCAGCCTTGAACCTTACAAGTGGATCGATAAACACCAGGCTCCTTCAGAGCCATAAAGCGCTCAGCAAGAATCACCAGTAATGTCATCATTGTTTTAATACTGACCAGTACAATGATGGCGCATTTAGCAAGGCATGCAATACGATCTTTCTGGAATATATCAAACTTGCTTGCATATGCATAGTACATCAGAAATCCACTGGTCAAGACATTACAGATTAAAATACTTAAGATATATCTATTGGTCACAGTGTTAAGTCTCCTGAATTTTGCAATGGCCACAATAAAAATGCCATTTCCCAGAAATATTGTCAAGCCGAGAATAGCATAAACATACATTTGCACAACAGGCCATAGTTTATTCATTCCTTTTTTGAATGAATCAAATCCAGCTTCCCAATCGATCTCGATGCTGGTGCTATAGTCCGATACATTTTGCATACCACCTATTTCTTCCATATCTGTAATTGTCTTAATTCTCAGTTATTTTCTGTGATTGTCTTAATTCTCAGTTATTTTGTGTGATTGTCTTAATTCTCAGTTATTTCAATATCCAAAAGTCTGCTAATAACTCTAAACATCTGAAATGAGAATACTCCAGAAATTTGTTTTTTGTCCATATGTGCAGAACGAAAGATTCCTACCCGAGATGATTACATCAATAGTTCAGTATACGTCAACAGGCAGCGTGGGACCTGGCTGTATGATATGGACCATATGTTCAGTATTATATAAGTTTCTAATACTGCCTATGAGAATTGAGATATTTACTTGTATACTTATGTAATCATTAAGAAAGTCCTTGAACATGTGTTACTTAATTAACATATACTACACATACTACATATCCTACACTTGTTAACGTTAAAAGTAAATGTTTTAATTATAGCAAACGAAAGGTTCAACATCCACTGAAAATAAGTTAAGGAGTCAATCAGAGATTTTATCGACTCAAGCAGCCAGAAAGATTAGTTTCAATTTCACCCGCTAGATGTTTTGACGTCGACTTGGAAAAAATTTGAAAAATTTATGAGTGGGACTCCTTGTATAGAACCAGAACAACGGCAACGCCAAAGCGTAGCGAATCCCATCGAACAGAAATGGCTGGCATTTTTACAAACGAATAGCAAATATCATAAAACAACACACCAGAAAGGCCACCATTTCCAAAATGGTTGCTCACTAGCCAAGTTGTCATCAGAAGAAATAATATGCTTTTAAGTAGCCACCTCTAAAATTTTTGAAAAATCGCACACGTACTTGTAAAATAACACACATAAAAATGGTGGCCATTTTTCAAAATGGCCGACTACTCCCCAAAGTTTTATTAGACAATGTGCCATGCTTAAAGTATTCACATATCAAATATGAACAAAATCGCTCCACTACTTTTCAAGTTATAGTAAAATACGTTAAAATGGCGGCCACTTTTCAAAATTTTTTTCAAAATGGCCGCCTTCTACCAAAAGTGTCATAGGACAGTGTGCCATGCTTATAATATTCACATACCAAATATGAACAAAATCGCTCCACTACTTTTCGAGTTATAGTAAAATACGTTAAAATGGCGTTAAAATGGCGGCCATTTTTCAAATTTGAACAGAATCGCTCCACTACTTTTCGAGTTATAGTAAAATAATTTAAAATGGCGGCCATTTTTCAAAATTTTTTTCAAAATGGCCGCCTTCTACCAAAAGTGTCATAGGACAGTGTGCCATGCTTATAGTATTCACATACCAAATATGAACAGAATCTCTCCACTACTTTTCGAGTTATAGTAAAATATGTTAAAATGGCGGCCATATTTCAAAATGGCCGCCTTCTACCAAAAGTGTCTTTAAACAGTGCGCCATGCTTATAGTATTCACATACCAAATATGAACAAAATCGCTCCACTATTTTTCGAGTTATAGTAAAATACGTTTATATGGCTGCCATTTTTCAAAATGGCCACCTTCTACCAAAAGTGTCTTTATACAGTATGCAATGCTTATAGTATTCACATACCAAATATGAACAAAATCGCTCCACTATTTTTTGAGTAACAGCAAAAATCGTAAAATGACGAGTAAAGGCCGCCATTTTTCAAGATGGCTGCCATGTGCTTTTTTAATATCTACATTTGTAGCATTATTAATGCCCTTTATAATTCTTTTACATTTAAAACATATTGCTATTACAGTTTTACATATTGCACCTAAATTACTGTAAAATCGGCACTAAAATGGCCGCCATTTTGAAATGAGCGGCCATTTTGAAAATTGGCTTTCGAGCAGAATTTCTACCCCCATAGGGTATATGTGTACAAAATATGAACAAAATCGGGCCAACGATATTTGAGTTATTGCCCGGACGGACGGACGGACGGACGTACCGACGGACGAACGGACGGACGGACGGACGGAGGCGTTCCCTATATCCCTCCGAACTTCGTTCGATGGGATAATTATAGATTCTAAACGATTTGTCAGTTCTACTGGTTGATGAATATTGCCATATGCATACATTTTAATAAGATAGGAATAGAGAACAAGATATTAGACCAAATTTTGCCCTGAAAAGCTCAGATAAGGCAAAATTTATCAATTTTTCTCTTCACAGTCCTTGTAGCCACTTTAATTATTCAATCCACCATAATTTTACCCTCGATACTCACCAAACTGTTCATGCAAACTAAACTTGTTTTTTAGTTCTCTATTTACAGGGCGTTCATAAAGTTCTTGCAAAAGTACTCTAATTTTTTTGTTTCTCAATCAATCTGGCTTGAATTTTCACTCAGTATACCTACACTATTCATACATTTGAATCTTGAATTATAATGAACAGGTCCTTGAAGAAAAAAGTTATGAATGCTATAGTATCATGAGTCAGAGGTAGGTGGAGCAGCATTGAAAACAAGGCATTAACATGACAAAATGTCACCACCTAAAACAATTTGGTCAATTTAAAGCAAGTTGGAAAATACCTTTTGACCTTAAAAAGAACTTCTGAGAACATGTAGATGATTTTGAAAAAAAATTAGTCAATTTGAAGCAAGTTGAAAAAAGACCTTTTTGACCTTGAGAAGGTCATTGAAGGTCAAAGGTCAAATCTAAAGTCAGATTTGAACTTCTGAGAACTTGTAAAGTCAAATTTGAACTTCTGAAAAGATGTAGATGATTTTGAAAAAAAAATGTGGTCAATTTGAAGCAAGTTGAAAACAGACCTTTTTGACCTTTTTTGACCTTGAGAAGGTCATTAAAGGTCAAATCTAAAGTCAGATTTGAATTTCTGAGAACATGTAGATGATTTTGAAAAAAAAATTAGTCAATTTGAAGCAAGTTGAAAAAAGACCTTTTTGACCTTTTTTGACCTTGAGAAGGTCAAATGTCGAATCTAAAGTCAAATCTAAAGTCATATTTAAATTTCTGAGAACATGTAGATGATTTTGAAAAAAAAATTTAGTCAATTTGAAGCAAGATGAAAAAATACCTTTTTGACCTTTTTTGACATTGAGAAGGTCATTGAAGGTCAAATGTCAAATCTAAATTCAGATTTGAATTTCTGAGAACATGTAGATGATTTTGAAAAAAAAATTTAGTCAATTTGAAGCAAGTTGAAAAAAGACCTTTTTGACCTTTTTTGACTTTGAGAAGGTCATTGAAGGTCAAATGTCAAATCTTAAGTCAAATCTTAAGTCAGATTTGAATTTCTGAGAACACGTAGATGATTTTGAAAAAAAAATTAGTCAATTTGAAGCAAGATGAAAAAATACCTTTTTGACCTTTTTTGACATTGAGAAGGTCATTGAAGGTCAAATGTTAAATCTAAAGTCAGATTTGAATTTCTGAGAACATGTAGATGATTTTGAAAAAAAAATTTAGTCAATTTGAAGCAAGTTGAAAAAAAGACCTTTTTGACCTTTTTTGACTTTGAGAAGGTCATTGAAGGTCAAATGTCAAATCTTAAGTCAAATCTAAAGTCAGATTTGAATTTCTGAGAACACGTAGATGATTTTGAAAATTTTTTTAGTCAATTTAAAGCAAGTTGAAAACAGACCTTTTTTGACCTTGAGAAGGTCAGATTTGAAGGTCAAATGTCAAATCTTAAGTCAGATTTGAATTTCTGAGAACACGTAGATGATTTTGAAAAAAAAATTTAGTCAATTTGAAGCAAGTTGAAAACAGACCTTTTTGACCTTTTTTGACCTTGAGAAGGTCATTGAAGGTCAAATGTCAAATCTAAAGTCAGATTTGAAGGTCAAATGTCAAATCTAAAGTCAGATTTGAATTTCTGAGAACATGTAGATGATTTTGAAAAAAAATTTAGTCAATGTGAAGCAAGTTGAAAAAAGACCTTGTTGACCTTGAGAAGGTCATTGAAGGTCAAATGTCAAATCTAAAGTCAGATTTGAACTTCTGAGAAGATGTAGATGATTTAGAAAAAAATTGAAGTCAGTCTAAACAGTATTTGTTAAGTTATAGGAAGTTGTAAGAAATTGTTACAGACGCCGGACGCCGGACGCCAACCACCAACCGCCGTCGCAAAAAAACGGAGACCATAACAATATGTCACCACTTTTTGGTGGTGACATAAAAATAGTTGAAAATGATAGTTGAAATTTCTTTGATTCATGACATTACTGATGGTATCAAAGTGACCTATATTGGTGATGACATCGGCCTTTGTGAAAGGCAGCGTCAATTTTATTTTTGTGAAAATGGCTGCAAAATTAGCAAAATATGATGATTTGCAATTACAAATATTCAGTAGCATCGGGATGTATGTTTACTGGGAAATTCAAGAAGACAAACACTTGAAGACATTTATAAAGTGTTTGGGAAGGAGGCTATGACTAAAAGAACCATTTACAAAACAGACTAAGACATTTACTGATGGTATAACAAATTTTAAGGACAATGCTAGATCAGGCCGTCCAAGAACGAAATCCAATGAGGATCAGATGATGTTGATGAAAGCCATCCATACAAAGATCAATCGCAAGAAATTTTCCAGAAGAGTTCCTTCATCTGTTTGAGGAGTGGTAAGTAAGACAGCAGAGGTGTATAGACCATGATTGACACTATTTTGAACACATTACACTCTTGAGATACTGTTATTAAAGTAAATAAGACAAGTTTAAAACATTTTGAACATTCAAACAAAACAGATCCTTTTTTGCCTGCTCCGCCTACCCCCGACGCATGTGACTATAGGAACCATAACTTTTTTTCTCAAGGACCTATTGATTATAACTTAGGATCTCAATGTATGAATAGTGTAGGTATACTGAGTGAAAATTACAGTCAGATTGACTGAGATACAAAAAATTTAGAGCACTTTTGCAAGAACTTTATGAACGCCCTGTATTAACCCCTGAACAAAATTGTAGTTGAGTTGTACTATTGGAGCATCCATTTTCTTTTTATTAATTAAAATTTTAATTAAGTAGAAGGCCACTTGCATTTCTAATAATGGGAGGACCTTGATAAAGCACATAATATTATACCTTATTGCAGGAAATATTACATAAATTGCAAACAAACACCTTGAATATGTGACCTAATTCTATTGTTAAGATCTATGTAAGACCATTGCATATCATGATATAACATAATTTCCTACAGGATGTATTATTAACAAGGTCTAGGGAGCAACTCAAAGGTTATATGTTCTAAAGGTTTAAAACATACTCGGATAAGGTTTGAATAACTTTTAGTAAGCTACCTATAAGATTATTTTCAGGTTGGGGCTTATTCAGCCTTACCCTTTGCATTCGTTTGACTTCACTTCTTAGAAGAGAGCTTCGTCTTCACTCTTTCAAACTAAAATAAACCCGTGAACTCACCGCGCCAATCAGCGGCCAAATTTGACCGACGTTCTTTATATGGTCATTCGTCATCGTTGAGGATTTTTCATAAAGGACCACTTATGATTTGGTGAACCGAATTCAACATTTTTTCTCTCAAACCAGTATAAAAAGAATCAGAGAAGATTACACATCCAAAAACAATGGTCATCCTTTGAATGATAATTTAAGCTTGGAGGAAATGTAGAATGTCACTTGACTTTCTGGTGATTTTGAAGTGTCTGCACTTTACAGTTCAAAATCAACTTCATCTGTAGTAATTTGACACCACTTTCTAATTGACCTCACTGACTGTTTATTGTTTCTCAAAACATATTCTCTGAAAATCAGAAAATTAGGGTGATGAGCAGGGAAATTTTGTAGGGAATTTCAGTTACAAAAAATGATGAGTGACAACTTATACTTCCTCCGAGTACAATTTGAAAAATATCTATAATGATGGCTGGATAGATGTTTCATTGCATTCAAAAGAATTGGCAGAAAAGAACTAAAAACAATGTCATTTGGGTTTACTAAAATAATCATATAAAAATCCATCAATATATTTCAAATTAAATTGATACCATTCAATGACCATTACATTGAGGGTGTATATTTTTCAGATTTTTTTGACAATTGATTTAAGAGAAAAAAAGTTGAATTTAGTTCACCAAATTATAAGTGGTCCTTTATGTCAAGTGAAGTTGAGAAGATTTATAATTGTCAAAAAGCCTAATTGAATAATAATTAACTTAAGATGTTTGTACGCACTTTGAGCTTTTTACAAATCTTTATATTAATTTATTTAAGAACTATGAACTAATCTGATGCACAAACTTCCTGGAGGCAAAATGGATTCAAGTTTCCTCATTTTTTCACTCATAATTTTGAAGCTATCAATGATAGAGTCTTCTGGATCACAATGTAGTACAGGTACATTTATAATATACGCATCTAAATAGAATAATTATAAATAGAATAATTATAAGCAATTTATTTATCTCAGAATAGAATTAATATTAAATCTTAATTGTGTATTAATTTAATATCTACTGTATATGAGGTGGGGATACAACTGTAAATGTATTATCAATTTATCATATAAGCATGTAATTTTTTTACTTGCACTGTATTTGTGCTTCACATCGAATTATTGGGTGGCGGTTAATAGTAAATTAAGAAAAATCGTACACTGCATAACACACATAATCTGCTAAATGCAATTTTTCATGATTCTGAAATTTACTAGCATTCACATGTTCAAAACAGTTATATGCATGAATACTCATTTTGAAGTTATATTAAATTCACAAATTGACCTAGCCAATTCAAGATACTTGTGAAAATAGCATATGTAATCTTCTTAGAAGTACTGTACGAGCATATATAGCATAAAGTAATATAATATTCTGAGAAGTCAAACTGATATCTGAAGTGAAATAAAGTGAAAAGTAAATTAACTTGAGTTAGATATCTACAATATTTTTGAAGATACAAACATTAACACTTTCATGTTAAAGGGTTCCGTTGAGCTTCCTGTACAAAAACAATATGGCGGCTCCAGGCGAGTCAACTGTATCAATCAAATCCTTGTTTTAGAACTGCTTTGTTTCATTTTGAGGGTATTTCATATGCCAAGCTGTATACTAATACGTTATGGGGAAATTTAGATGTCAATTTTTCCTTATTATACACAAATAGAAGATCCTGAAACTTCACCCATAAATGTGAAATTGATAAAATAAAAATCTCCCTTTTATAAATGTGTGACGATCTATAATATACTTATGTTATATAACAGTTAGAGTTGTTGACACAACAACCACGAGCCAGTGAACCATTGAGTAATGTTCCGAGATCAGGCCTTTTATACCAGACGGTGAGCAACACCAGAAACGATTTGATCTATTTGCTAAACGATATGCGTGACCCTTTAAGGGTTGTGCTAATAAGTCAATATTAAGTATGATTATTGCTTTGATTCATACTTACCCCCTGCTGCAAAACAAGGAATGCAATTATTTGAACAGTACCATGAATGAAAAATTATGAAAAACACAATTATAATTGATGGTACACTTGTTTCCAGGGAAATGCTGTCATGCAGACTATCTTCTCGTCAGAGATAACACTTTTGACTGGATATATGAAACTGAGGCTTATGAACCATCATGCCCTCTAATCGTTAGCCTCCAGTTTTCGACCCAAAACGTAGGAACTCTCGAGTCATGTTTCGCAAAAGCATGTGCTCTAAATGCTAATGTAGTCACCTACGGGCACCTTAGAAGTTGCAAAATATTCAAATGTGAGTCAAATTCAAATCAAAATGATTGGGATTATAAATTTAAATACAGTGGTAAAAGTGGTTATGAACGGACTTATGCAAAGCCACATTCATATAGTCCAGGATGTAACAATTCTCACTTCGTAAGACGGACATGGATGATGGGACACACAAATGTGGCATCTAAATGCAGTTTAACTAGGCCAAGGTCTGTCGTTGATGTGGCCGCGTGCATGAAAGCTGCATGTGATGATAAAGCAAATGTGTTCAACTTTTACCCTGGAGAGGAACCACAGGCTCTTTGTGAAACCAGATATTGCAGATTTGATAAATCAAGGAATGATTATGATTTTGAAATCGAAGAGATAACAACTTCTGGAAACAAAACTGTTGTTTACATTTACAGCTTATCACACACTCAAAAATCTTGGAGAACAAAATATGACCAAATTCCAACATCTTTGTCAAACTTTGATTTCTGTACACAAGTTGAATTCATACCACATCCAAGTTCAGAAATTTCAGAAACACCGGAACACTTTTGTGATTTCCGCTCAAATCTTTTGATAACATTTCCAAATGGATCCATACAAACATGGAATTGTGGGGGACACTTAGAAAACATTGACACAGGAAATGTTGGTTGTTATGCAGATGAAAATAAACAAATGGCCACGATGACTTTTCTCCCTTATCCAGGAACCCCGAACTGTGGCGATTCAATATTCATGTTGAGAAGGTTTCACACAGAGTGTACCATGTCAATGTGTGATACATTTCTCGAAGTTCCTGAAGCCAAAGACCTGAGACAGTGTATGTTATACGCCTGTCAACATGGTGCCAACGTCATCAACTTCATGGCAATATCTAATAATTACTCAAGTGGCATCATTTGTGATTTAAGATTTTGTGGAAAACTTCCAAATGGTGACTATGACTTTAAATTCCAAACAAGTAACTCTTCTCTTAGATTCCCATATGCAGTTTTTGCACTTCAGAGTGATCCTGGAGCTACGACAAATGCACAAGTGGATCAACAACCAGATTGTGAAACAGTCCTAAGAGCCTTAGCGATAACTGTGACAGTTATTGGAACATTGCTCCTGGTGTGCATCATCGTAGTCATAGCAACATGCCTTAAGTTGAGGAAATCCGCAGAAAATCCAAGCAAAGATGAACCAAAGTGTGTGAATTTGAGCGCAATCTTTAATAAAAAGCCAGAAAATATATATCAGAACTAATAAAAATGGAATAGCTGACAATTCCATTTGCTTATACTTTCTCACATCAAAATGGCTGGTATTACACTTGGAGTAAGCTTCAAGAAAATATGCAAATGTGTATCTCTTAATATAATTTCATTTTTCGATACTTATTTTCAGATATCTTTAACTATCACTTAGACTTCCCTACTTTGTAAATTGTGAAACTGATGAATCTTTTTTAAAAGCTTGCTTAGAATTCTTCTTAAAACATAAAACAAATGCAGGTGTACAATGCAATGCAAACTATGTGGCAACTGCTTCTTTTTGAAATAAAGATTATTTTCTATCATATATTATCAATATCAAAATAATGTCTCATCTTCTTTCCTGGGGATATTTTATAAACACAGACATGTCAAGAACAAAATTACGTATTTGAGATACTTTTAGTTTGATAACCTGTAATAAATGCTCATATAGATCATATTAATCCAAATTGAAATATGAGATAGATCAAGAAATTAGGTGATTTTTGCCATATGACTTCATGTATTCTGGGCCTACCATTTCCTACCAACACAAGTCCTGCCATCTATTAATTCGCCAATATAACATAAAACATGACTTACCTCTACTCCAGTTATACCCAGGGCAATCTCTAGATTCTGTGTCATCCTAAATGGCACTTTCTCTGGCACTCTTAGACTGCTTCCTTTCTCAAAACACACATTGTAGTCAATATGGACAACCTGGAAATAAAGTTTCAGCCTCAGAGTATGTATAAACTGTGTAGTACCCTACACATATTTTTGGAAACATATTAGGAACTTGTGTGGGGTACTATTTTATGTTTTATATAAGAATATCATGCACAATACTAGAAATGCCTTTTTTAATCTTCTTTATTCTTAATGCTTACTTTCAGAAAGGTTAACTTCTAACACTGTTTAACTCAATATCAAGAAGGGTGGAAATCTTGCTATTTTTAACCTAAACTGGCCTTACCTCTCCAGTTGCCAGATCAACTAGCAAATTATCAAGATGTCTGTCTCCAAGACCAATGATATAGCCAATCATAGACATGACGGCAGTAGAGCGAGAATATGTCTGCACCATTTGCCACCATTCAGCTGAGCTGGTACTGGAGCACCACATCTCCCTGAAATGTCATGACAAGAAAAATTAACAGTAGCAAATCATGACATGAAACTATTCATATTAAATTGCCTAGATTTCACTTAATACCTCCCTATTGAAAGGATTTTTTCCCCAATTTTCATATTTTTTGTTGAGATATATGGATGTGTATTACAATTTCAGAAAACATTAAGGTTATCTTATAATTTTTTTGGACAATGTGGCCCAAAAAGTTTTGTAGATTAAGATTTGGTTGTTTCATCAATATACATGAACATGTACGCACCTTGCAAGCAAATCTTTGGGTGTGTCTTTCATCAAATCTTCTAGGACTTTCCTAGTGACAGCCTGGGGCCATTCCTTTCTATTGTCCAGATTAGTAATGCCTTGTTCCTTCAGTGCAGGGGTGAGCTTATTATAGAAAACCTCACTTGGGCGAGGAACAACTACTTGATTGGTGGAGCTGCCAGTGCTCTGTAATGAATTTTGTGATGCATAAGTATGATTTTTACATACACTGTTATAAGTATAGTGCAATTATATTTAGAAATATATAAAGATTTAAATGAGTTTGGATTTGTTCGTTTTTATGCCAAAAAATACATCATGTGGTCTCAATTTCAAATTGTAAGCGAGGGGTCGTGGGTTCGATCCACACAGGGGTGAACTGACTTCACATCAGCCCTTAGCGCAGAATTTCATTCTGTGTTTTCATTAACTAATAAAATCAAACCTGGGGTTTCTGATTGGCTAAAGCCTCTCGCTGCTGCCATCTTTTGTACAAACTGAACAAAGGAGTAGCTCCATCTACCCATTGTATGAGGCCAGAGCGAGGTCCTAGTGGTGTCACGGAATAGTGTCTGGCATGATACAACATCTTGTCACCCCTAATAGTGTAAAACAATGCCTTCATTAGTGTAAAATAAAATAAGACATCATTAGGTTTACTTAGAATTATTTACAAAGCAATTGGAATTTGACATTTTGACTCAACAAAGTTGTAAGTATAGTCAAGACTCAACAAAAATGGCTCTTCAGAATATTTTCATGAAACAGCCCCCTGATTAACTGCCGAACACAGTCCACAAACAAGGCACAGACGTGAACAATATCGTACCTAAAAAACGACATTGTGATCTTGTTGACCAAGAAAGCAAGATGGCCGCAGAAAAGTTAATCAGCTCTAGAACTTATCACTGTGTAACATACAGTATGTAAAAATTTGAATGGTTTGGCTGGAAACCTGTAGACAAGCCTCGATAGACAAGATTTTAGGACGGAAAATCTAAAATGGCAGCCTTAACATTTACCCAGAATGCCCAAAAACTAATCAGTTCTTGACGTTGATATGTAGAAACATCCCTGAAAATTTCAGATGAATCCCTCAAATGGTTTGGCTGGAAACCTGTAGACAAGTCTTGAAAGTGAAGATTTTAGGACGGAAAATCAAAAATGGCCACCTTAACATTTACCCAGAAATCCCAAAAACCAATCAGTTCTTGACGTTGATATGTAGAAACATCCCTGAAAATTTCAGATGAATCCCTCAAATGGTTTGGCTGAAAATCTGTAGACAAGTCTTGAAAGTGAAGATTTTAGGACAGAAAATCCAAAATGGCCACCTTAAAATTTAACCAGAATGCCCAAAAACTAATCAGTTCTTGACATTGATATGTAGAAACATCCCTGAAAATTTCAGATGAATCCCTCAAAAGGTTTGGCTGGAAACCTGTAGACAAGTCTTGAAAGTGAAGATTTCAGGACGGAAAATCCAAAATGGCCACCTTAAAATTTACCCAGAATGCCCATAAACTAATCAGTTCTTGACGTTGATATGTAGAAACATCCCTGAAAATTTCAGATGAATCCCTCGAATGGTTTGGCTGAAAACCTGTAGACAAGTCTTGAAAGTGAAGATTTTAGGATGGAAAATCCAAAATGGCCACCTTAAAATTTACCCAGAATGCCCAAAAACTAATCAGTTCTTGACTTTGATATGTAGAAACATCCCTGAAAATTTCAGATGAATCCCTCAAATGGTTTGGCTGGAAACCTGTAGACAAGCTGAAAAGTGAGACACCGCCCGCCAAGCTGACTACAATATCGTACCTCTTGTTAGGTACGATAAAAAGTTGGAGACAGTTGGAGACTGTCATATTGTTTACTACAGTGATCTCACTGATTTTATTTTCTGAACTTAGGCACCAAATAGGTCTAACACCCTATTTTACCTGTTCTTAAACATTCTAATCCTCTAATCCTTTTTGAAGAGTGCAAATTTTCAACAGGTAGGCAAGAAATATCCAAATTTTTAGCCAGGTGCAACACGAGGCTGCTGAAATGCTGGGAGATCACTGGTTTATACTATTGGTCAATATTTGAATGAGGCTTACTTGTTAGACTTTGCAAACATGTTGTTAACTATGGAGAGGAATTGCATGATTCTCTCATCCAAGTGCAGGTCCTCCAGGCCCTTGAAAAGGTATGAGTATCTGCAAAAGAAACAAATGTTTACATTAGAGGTGTGGTGACCATCAAGAGTAAGTCACAGCTACAGCCTAGATGTAGTGGATAGCCCTTTTTGCCAAGTGGTACAATGTCAGACTTTTGAGTGGAAGGTCCTGGGTTCGATTCCCACCAGGGGCATTGATTATAGCACATTTCCTTTCATGTCTAGTTTCTGGCTACACTACAGATCCCGAACAAGCGCGCACAGTGTCATTGCAGAGGGGTTTACATTTTTACTATCTATAGAAGACTCTTGTAATTATTGTCCAACATCTACATGTACATGGAATTCATAATTGTTAAAAGATGCATAGAGAATAACATGTAATCATCAGATTACATTTTGCCTGCTGAGGACTTCAATTGCTGCATGATCATTCTCAGTCATGTAATCTTCACCTGTATGACTTTGAACAGAACTTACTTTTTCCCATCTGATCCAATGAAGATCAACTTCTTTGGTTTAGTCTTTGTAGGTAAGATCTGACAGACATTGTGTATAGAGCCTATTGTGATGACGTCCCCACTTGTGCCTAGTCCAGGCATGGCAATCACAGTGTCTTTCATAGAGGACAGCTTTGGAGTGATCTGGTCCATACGAAGCACAAGACTGGTTCTCTTATTGGCCCTTTGTTGGAGGGTGTGATGTAGCTAGAATAGAAATAACAGTGGAAATGACTTCTGATTTGTTATTTCTAATTAGACCCCAGATTTAAATTCAATAAGCATCTACCACTTTTTATGAAGAGTCGAATGCAAAATTCAAACAATTGCTCCTTACAGAACTTTAACCAAATCATGTGTTAACTGTTAATCATTTGGTCTGCTGACTTGTTGATCAATCTTCTTTTTGAAAATATAGACACAGTAACAAAGGCCTAGACTATAAGTAAAGGAGTTGGGACTTAGATTTTCCAAAGTAATTACCTGTTTGAATGTCTGCCAGCTGCTCTGGGGATTACATGGGTTGTTAGGGTTACTAAGTTTGTTGAAGGCATCATCGATGGTCTTACTGAAAGAATTCTGGAACCACTGTTCATGTCCTGTCTCTGGGGTATTGGAAGTGATCTCACGAAGACGTTCTATTGTATAGACAGTCTGTTACAAAAAAGGTCAATTTATTTAGATTTTAAAAATCATTTATTAATATATACAACTTTAATTTCAATGTACATGTACTTTTCACATAAAAATAATTGTAAGTTAATCCAAATTATTCACCTATTTAAAATGCATATATCTGCAATGTTACTTTTTATTTCATAAGTCATTACTAATTAGTATTTTTATTTCATAAGTCATTACTAATTAGTCTTTTTATTTCATAAGTCATTACTAATTAGTCTTTTTATTTCATAAGTCATTACTAATTAGACAAATGGAATACTTACAGGTTTCAATACTGTCTTGTGTTTCTCCCTGATAATTGCAGATTTCTCCTCCTTGCTTAGTGAGGTGTTGTTCATGACTTTCTTAACCTCATTCTCCAGTTGTGAGATCCTGCGTGTCACGTCCTGATGTTGCTGGTTTAAAGTCCCCAGCCATAGCTCATCCCAGAGTAGAGTGATACGACGTAACTCCTGGACCAACAGCTGAACCTCAGTGATCATTCTACAAATATATTTTCATTTTAAAGCTGCCTTTATACATGTATTATATTTTTTTGATATAGTAAGATATTTTTACCATATTTTCATATGTTTTTTATCCTGTGTTTCTATTCAATAAACCACTTACTGTGAGTTATGTTGCGCCAATGTGTCCACAATCAACGTGAAGCAATTCTGAAGTTCAGTGCTGCCCTCTATTCCAATTTCTTGACCAACATCATCATCCTCATCTGGTGTCTTCCCAGAATCCTCTTGTAAATTACTCACATCCATTTCAGTCTCATTTTCATTATCGCCATCTTGAGCAGTATCAGTGGGAAGATAGTCATTGAGAATTTCTGAAGAAAAATATCACACAAGAAATGATATCTCTATTTATGAATAAAAAAGATACATATCATCTGAGAGAATATAATGTAGATTATGCACGAAGTACATGCTCCTCAGATACAACAAATAAATAGATTTCTTACTATCTCTATTGAGCTCCTTGGTGACATCAGCTTGAACTGTTGAACACCCCACAACAGCTGGGTACACTATAAGATGGGGTGCATCATGAGCCACTCGGCATAGTAGATCAGATACACTCTGGCGGACATATTGCTCGGGGTGATTCAAACGAGAGAACAGCTGTGGTATGATGCCTGAAATATATTTGTGGAGTGTCATTTGAAGAAGAACCACACATAGTGCAAACTATTCACAAGATTTGTTTACTATCAATAGTAAACCAGTGCCACAATATATTTTTCTGTTAACTGCTTTTACACCCACCCATCATTTCAATATGTGCAGTTTAACGTGTAATAGGACATTGTTATATATGAAACAGCACATTGTGGCTTGATACCACAGAGTAAACGGCACTTATTTTACCTTTCCACGGTGCAGTGGGTGTATGTGCCAGACCATCCTCTAGTACCCCCCTCAGCTCCCAGGCATGTTTCACTAGCAGCCTCAGGAGACGCAGAGTGGCTGTGATGTTACCATCCATATTACCCTGGTCATCGCTTCCCTAGGGAACACACATGAAAACAAGGTATTAACATGCAAAATGTCACCATCTGCAATTTGTTATAGACATCGAACGCCAAACAGCAACCACCTAATGCCAAACAGCAACCACCCAAAACCATTCACAAGAGACTATAACAATATGTCACCACTTGTGATGATGACATAACTAGACTTACTAACATTTTTGGTATTTTCATGAAACATGTTTTGACCAGAATACAAAATGCCACAACAACCCAACGAGACTCAAAGTGATTCAAAATGGCTATAGCCAAGTTAATTACCAAGCATCTCGAAACCCTTATCATATCTTGGCACTAGTCTGTGAGTGTGATAAAAAGCCAAAATAAAATAAATTTAATATTGCTTGTAAGGTTTCATCTCAGTCTACCTGCACTTGCACTTGCAAGCCGAATTCATTAACTTGCAGTCAATGGGTGGCAGGACTTTTAAAAAATGTTCCAATTGTGAGGTGTACCACTTAGCAGTTTCTACTGTAATTGAAGAGCACTGTTATACCTCTATGAAAACACACTGTACTGACCTGTCCATTCAGCTTTAGATATGTAAAGTAGGCTTTAGCTGAAGCATCATAATGGCAGTAGACCCTTCCCACAACCCTCTTCCAAATGGCCAGCAATTTATCTATGCATTCATCACTGGCTACTTGTAGTGGTAGACAACTGGAGAGAAGTTGTTTCCTTGTTGTCTCAGACCCGTCATCATAAAGGGACTGCAATACAAATTTAGCATGACATGTTATACTTCCATAACAGGGCATCAGGCTTTTGTTGAGGGAATACATCAATGGAAAAACTGAAAACGCTTTATTTTCACCTTTTTGCATTTTCACAAAGTTCAGGGGGTTGGTGGGATAGCAGTTTATTGAAATGGATTTAATACAAAAAATTAAGTGAAAAACCTTTCAGATGACGTCTTAAAATGGCCTCAAACCAGAAAGCTCAAGCTGCTTATTGTCTAAAGAGGGGGAATATAAAAGTCATAGATGAGCCTAACTCTATATAAAGATCATCATCTTAGCATAGAATTCTGGGAGTATTCCCTCCTCTTTATTGACTGCAAAAGATGTAGACAAGAGAATTACCTGATCCTGGTCACTTATGTCCTCTTCACTGGAGATTGCAGCATGGACCTGGCTCAATACAGAGTATACAGTCTCAGTATCTGGGACACTAGTGCCTTTGGGGAGGAGGGACAAGATCTCGTTCCTCTCGGATATAGACAACTCTACTGGGCTACCATGGCTACAAATACATGTACAATATATTATGTTAGGCTTCCAAAATTCCGGAAATGGCACATCATCATTACATACACATCTAAGATTCACATAACAGTGATGATAAAAATAAATCATTTTTAGAAAATCATTTCATTTATCTACGTCACAAGACCAGAACCAGCTACTGATTATTCGAAATGTACCTAATCTTTCTTAGCATGTGCGAGCATCTATTTTGTTTGTGTAAATCTTGCCTACCTTGCACTATCCACAGCTTTACGACCCCACTTGTAGCTCCAGCCAGCAAATGAGAACCAGGACTTAGCTAGTGTTGAAGACTGTAAGGTGCTGAGATGTAAGAGCCTTCCAACCAGGACATCACTGTCACTCAATAAACCACCCTCTCCGAGGTTCAGCCCTGAAAAGCAGAAATTTGGGAATGAAATAGAAATAGATTTAACCTCTATTAACTGTTTTGTCTTATACATATCAAATGTTATTTACAACACTTTAGGAACTTGTTGAGGTAAACACATCTCAAAGGCAAAACACCTTGAAATGTGAACACAATTTTCAGTCTATTCTTATATGTTGTCAGAACTGGGAAAACCTACCTTAATGTCCTAATTTTACTCATATCAGTGCAAGCAGTGCTTACTTTAGACAGACTTCAAGAATGCAAACATAAGAATAAAATTTGAAATAAAATAACAAGTCCAATCAGCTATCACTGTGTTCAGCTAAAAAAGGAGCATTTGCAGACAGTCCAATGGTAAAATTGTGTTTCCATACAAAAAAGTCTTACCCTGATGTTCAAAGATTAGTCTGTTCCCTGTACTTCCTTTCTCCGTCTCAAGCAGCATCAATAAATTACGGGCTGTTACGGACATTCCAGCTTCCTCCCCCTGGCCATTCTGTTTCATTTGGCTTGCTAATGATGTCAAATATTTATTGTCCCCCTGAAGCCATTTGACCAATGTTAGAATTGACCTGGCATTCATCTCACTACAAATGCTTTCATCATTTTTTTCACTCATCGACAGTTCATCAGGTTTTATCGTGAGATGAGTCAAGATACTTTTGCTAATTGTTTCAACAGCCTCTTTTTGATTACTCGTGGCATGTAATAATTTCGCTGATTCGCGCTCAATTTTCAACATGTTGCGTTGTTCAGTTATAACTGTTGAAGTGTTGATTGTTGACAGCGCTGAGATGATGGGATCTGATTGGTTAACACGACCATTCTCAACTTGACCATAAAAGGAGCTGTTTATCTGCTGCATTAGTAGCTTATGGGCCAGTTTGAAGTTATGTTGTTTCCTTGCCAGGGTGACACAAGCCATCTGGAGCTGTACCAACTGACTCTGGCCCTCTGCTGTAACAAAATATCAACATTATTTTATAAGTTAGCCTTATTGAGCCTACCTTATGCACAGATACTAGAAAATTTTAAGGTAATCTCTCATACTAGGATGGGTATAGGGTTGGGTATAGGTTGAACAAGAACCAGGAATATATATCATATTTGAGATGCAGGTGGATATCAAATATCTCCAAATCGAGCCAATGAACCAAGTAAGGCTGCCAGGATTTCCAAGATTAAAAAATCTCCCACTCTCTTTCTTTTAAATCATAATCAGTATAAGATGTTAGATTCAACATCAAAATAGACATTTTAAAATAGAAACATTTTTAAAAATATTGCCATTCAAGTTCAGGTTAATTCACATTTAAGAAAGAGTGTGAATAAAAAAGCATATGAATCATCTCACCTGAGCTATATTCAAAGGTCTGACTACGCAGGTGCTCCCGCACTTTAGCCATGGATGTGACCTGTTGTAACAGACCAACATCATGCTCTTTGGGATCAAGGGACAGCCTCTCACTGTAGGGTACAGACCTCAACTGAAAATACAATGCAATAAGTGTGGGAGCCATAGGCTTAAAAGATTATTAGTCCCTGTTTTGGCTTAAGTTTTGATTGTCAATATTGGAGTCTGGTGACTATCAGGTAAAAATCCCTTGCTAAACATACAAATTTTGCTTTATTCCTCCTTTTATTTTTACCTCTCAGTTTCCAATACAGAAGTTTAATTTGCTTTGAAATTACACACAGGAAGTCTTGAAAAATGTATATCTTCATTAAGTGATTACCTCTGCTGATCTTGAGAGAAGTGATGTTAATGTAGTTGCCTCCTGTAGAAGATAGATGGCCTCAGGGTCAATATGAGGTGGCCAATCAAAACTTCCAACTCTCAGTACACTCTCTGCTAATTCGGCACTAAGGTCTAGGCAGCCCAAAAGGTTCTCTCTATAAATATATTACAGCAGCATTGAACCATATGTTGACGGACATTGTAAAATTTCAAAAAAGTTAAAATAAAATAATTTTACAATGACACTAACGAACTCGAACTACTCACTCTCAACGTACTTATTATTCCATCTTAATAACAATTTATGATAAGAAAACATTTATGTTATTGTCAGTCCAATAAATGCATAACAAGGCACTAACATGCAAAATATCACCATCTGCCATTTGTTAATGATGCCGAATGCCAACCACAGAACACAGAATACAATTGTGGTGATGACATAAATATGAGCAATATTTGCAAAACACCTTGTATATTAGAAGTGTACATACCTTTTTGGTTTCCAGTCATCTGTCTCACACATAGTAATCACCTTCATCAACTGTAGGTGGCTCTGCTCTAGGACAACCTCAGGGGACCATAGGAGGCCCTCATTGGGGGCTTCATGAGTTAAATCCCCAAGGGAGCCCCCTGGTATAAGCTCCAGATGTTCTTTAGTTTCAAGGTATTGAAGGTTTTCAAAACTGGACAGTGCTCTATAAAATAAAGTGACAGAAATTCAATTATATTTGAGGGCTAAATATTTTCACTTAACACAAACCATTTTAAATTCTATAATATTAGGCTGCAAAATATGTACATGACAGTACTGTTTTTTGTATTGAATCCACTTTAATGAATGAGTTGATTATCATAGTAACAACAATCAAATATTGACCAAACGACCTTATACTGGTACTGACTTAATGGTATTAACTGCATGACTATATGAAATATATATTCAAAATACAAGAGGCATCTTAGACAGGTTTCCATACTTTATGCAGTTGATGTCAACATTGCAGTTGTAGGCATTCTGTAGTGAGTCTGAGGTGCTATCATGACGATACTGTTGCAAAGTCTCCTGCCAGGCTAAAACATCATCCCAGCAACACAGTTTCTTATAACAATCAGCAACCTAAAAGTGAGCAAATGTATTATCATAGGAAATTGTAGTGTTAAAAACATTTTACTGTTTTCTACAAAATCAAATTTGTATCATTAACAGCGAGGGGTACTTCACTAGTTGGTGTCACAATTCACTAAATGGACCATGAGTTAAGTACAAACTTTTGAGATTTCCAAGTTGGACACCAAAGTATAAAGTTGCTCCTACCTCAGTAGCTAAGTAAGTGACCATAACAGGATCTGGCTCATAATTCTTGCTCAAAATCATTCTGCGAGGGAACATGTCAGCATTTTTTGGGCTCAATTGTGGGGACCCCTCTGGGGAAGAATCCTCAGTTGCTTTTCCATCTTCGAACATGGACTCAGGTGTGACATAGGTGCGTAGTTGGTTCTTGAAAGACTGGGCAGCTTCTTCATGTCTGCAGATACAAATACAAGTTTATTTGGGTTCACAGTTTTCTAACTGGGGAAATGCATGTAACCGAAAGATATCAAATATATGTTTGGCTTATATTCTGTCAAACAGGAGCCGATCCATTGCCAATTCTTTAATACCTGTTTTTCTTTAGATCTAATTCTTACAAATTTACAGAGCTGTTTGATATACAGACACATGTATTTACAAGATGAGGAAATATTTGGTTTGCCATACACATTTACTTATGAGTACTTACCTTCCCCATGCTTTGTCTATGGCAGATTTGATCCAGGACATCTTGCGCCCAATGATGTCCTTGCACCAGATATAGATCCCTTGTATAGCGTCAGGACAGCGTAGCTTACACAAAGCCTCCACAAGTCTCATTACTACACGCTCAAACTCGGGGCCCTAGAATAGTATAAACAGACCACCTCTGGTTAAAATTGAAATATGCACAAGCTGGTTGTTATGTTATTTACGTAACTTAATTTACTACTTTTATAGTTAAATTGATGTTAGCTAACCTTTAAAATGGTGATTAAATAGTGTTTAAATCATGAATTATATCATTAAGAAGTTTCATTGATATCCGAAACTTTGTCCGGGGCCTTAAAAATCCACATTACCTGGGTGGGCCTTAAAAATCCACATTACCTGGGTGGGTCTTAAAATTCCACATTACCTGGATGGGCCTTTAAAATCCACATTACCTGGATGGGCCTAAAAATCCAAATTACCTGGGTGGGCCTTAAAAATCCACATTACCTGGGTGTGATTGTTGACTTTCATTTCATTCAGAAGTTCAAACGCTTGTCTAATCACTGTTGTCGGTTGGTCACATTTGCTCGCTATGGCAATTATACACATCCTAACACGAGTCAACCATTCTTGGCATGTGTTGCGGTTTGTCCGGAAAAATGTGCGCACCGCTTTGGGTGTTCCGGCCATCGCTACAGCTGTACCCTCGTAGGCATTGTACAGCTGTTTTTCAAGAACTTCCATGAAGTAGATAAGCAGATGTGCCCTTAGTAAAGCTTCATAGGGGGCAGCACTTGATTTCTCACCTGTCGATTATTTAAAATATTTTAGTAAATCATGATTATCAAAAAGTACAATGTAGTAAAATCCTATGACATAAAAGCAAAATTGCTTAAGTATATTTTCAGAAAATATTACTATTCATAAAATCAAATCATAACACTGCCTGAGTGGATGAACAAAACAATAATTTGTGTGAGAGAAGATGTTACATCATGAATCGGATAGATTTTACCACATCAATTGATTTCATCTTTTCTATCAAAAGCCACATATTTATTATACATGTATATTTGTTACATAAAACTACACAGAACATATCTCAATTCGAAACAAAGGTCACCATGGCGTTTTTTTATTGTATCCCAATAAAGATAACTTTCTTTTCCATTTAAAGAGACTCAACTTAAATATGAGTATGTACTGTATATATGTCATATGACATTACTGATTGTTCAGAAAAAACCTCCTTTACACACCTTCATCTTCTCCTTTCTCTTCTTTCTCCCCATGTTTCAGCTGAACTGCATATGCTTTCAAAGCGCCCTCTATCTTGGTGAATGTATCCTGGGGCTTCCCGAGGGGAGTGCGTAGTTTAGCGAGGACACAGAATTGTGCAGATTCAGCCATTGCCCAGAACCAAAGAAGGGAGTCATTACCATCAACCTAGTGACCAATGAAAATACATGTATCAAACCAATTCAACGTAATATCAATAAACATATTGAAACTTAATGACACATGCTGTTATCAATTGAAACTAACTTAATGAGACTGGCTGTTATCATTCTTAAATAAGTTAAATTTCATATACGCTTCCTTGACATGGTTCCTTCAGGGTTAATGACCAAGGTTGAAAACATGATTGCCCAATTTACTATATTGGCATTCAGTCCACTTGTTTTTCCAAGTTCAATGCAAAGAGGAGACAGCGGTTGCCTGAGTACAGCAGCTGTGAGTTCTGAACCCTGGTTCCCTTTCAAGAGAAGGGAGCAGCACAAGGATTTGAATTAAATCTAAGTTTAACTTGATGCTAATCTCCCTCCCAACATCTATATATAAAAGGACCTACCATTGAACTTAATGAGTTAGCGGTCTCCTTTACTTCTAATTCTTTTTCTTTATGCTGACATGTCTGATACACTCCCTCAAGCCAACTAAGGTCATTATGCCTACAATACAAAGCAAAATACATGTACAGTATATGTACAATCTGTCTAGAAAATGAAAGGAAAAAATGCGAGAATTTTTATACTTTTAAAAGTGGCTCTATATGTTTGTTTTATTGAAACATTAAAACTTGGTTAATTTATTATCTACATAAGACATAAAAAACATATTTCACTTACATTGACTGGTTAATATTGGTCAGTACATAATTCATGACACAGCGGAAATTGTTTGAGTGGAAGGTAACTGCTGGAATCTTAACCATGTGACCCCTACGTGCTAGACAACCTGCTTGTAAACCCCGAATGTGGGGCACAGATTTGGAACCAAGGACAGCTTTGTTGCAGTGGTCTTTACGCTGTTTGGCAATGTAACCCAATGTTTTGCTAAACCTGAAAGACAATTTAAGGTGAGATAATATAATGCTTTACTTAATATTCATTATATTCTTAATAAAGTTAATGTTACCATTATATCATTTCTAGAATCCCTGTATTCTGATAGATTAATGAAACACCATGATCTAAACATTTTTAATCAATTTTGATTATTTTCATGTTTCTATGGTAATGCATGTAGTTGCTACGGTGTAGGCTATTGGGATATTATAATCATGCTGCTCACCTGAATGCTACATCCAATGGAACGTATCTCTCCAAGATGGCAAACTTTGCTCTGATGTCACAATCTGAGTCAACTCTGTGAGTACAACACAACTCAAGTACTCTGAAACATGGAATAGTTCTCAATAATACAACTTTTCATTTTTTTTATTGATAAAAAACATTTTAGCTAATAGCGAGTTCTGAACTATAGTTTGTTTGTTTTGATCACATCAATAAGCCCTTTTAGCCTAAGCTAATTCCATTTATAGATGGCAGTCATATGATAAAAACTCAGGAAATGATAACATAGAAGGTATGGGGATTTTCTAGATTTTTCACCCTTTCCTTTGATTCTTTGAAAAAATTATTTTTATTTTAAAAAATTCTTGGGCCATAGGTCATGATAAGATTATTATCTATTTAAAGACATCAAAGATATATCTTTTCCAACTGTTATATAACTGAAAAATGACTAATTGGTCAAGGGTCACTACAGGGCCATACATTACATGTAAATTAGTTAATCTACTTTCTTCTTAGTATTTCTTCTGAAAGTACAAGATATCTAACATCTATAATTACATTTTGTAGTATTCGCTAATAAAAATGTCTGGAGAAAAAACTTTAGAAACATTTTTAATGATGTCAAATATAAGTGTAAGTTGGCGCATTGGATCAGTTTCTGAGTCTGCAAATAAATTATTTGGGATTAGATATAAAACTATGTCTGAATGTAAACTCTCAAATCCTGCATCAAATATCTGAATGATCTCTAACTATCTAGTTAACTTAACCTTTTATCCTGTATCAGTATGTGGACAATAGTAAACATTGTAATTCAAGCTGCACTTAAAACAAGCAGTATCTTACTGGTGGCTATATAAACTTATTGACCCCAGGTCATTTTGGTGATTTAAGCTGACCAACATCAAGCCAAATATTTTAAACAAAATAGCCAATATTCATCTTTATTTTCCATTATTTATGTTGTTTTAAAAGACTAAAAAACTTCCTACCAATGAAATATAAGATCTTAGCTAGAGATCTGTTGATTTTCTGAATGAATGAGGAAACAGAAATGGTAGCATTATGATGTTAAAATCATAGTATAAATGTGATGTTTTACATGTTGGTTCAATGGGGAACTGCTTTAGGCCTAAGATTCTTTTCCTGAAAAAGGGCTAGACATCTAGTGGCTGTTCATAGAGTATTTTCAACTATTTAGCTAGGCTGAACTCCTGTATTAATAGTAATACACTGACAATGTGCTTTATAAGCATTTCAGAGATATTGGTCAAAACTGAATTATGAGCCAGTTGCCATGGTATTCACTTATACATGCTAAAATGGGTCTCCCGGCCTGGCCATTATGTTACATGCTGGATGTCAAGTGTGGTTACTACATTGGCCATCTTGTAGAACAAAAAGAAAGTTGATTTTTCAAAAACTGTTACCTGTTTATGATGTGGACTGGCAGGTTAAGTTTTGAGGTTCCTGCATCAATGGCTAAGTTGAACAGTAGGTCTAAACATCGACATGCTTCAAGACGGATTATTTTCTGCCGATCATATCCTAAAAATTAAACACATTCAAGTGCAAGTCAATTGTACGAAGGATCAGAGAAATATAGTAAGCACTTTCCAAATGCAATAAAAAATACATTAATTTAGGTTTGGTTCAATAATATTTTACTTCAAAAAAACACTTCCATTAGTGTATGGTAACATTTTTTCCCCTGGGTTAATTATAAGAAGTATCACTTGTCATGATCTTACCCATGTTAATGACAGTATGTATGGCTTGGAGGAACTGTGCGTTGGTGTAGACATGAGTGCTATTCTCTAGTGCCTGGACAATGTCTCTCATCCACTGTAGACCAAGAACTCTAAAATTATGAAATAAAACATCATAAATCATTAAGGATTAAATATTCTGCATTTGTTGAATTTATTTTGAGAACAGAACATATGGTTTAAGGTAAGTTGAGTCAATTATTTCTTTAATATGTATAGAATTATATACTACCACCAAGTGTATACATGTTAAAAGTCATTTCACTAGGCCCACCTTAATAATCATATTTACTCACATGCTGTCATAGGCAATATTAGGTTGGGACAACAACTGGGTGAGTAGATGTAATAGAACAGCCAGGTTGTCACTCGTTGTTGACATCATTCCAGTACTATTACTTTCTCCCACTAATGTACTACTTGATATAAAGTGACCATGTCTAAAAAAGATTCAATAAGGTTTCAGTGAATAAAATTTGAACAAAATCTATGTACTGGTATTTGAGTTATCTGATTATATTTTTACCTAAACTTGACAGCCATTTTGATTGTATCTGTCATCACAAAAGAATTTAGCAAATCAACCACTTCATTTTCAAGAAATTCATAACAGAAAATGAACATGAACCTATCTAAAATGACCTTCCATTTGGTAAAGCCATTTTATACATTCATATGATAAACTGTTGTGAAACCATGCTGCATATAAAAGCATCAACACTAAGAAATATGTGACCTAAGCAGCTCTGAACTTATTTAGCTTTAAAAGGGTATATTACCTGACACAATGGGACTGTAGAGTGTGTAAAACTGCATATTGCACTGCTGGGTATTGCTCCGACACTTTGGAAGGGAAAGGTAACAAGTTTTGTGAGAGCAGCTCAAATATAGATGGCGTCAGTGCCCACATCTGAAACACATAGAGTAAGTCGTCATATTTCAATGATTTCATGGCGAATTGATTGTGGTATCGTATGTAATAACTATCTATAAACCAATCAGAAAACTCTTGAACTGGTTCAATATAAAAAGGTGGAAAACCAACATAAGTGCTATTTCTGTCAACAAAATGTTATACTAAAAAAAATATTTATATTCAATTCCAATACAAACTAACATATTTAACTATTTAATTCAACAGTAAAATTAATACATCTAGATGAAAAATTCACTAAATTACTGAACTGTATATAAAACATAACAGCAATATGAAAATGAACCACGTCCAATTACATTCTCACCATAACTGTAGTCGCACTATGCTCCATTATTGACGCCTCTTGCCTCTATTAACATGACAAAATTTGACAAAAGTATACAAGAGTATCTATTTATAGGTACAACTACCAAATGTATGCACTAAATTCATGTTAACTAAACCATGTGAAGTCCACAAGCTCTGTAAGGTAATTTATAAATCATGTGTAGCACTTCAAAGTCCCATAACCCATTTACCTAATGAAAAAATAACCATTGTTATTAGAAAACCGCCAACAAGTGGAACACTATTTTCAGTTACCAAAGGCATTCAACCTGCATCTGTTTAACTGTATTCATACCAACAAGACAAAGTAATTGGCCACATGTTTTAAGAAATTGGCCACATTTCCTTTTATTGACAATGCTAGACTGTATAACATATGTATTCTCACCCCTATTAAATTACTCTTTGTGTTGCCAACCTCTGCTAAAGCACAAAGGTTGAACACAATAATCGTCTCTGCCTGCTCACTTGTCACATCTCCCTCAACAAATGGATTATTCTGTACAAGTTCCAACTTATCCTTCTCCTTTGCCTTTTCTGCCAAAGTATTGTAAGCCACTTCAATGTCAGCTTGGACAAGTCTAAAATCATTTCATGTTTCAAATAAGTACACGATTACTCGTTAATTATAATTTCACTTCAATTGATGTAAGAAAGCTTCAATGATAGAGTATCATGGAAAATTGGAAGTAATTCTGAAATCAATTTCAACCTTGAAATGGTGTTAATGATCACTAGGGGTGGGACGGATAACCGAAATACCGAAAAACCGCGGTTCATAGCCTTCGGATCGGTTTTCGGATCACGGCCCAACGTTCGGATCAGCTTTTCGGATCGTTTTCGGATTAATATTTCATTGGTCAAGTATCAATAAAACAGTTAAAAACATTGTTTTACAGCAACATTTTTGATATTCCTAGTCCCTACCTTGTCTGTCTGTTGCTAGCTCACTCGTTTACTAGATTCGTTTCGTATCCGCGTATTCGTATCTCTCGGTAATCAATCATGTGGTCCCTGGTACTATATGCTTTAGTCGTGTATTCTAAATAATATGTATTGTTCATGAAATACTATAACATTAAAATTCCATCTATAAAATATTGTTATAACGTGGCATAATTGATACAAAGATTTGCGCAAATTTATATTTGCGCAGGTTCGATATAGGGTATACCAGGAGGAGTGAGTAGCTCCCATAATTCTTTCATATTCTATCGTATTCGGGGATTCCCCATTACATCATCTCTTGCATCATATCCAATCAAATTGCAGGATTCGATCACGTGAACAATCATGGGCACATGCTCTCTCAGTGCTGCGCATGCGTAGAGTTAAATTTGAAATCGTGGGAATGGCGTTTACATCAGTTCAACATCGTCATTTCAAACCTACGGTAATACTATTGAAGTTACTCGATCCATACTTTTAGAGAATACTCATAAAACTACATTGAACATTTGGAGATCCATTTCAACGGCAAATTCAGACCTGTTTATAAAATTTGTTTTCGAACGTGCTAATATGATAGGGCATCTTTGGTAAATCTCCCCCCCCCCCCCTGGGGTATACTATTATTTTGTGCGCACCCACAATACATTCAAATATGGCGTCTGGATCTCAATTTCCCGTTTTCCCAAAAGAAATGAAGATTATAAAGTAGTTATTTTATTGGTTTTATTAAAAGAAAGTGACAGTCAGCAGTGAAGTCAGAGACAAAGCAGCTAATGATGTCAATCAATACAAATCCTTAAAATGAATGAACCGAACCGAAAAAACCGAACCGACGGCTGATGATCCGAAAAACCGAACCGAACCGAACCGAAACGAACCGTCCCATCCCTAATGATCACACTAATTGCTATTCATAATTTCATAATTTTTTTGAGCACCTTGCACAGAAAGGACTCGAACAGTCAATCCTTTATATCAATAAGTGAGTACCTGTATGCTTCAGTCAGTAGTGGAACACTCTTCAGGTTCATAATGGCCTGGTATACTCCAAGTAGTTTGTTGAGCACCTACAAATAGCCATACACCATTGCAGTCAGCATTATGACACATGTACATGCATTTCTTCTACACATTGCATTGTCTGATGCATAAACATCAAAACAATATAATTAAATATAAATTGGCGGGAATTTGGAATGAATTTTTGGTGAATTAATATGACGTAAAATTGTTTTTATTTAATTGTTTTGCAGTAGCGCTTCAACTCAGTTTTTATAACAGTTGAAAAAGGATCAAGACAGGATCCGAAACGTCTTGTTTAGTGAAATAAAGGTTGTGAAAAAAAAAAAATAGATTTGTGATTTAATAATCCAACCTGAAGAACATGTTTAAGAATAACTAAATCTTGTATAAACGTGATTTTTCACGGTGTAGTGGAACTCTTCAAACATCCGTTTCGGTAACAGAATGGTGAAGCCGAGGAGGTAAATTTTTTTTCAAGATTGCACATGTTGCAGGCAGAATTGTAAATAGTTTGAATAGTTCCACAACAGTAATTTACTCATTTTCATGAAGTTATCTACTTATACTATCTAACTGATCTATGATGATTGCGAATTGAGTCTTTTACTTACGCTGGAGTCATGGTGAAATCTGAGGGTGAGAAACCGGGAATCTGGGCCAATCAAACGCGTCATAAAAGACACTGGAAGATGTGTGCTTGCTTTCTCTATCACCTGGAAAAGAGAAAAAATAATTAATTTAATAATTAGAAATCAGCAACTCACAGGAGAAGTAGATCCCACGTCCACCAAACAGAGAATATTTTATCTTCCATTTTGTTCACAAACTGACATCATAGATCAAACTAATAAACCCTACCCTCCTATCACCAAAAGCAATGAGGAATTATTGGAGAGGTATAATTTATGTACAGCTGTGTCAAAAACACCTCTGTAAAGTGAACCCCTCAATATATTAAAAGTGTTTGCTTTTAAGTTGTCAGAAGAACCTTTTAACGTGAACACCTAGCTAATACCATTTCAATTCACTTCAGACAGAAATCTTTGTACCTACCTTCTGTATAAGGTCCAGCAATACCATAAGGTATGAATATGAACTCTGACGTCTTGACTCAACCTGACTTATGATATATTGCAATAACACGTCATAACTGTCAGGGTGAGAGCTGTCTATTGAGTCAACCATCAACAACAGACATTGGTTTGCTGGAAATATCAAAAATTCAAATTCATACTAGTTTATAGTATAAGACAATGCAAGCATCTACATGTCTCCAATACATTGCAGTATAGCCCAGTACATTGTATTACACAACACAATAATTTTTCTCTCAGAAACACTATAAGATAAGAATAGTGTATGGTACTCTGCCAAATCTAGTATTCAGATCCCACAAAAGAACAGGTTTATATTCTTTGTATTGTTTTCATGCAATATATAGGTTTTATGAATTCATTTAATCATATACTGAGCAATGCATTCACCTTAACCATATTCATAACAAGATTTAAGAAGCCATCTACACTGACCAAGACAATTCTGAATAATTTACTAGGTAAATGAGGGGGTCTTGATAGGTAGAAACCTACCTGTTTTACCACAGTGAGGAAAAAGGAGTTACTAAATCCATCAAACGGTTCGTTATTTAGCATGGTACCTACCTGTATGACTGGTTTGCTCAGAGTAGAGACAGGAGTTAGCATGCTGAACACATTTCACTGTTCTATCCATCAACTGAAACATAAAGTTAATCATACTAGGAATTATAATTACATTTAATTCAAAGATTTTGAACAAGTTATAGTCAATAACTTTTATGCAAAAAAACACCTTTTAAATATATATAACCAAGGCCTTAAACCATTTAATATACCTCATTCTGGTACTCCTGTGTGATTGGAGGCCCATACATAGCTGTAAAGTGGTCTCCAAGACTACGGACAACAGTGGAGAATACACGCAATAAAGCTGCTAGTTTGGCAACACATTCTTCTGGAGAAGGTACGTCATCATCGGAAGACACCTGACCACCAAGGCCTATACCCAGATCCTGGAGGAATAAACAAAGTAAATACCCTGGACCTATACCCAAATCCTGGAGAAATTTGAACTCATTGAATATTTTTCTAATTCAGATTTCAAAGCTGATACATTTACAAAAGAGAACAAAGAAAATAAATGAATAAAAAAATTTACCAATTTAAAATTTGACTAACCTCATTTCAAAAATGGTATGTAAATATGTGATATTTTGTCTTAAGCTAGTAACTCATGTAGTTTAAACCAGCTATACTCTAAATTAAGCTTCAGTTGGAAGCATTGGATATTATATTACATGTAGTTCATAGTTCCTTTCAATTTCACTGTTTATTTAATCTATTTACAAATTTAAACCTACTTCAGAATAAGCCTCCATATCCTCAAGGAACTGCCCAAGTAGAGTGATGGAGAATGATATATCAGCCACCCAAAATGTATGGAAGTGAACAAGGGCATCTGATGTATACTGAATTAACTTGTCTTTCTGTGTTGCATCTATATGCCAGCCTACTAAGATATCTACAGTGTCCTAGAAAAAGAGGAAGAAATGTGTTATGTAGTTGGTCTTTATGTTTGACTGGGTGATTCATGCGAGACATTTTGTCTGATTTTTTTTTATCTGATTTTTAAAAAATATGTTATATTTGAATGTAATTAATGTATAAAAGAACAGTTTAAGCTTAAAAAGATCCTGACAAAAATTTAGATTTCGTGTTTTAGTATACATTCAAGAAACTATCTAAATGTGACCCAATTACTCACATTTCAGTGACACTAAAAATGAGGTTTTGAGGTAATCAATTCTACATACTTTAACACCTGTAAATTAAATACTTACTCTAAAATGTGCAGCAAATGTGTGGGGATAGACCTTTGATATGAAGAGAATGACATCTACTACGGACATGAGGAGATCCGGGGAGTCTGCACATTCAAGGATGCCCTGAACATTTGTCATTATCATCTAGAGAAAACAGAAAATGCAAGTACAATTTGATGTTTATGTGTAAATAAATGACAGCAATTGAATTCTACCCCACTGAAATATGTTAAACTTTTATGGTAACCAAATTTACTTATTGAGAATTTCATACAGTATATCACAAGATTTTTATTGAAAACCCTGGTTTCTACTACTTCAAAGTCAAACTTGGTCTTAAAGATTTATTTTTCATTTTCCTTTAGATAATATAAACTATTGTTTACCTGTGTGAAGTCATTCAAGACTTGCTTGTGCTCATCAAAACGTAATGTCTAAAAACAATGAATATAATAATAATACTATAGCCAAGTACAGTAGTACACCAAATAATCGCAGATAGTTCAGTACGATCCTGGAAATAATTACTAACTTACTAATTTAGATTACAAATTGTATGAATAATTTTCTAAAATAAAATTTGTACTTTTCCTAAATCGATTTTTGCAACCATGAATATTATTAAGAGAACAGACTTATAAAGTCATAACTCTAGGAAAACTTCATGTAATGTACATCAGGTTTAGAAATTATATAATGTAAAACAAAATATATTCTTACTTCTAATAGTGCTTTGAGGAATAATCCCTTCACCTCCTCGGCAATGGCAGAGTCTAGCTTACCAAACAGCCATTGAAAGTACCTACAAAAAAGTACAATATACAAAACACCGTAACAAAAGGGTATGACAAAAACAATGTTGGAAATCACTAATTAACATTCTTAACTCTCTGAACAAAGGTAAGTTTATTTCATTCTATTTAGTTCAAAAATTTCTTCAAAAATTTCAAACAAAAGTATATATTACTTTGTCTTAAAATGAAATACTTAAGATTTTGATGAAAAATTCCCGCCATTTTCAAAGTGGCGGCCATCTTGGAATTTTTTTTTGTTGTGTACAACTATTCATCAATATACATCTTTCCACCAATTATGAAGAAAACCAGCCCACTAGTATTCAAGTTATCTTTCGGACAGACGGAGGGCTTCACTATATCCCTACTGAACTTCGTTCATTGGGATAATAACTATGTCAGTGCAGTCAATATGGTACAATGAAAATGGGACTTCTGCGCATGTTAAAATTTTTCGTCAAAACTCAACTTTTGTTCAAGTTGATACGATTGTCTTTCGAACTAGAGACTTACCTCATTCGAAAGATCATAAAAGACTTTATCTATACTGAAAATCTTAGATCCCAGCATAGTAGAATATGCCGTCAGTCCGCATTTGATTTTTTGAAGTGAGTTTCGGAGATTGTCAGATTTCTCCGACTGATATCGGGTTATCTCAAATTGGTTCGTTCATAAATACGAATTTCTTTACCCTTGTAAGGCGCATGCACAAAATTGATGGATAAACGTTATTGGTTGATGGTTTTCTCCTGAGCATGCGTGAAGTCTGATGAATACATATGACGAAGACCGGAGCAAACATTACTAGCTCTCGAACGAAATTCCAAAATTCAGATCATTTCGCCGTGTTTGCTAAGCGTGTATACGTGAATGACAAGCTGTTTTGAGTATATCAGGTACCTGTTTTAGACATAGCATCGATTTAGCTTGACATTGATGTGCACACTGGCACTTTTAAGCATGTTAATATAAGTTTTTACACTCTTAGCAGGAGACGGGTTTCGAAAAATCTGTTATCTAATTCACTCGATTATCGTATGGATATGTATTTCTGCTGACATTTTAACACCACATCACATAGAATAACGATGCAGAATGATAATTAAACACAAAACAACTCCTAAATTCCACTTGTTATTTCACAGGAGGTAAAAATGCACACTGCCTAGATTCTTTGTAAGGGTTGTCAGACATCAGATTAGCCGCCATATTTGAAATGAAAATATCACTAAATAGAGCTTTGCGCATGTCGTAACATATCGACTGAGTGTGCCAAAAGCATTGGCCATATCATTCTTGAGCATCAATTCAATATATGCTATTTGCTCTCTCACCTGTGTGCATCAATTCCCATGACACCCCCCAGAATACCAAGACACTCTGCCACACCTTGTTTGATCTCTCGATACGTCCTGAAATATAGTACATGTCGACTGAAATACATCGATTCATATTTTGAGTGAAGATAATGTATAATCCAGCTCTGAGAAACAGTTTTTAATGCAAAATGGTGCATCCGAATCAATCACTATCATTCGCTGTTCCAATCACAATGGCATAGCTGGGCTCCCTTTGTTTCCTGCCCATATTTATTCTTCAGATCTTAAAGAGCTCCTTATAATTTGTTTTGGTTGGGAATAAACTGTGAGCCAACACAACTGTACCATTAATCAACAATCACAAATTCTAAATTAAGTTCAAAATACAGACTGAGGTAAAAAAGGAAAAATGTGGTTCTGATCTCACAAATCATAATATATCAGGATAAATGAATAATTTGATTTGTCTCCAAAATTATTAATAAATATATGTACCTTTCATGGAAGACATCTTGCAATGCAGCCAACATCTGGTCAGATGCCTTCATTATTGCCTAAAACAGAATTGGCTTATATATTGCAAACAACATAGATGAACATATAATACATAACTGTTTTCCCCTTAACAAGATAAAACTAAACTTTCATAATTTAAAGAAAAATCTCTCTGCAGGGTGTCAAATAAGTCGTCCCTCTACTACAGCTAAAAGCTTAATAGATGGTACCTAGTGTGATAAACCATAATTACCATTGGAAAGAACATCCAAAGTTTAATATCCTGTATTTAATATTACCTTGCCATTTTCTGGTATAAGTAAATACTCTTGAAGTTGTTTAACTGATGCCATTCTCCGTTCTTTATCTTCATCTCTCTGCACCCTTCTCAATATTCTGGCCAAACGCGACTCATCTGGCGGACCCTTTAGGTTATCTGAAAGTTAATGTTTTTAATTAGCAAAGTCTTATGGGTGCATTATTGAGATCTGACAAAAAACTATCAACAGAATTTGAATGGTTAGGTAAAAATCATCAAAGGATATGACCCCACCCTAAGTCAAAATTTTAACACCCCCAGACCTTGGGTATTAGTTTGCTTTATTCATCCAGTATCAACATTTTGGAAGTAAAATAAAATTATCCGTAATTTTCTTCCTGATGTTTTCTCATGGGCTTTCAAAGTTGAAAGCCCATGGTTTTTTGCAGCAATGTAAGAATGATTAGTGAGTATCCAAGATTAGAACTACTGGTCATATTCATCATTATGTATCAATATTTTAATTGAGGGAGCATAAATTATGCATAGTGTTGTTGTTGCTTTTCCAATTGGTGTTGTTATGACACCATGGTCCTTCCAAGAGAATAGTCTCTCTATGCTCTTTGTTGTTTGTGTGCTATGACTTCCTAATTAGGGGTCCCGCGATTCATCGATATATCGATGCATCGGCTCGTTTGGTGACGATGACGAGCGTATCAATACGAAGACTCAAATATCGATACACCAAAAATATTATTAACATACCTGAAATCCATCATATTTTGCCGAAATCTACTGAATATTTGACTTTTTTGAGAAATTGTTTTTATAATTTTTGTTTGGTTTCTCACTGGAAATGACACGCCCAAAATGTTGAATAAATGCGAACAGAATGCTTAGCGGATTGGCCGTCAAAATGCGAACAAATAACTCGTGTCTTCTATGTCTTTGATTATCAACGTACTTTGTTTTATTATTCTTGATACATTTTGACAATTTAGTATGAATAAATACAATCTTTGAACTTTTTATTGGATAGAACGCGTTTAAAAATTGCCCAATAATATTGATAACTCTAATAAAAAACCGAACAATATTTATGTTCGGAGTATTAATGTTGACCGGAGGCTAGAAATTGAAACTTTTTGAAAGTTTTGAACACAATCGATAGAATTATGGCAGTGTAAGCATCAAACATGGGTAGTTATGTTAGACTTATATATCCCAATAGAAAATCTACTGTAGTACTTAAGAACATTCCTCAAATGGAGAGCACAGCTGGACTTCCAAAAAATTGCAAAATATGCATAGCTGACAAGTGACTACTAGATCTATACAGCAGGTAGGCCTGATACTTGACTATAGTTTTTATGCTGCATCTGAATCAAATGTCATAGTGATAGACTTTCAACTCAACCTCAGCTACGTCAGTGTTGCGCCCCCCGCCCCGGTTCAACTACACTATTATGTATTGTATCATTGCTTGTATCATTACCTGAGTATCGAGATACATATCGTATCGTTTCATAATGTATCGTGGGACCCCTAGTAGAGATATCGGACTTTAAAAAAGCGGGAGGGGAAATTTTATCAATTTTTTTCAAGAAGCCTACCTCACTTTTGCTTTCTTTAGGAGGTATTTCCCAAGAAAAACTCTGCCATCTGTGCTTCTAGTTGAAAGCACATGATCTAGATAATCCTAACATTTGCAAACATTATATGGAAAAGATGTTTTGCTAAGAACCTTCAATTCTAGTTGAAAGCCTATGAAAGAATTGACATGTAACACTCTATAATAACAGTTTATACAGTGAGACTTACAAAGCACTATTTTTACCTGATATTTTTCTGTTCTCTGCTGGCACAAATTCTCGTGCATATGCCCCACCAATTCCAGATAATTTTCCACTTTCGTTTTTTGGAGATTTTTGAATTGATATTCCTTCACCTCGAGACTGCTTGAAGCCTCCTCTGTCTCCATCTTTTCTTCTTTCACCGTCAAACTTTGAATCTCTCTGCTTAATAGACGGTCTGGGAGGTGGCAATCGGCTTCTCTTTTCATCTTTCACGGCGTGAGGTGAACGGTCGTGCGAGTTCGAGTTGGACTTCGAATTTGATTCTGAATTTTTCGAATCTGATTTCGAACCATTTGGTCCACCATGCGAGTTATATGATGCATTCTCCCTGTCTGGCCGTCTCCCCCTACCGCCTGTTGGCCTCTGGCTCATTCCAAAGTATCACATTTATGCTTATTTTGTTGATTTTTCTTCAAAATTGAGTTGGAAATTTTTTTCGTCGTACACTTTTAACACGGACTTATTTTGACCTTCCTTCTGATTGGTTGATAATCGAGTCTCAACATGAACAACCCCGTGCATATTTCAGCTATTTGTATCACCAGAAATTGGACCAGAAAACCGGGTCATGGGGTTCACTTTAATTTGTTATGTTGTTATCGTTATTTAATTTGTTATGTTCTATTAGGTACACTCCCCTCCACAAGTTTAGCAACCTTAGCTCCCCCGTTGAACTACGTGTTAAAGCTTACTCGAGTCTCTTGCCATGGTTAGGGGGGGGGGGGGGGGGCTGGTAAGTTTAAGCCTCTTTTCCTTTTAATTTTTATTTACTTAACCTGCGATGGAAATACTTATACTATTGATGGAAACGTAATTTGAATGACCCCTCTGCACTAATTATTGCACCTTTAAAGTCAAAATTATTTTTCAAAAAACCTCTCCCATTGAAATAACACAGGAGGCGAAAAATGATTTTCAAATTTTTTTAGTATTCATCAAGTAAGCTAAACACTTAGTCTAGAAAAATTTAGACAATTCAATTTTCTGCATAAAAATATTTTTTGCTGAATCTTTTACTGAATAGATATTATCCTGAGAATGGGAATGACGATTTTTTAATAGGCCTATTCATAAAATTTATCATCAATTTTCGACCTAGATCTATTGTAGTCGAGGAAAAAAATTGGGAAAATTTGGAGGTATTGGAAATAAAGTCAAGTTACGTTTCCATCAATATTATAAGTTATTTCATCGCAGGTTAAGTAAATAAAAATTCAAACGTAGGCCTAAAGAGCCCGGGCTAAGACTTTAACACGTCGTTCAATGAGGGAGCTAAGATTGCCAAACTTATGGAGGGGAATGTAATTCCGTATGTCACTGGCGGATTAGGGGGGGGGGGCTGGGGGCCCGCCCCCCCCCCCCTTGGGTGGGCCCAGAAAAAAAATTGGGCCCTAAAGAAATTTTGGGCCAAAAAAGACCTTCAGGCCCCAAAAAGTGGGCCTTTTTGGTCATTACTGGGCCTTTTAAGGCCTTATTTTTTAATTTCAGGCCAAATTTTGAAGAAAATTGGCCTAAAAATTTCAAAACTTGGGCCCACTTTTGGGTTTTTCATCCATTTTTGCTATATCATGAATCTTGGGAGATATTGTATTTGAGATTGTAAGGAACAGATTGGTAGGTCATTTGTACATGTTGCTTGTAATTTTGTCACCCCCATAGATCTGATTCTGCCTTTAGTTCAGGAAATCGCTCAGTTTTGCACAAAGAGTATCCAAACGCACCTAGATAATGATAGATAATGAGTTCACTGAGTAGTAAGAGTAGCATAAATATTCTAGAACAACCCCCAACTATTAATCTGGTATGCACTCCTTTGATAAAACTGAAAGATGTTATGCCTAAAAACAACGATTCGTTAAAATTTCTGAACATACAGAACTACCTTAATCACAGAGAAATATTCACATGTTGTTATTTGTTAGTATTATATATTTGTTTGTATGTCCGATATCAAGAATATCGAGTTATTTTACGCAGTTGCTAAGTTGTTACTTTTTATTTGACTTTCTGGTGATGACCTTTGATCTGTTTATCCCTTTTTTAAGGATGGCATGTATGGCCATATATGGCTGTATATGGGACTGTTAAAGCTAACAACTTTCACGTGCATTAGCCGGTGTTCATCCATGTTGAGGTTTATAGTGGGGGGCCTTTAGAGACGTAGGCTACTCTTCTTTTGTGACATCCTTGATTGAACATAATATTCCAAACAACACATTCTAAAAGTGACCTTTTAGAAAGTTATTAGTCCACTAAAGTATGCGAAATTACCTTTTTGAAATTACAAACACTTCCGGTGATCGGACAAAATGAACGTATCTTCTGCTTTTAATTTGCCCCACTGACCTATTGATTCTCAAACATATTCTCTCAAAATCAGAAAATTAGGGTGATGGGCGGGGAAATTTTGTAGAAATTAAGCCCAAAAATAACGAGTGACAACTTACACTTCCTCCGGTTGTACATAATGTTTAATAGACTAGATGCGAGTTGAAATAATCTTGATTTACGTCATCTAAAATTCAAAATTCAGTCAAAATGTCATATTTGGAATCTACGCGTAGTTACATCAAGAAATGTGGTTTTGAAAAGAGTTTATCAACTTTGGAAATTTCTTAGAAAATATGACTTCTAGGTCCGTAGTTTTATCGTAGTTTTATTAGTTTGCATGGCGAAACTTTTGGAAGCAAGATTCAACTTAGTTTAGCTGAAATCGGAGGTTTGTCGAAAACGAAAGAATTTCGGCAACCATCTTGAATGACGCTAACTGCAGTTAGAGTCATCCAGCTGTGGAACGGTGATTATTAAATTTTCTCTCAGATAGACTTAAGAAATATTCCTTCATCACTCGCAGAGTTAATATGGTTTTGTCGGTAAATGTTTTAGGGACACCCTTTATAGAAAAAGTTCGATATTGATTGAACTGTATCAGGGGCGTAGGAAGGTGTAAATTCAACACTACGCCAAAAATATGAAACTATTCTGTCAAAACTTCAATATCAAAACGCCTATTTTATGCTCGTAAAACGTTTTTGACATTTTTGACCATTTTGACCTTAATAAGGTCAATGAAGGTCAAATCTCAAATCTAAAGTTAGATTTGAACTTATGATATCTTGTAGATGATTTTGAAAAAATGGTCAATTTGAAGCAAGTTGAAAAATACCTTTTTTGACCGTGAAAATCTTTAATGAAAAGTCAAATTTGAACTTCTCAAAACTTCAGTCCAAACAGTATTTGTTAAGTTATTGGAATGTTTAAGAATGTGTTACAGACGCCAACTGCCGACCGCCAACCGCAACCCGCCGATCACCAACCGCCGTCAAAAAAACGAGACCACCCCAATATGTCACCACTTTTTGGTGGTGACATAATTAGAAACAGGGTAACTTTCCATTCTGATACACATCGCATCTAAAAAAACTGTCTGTGCAAGAAGAGAGGGCCATGGTATTCCATAATGGTAAGTTTCAATATTTTACGAATTAAATTTTTCGAAAAGTGTCATTTATCTGTGGCTCAACTTAGAAATATAACAGAGGCACAAAAACCCTGCAAAAGAGTACTGTTGAAAAAATCGAGTATATTACTCAGTATATAAGTGGGTAAAGTTGGCTGCATATTGGTATTGGGATTGGGATTCAAAATGACCAGCAGCTAGTGAGCTTGAATGTCAATACCAATACAAATATGAAACCTAATATGAATCAAAATATGGTTAAGTATATCATTATACCAATGAATGTTGATGTTTATGTATCAAATGTACTCGAATGTCAATACCAATACAAATATGAGCTCATATTATTAGGATTCGCCAACTATGTTTGAATCCCAATTTCAACCCCAATATGAATCCTAATATGGTTATTTATATCCTTCTTGCAAAGAATGACGATTTTCTGCATCAAATGCGGTCGAATGTCAATACCAATACAAATTTGATCTCATATTAGGATTCAACACATATGTTTGAATCCTAATACAAATACTAATATGAATGCTAATACATTGATTGTTTACATCATTCTAGCGAAAAAGACTACTTTTCTGCTGCAAATGCGGTCGAATGTCAATACCAATACAAATATGAGCTTATATTAGGATTCGCTTACTATGTTTGAATCCTAATACGAATACTTATATGAATCCTAATATGGTTATCTATATCACAATAGCGAAGAAACGCGATTTTTCTACAGAAAATGCGGTCGAATGTCAATACCAATACAAATATGAGCTCATATAAGCATTCACCAACTATGTTTGAATCCTGATACGAATACTAATATGAATCCTAATATGGTTTTTCATATCATTCTAGCGAAGAAAAACGACTTTTCTGCTGCAAATGCGGTCGAATGTCAATACCAATACAAATATGAGCTCATATTAGGATTCACCAAATATGTTTGAATCCCAATACGAATACTAATATGAATCCTAATATGAATCCTAATATGTTTGTTTACATCATTCTAGCAAAGAAAGACGACTTTTCTACAGCAAATGTGGTCGAATGTCAATACCAATACGACTATGCGTTCATATTGGGATTCGCCAACTGTGTTCGAATCCTAATACGAATCCTAATATGAATACTAATATGGTTATCTACATCACAATAGCGAAAAAACACGATACTTCTACAGCAAATGTGGTCGAATGTCAATACCAATACAAATATGAGCTCATATTAACATTCACCAACTATGTTTGAATCCTAATACGAATACTAATATGAATCCTAATACGGTTGTTTATATAACAGCAAATGTGGTCGAATGGCAATCCCAATACAAATATGATCTCATATTAGGATTCAACAAATATGTTTGAATCCTAATACGAATACAAATATGAATGCTAATATGGTTTTTCATATCATTCTAGCGAAGAAAAACGACTTTTCTGCTGCAAATGCGGTCGAATGTCAATACAAATACAAATATGAGCTCATATTAGATTCACCAAATATGTTTGAATCCCAATACGAATACTAATATGAATCCTAATATGGTTGTTTACATCATTCTAGCAAAGAAAGACGACTTTTCTACAGCAAATGTGGTCAAATGTCAATACCAATACAACTATGCGTTCTTATTGGGATTCGCCAACTGTGTTCGAATCCTAATACGAATTCAATATGAATACTAATATGGTTATCTACATCACAATAGCGAAAAAACACGATACTTCTACAGCAAATGTGGTCGAATGTCAATACCAATACAAATATGAGCTCATATTAACATTCACCAACTATGTTTGAATCCTAATACGAATACTAATATGAATCCTAATACGGTTGTTTATATAATTCTAGCGAAGAAGGATGATTTTTCTGCAGCAAATGTGGTCGAATGTCAATACCAATACAAATATGATCTCATATTAGGATTCAACAAATATGTTTGAATCCTAATACGAATACAAATATGAATGCTAATATGGTTGTTTACATCATTCTAGCGAAGAAAGACGA